ATCTACTTTCCTTTTTAGGAAAAGTTGTATAATTTCATGAACGCTATGACAAATTTTTTACTTTATTTGCTTATCCATATACGTAATGGTAAGGTTATTGCATTGTAATGGATATTCCTATGAAAAGGAATTTTGAATTGGGATTCGGGATTGTGACGGGGATTGTTTATAATGTGGACTGACAACCTCATTGCTAGCATTATTCTAGTCAAGTTGACTTTTAGGTGGTATCACCTTTACATCGTGGCTAACTGAAATGACCTCATCTTCATCCTATCTACTTTCACAGTGTCCCCGCTAGTGTAAACCATTAGCAAAAGCGGGAGCACTATTCCATTATCATCTATTAAAATATTACATTACAATTCCACTTAATTATTAAATTTATAGCACAATTTCAAAATGCAATAAGTTGTTATTACTTAAGGTTTTTTTATTCAAAGACTTCAGAAATATAGAGGAATGTGTTTTTATAGTCTTCAACTTAATGCTATTCAAAATAAAATATTTATATACTTCCGGCGACGCTTCTGTTTATGAAACTGTAAGGATACAACCGCATAAGTTCCTCAAATATATGTACTTGAAATTTTAAAAAACTGTCACTCTTATAATAATAGTAAACTCCTTCTTATAAAGTTCAAGATTCTAGGTCAACGGGAAATGTCCTACAGTTTATTTTGAGCAATCAGAGACTGTCCAATTTTGTATGGAAATATGCCTAGTGATTATTTACTACCAATATCATGAAAATAAGCACGAACTACGTGATTCAAGCATATAAAGAAGTTTAATGTGTTTGTCAAATTGTACATACCTATAGGTACCTACGAGTAAATAATATTATGTCTACTTCATTACATCGCTCTAACAATGGTAAAGAAACGCATTATTCTTGAAGCAATATATCTAATTCTATTTATTGCATTTGCAAGTGTCATCATGATAATGTTTGCTAAAGATTGTCTATATCTACCTATTGTATGGATGGAAATAAAACAAGTAATTAATTTGAAATTATACAATAGCAGGAATACATATTGTTATGAATTCAAATACTTAAAAACATCAAGTATGGTAGGTAGACCAATCTTGACGAACTTTTTATATCCTATCGATTAGCAAAAACCCAAAAGATGTTGAGATTGTAAAAAGATACAATAGATGTAAATCTAAAACAAAATAATCAATCTGATTTTCATTTCGCCATCAGCTATTCATACTAATAGGCTTGGAAATATTTTATTTAATCATTTCAATTATAATTGCATCGACACCTCATTCATGTACCGTAATAAATATGTCTTTTATACTTGAACTCAATAACATAATACAATTAAAGTGTTATTGCAGGGTTTTCAGTGATTAGTTCTGATCTGTTGAACTGTGCCATGACAGATATATTACTGGTGACCTCCTATAATTATGAAACTTCCTGTCTCTACCTATGGAATATAAATAGTAAAATGAAAATATCTAATTACGATTAGAATTAGTTTCAAAAATCATTGTAATTAAACTAAATTTAAATTAAAATAATTGTATAACTTGAGAAATTATTTGAAGGACAGAGAACTATCCCAGAATTATAGGTACTCAGTTCAGCAAGTAGGTATTTGTATTGGATGTTACTTAGGTACCTACATTAAGAAAGGTAGGTATAAATTTATTACTCAAAAAACGTTTGACAATGTTTTGATGATACCAAAATGAAGTAAATTCTATTGATTATTAAAATAAACCCTTCAAATGTCAGTTTTGAAAAAAGAAATTATTGTTTATTTAACCCTACTAGTCACCTGACGACGACCGTCAACGTTGAGGTGAACGCATTCTTTTTAGAAATAAGTAATTATTAATATAATTTAATTTAGATATACCAGTATGGTGTAATTCTTTTTCACTTTCATATTACGGTAATATTCTCTGGTAATATATTGACTTTTCATAAACGCAATACAATATTGTTTGCTTCGTAATCGTGTTGTCTGTTGTTCCACATTGCATTTGACTTCACAGGTTTAGGTCATTGAAAAAAGATCCATATTAAAGAAATAACTATGTAACCAGTACATAAACGTGCAAAATAATAAATAATAAAATTGTAAACTAAGCATTACGAAAACCAAACCCCAATTCACCGACACTAAAACCATTCTTTAAGCAATATTCTCTTGAGCATGATTGAGTAACAAGCATCTAAACAACTACGCAAACTCTTTACATAGTGGTAATAATGACTTACTACACGTAATTTATGTGTTCCTATCAACGCATTAAGTGACCATTGCTGGACATATATTTTTCAATCAATACTTGTTTCCATCTTTGTACTCCAGTTCCAAATTCTTTTGACTCCTTTAACAGCTTAGATATTATACTTGCTTTATCTTAAATTATAAGCCCTTAATGTCTGCAATATTCAAGGTAGAATTAATAAAAAGTCGCCTGCATGGATACCTTAATATCACCTATATCTCTCTTGCTTTGTAAGCAGTGTTTTAGTTCTCAGGTGAAAGATAATGAAATTTTAGGATAAGAAGCATGCACTCCGGAATGGCAACATGCCAGATGATAATATGATATCCGTGGTGCTATTCACGCATATTGGGGACTGTTACCACTTATCAACGAGTTGGCAGTGTTTCTGGAGTATCCATACTAAATATATATATATATATATATATATATATATATATATATGTACCTATATAGTGCCTGAATATTTTGAGCTCTTTTTGTATTGTATTGTATACTTTTTTACTGTCTAACTGCAAAAAAATCTGTTATATTACATATATTACGTAATTTCATATATGGTAGAGAATATAGTAAAAAGTAGTTACATTACAATAATGAAAGTAAAACGTAATTTTACGAAATCTCACATTATCAAATCAGTGTGCAGAGCTTCCAGTGAAATTTCAGTAATTAATTTTAGTGTGTAATTATAAATGTTTCTTTGAAAGTGTTTTATTTTATGATAGTGAGGTACCTACCTACAAAAATGAAAAATAGTTTATATTTAAAATCTTTTATTGCCCTTTATATTTATTAAATTCGTAATAATGAATACATATTTTTTAGGTAAGTTTCTGATAATAACATAGCTATGCTAATATTCAGAATACGAAAGTGGGTTTTATTCTGAGTTAGTCACTCTGTGTTAACTTTTTCACGGCTAAACGGCTGAACGGATCTTGTAATAAATTTCCTAAACAAGAACTGAAGTGGACTTTAAAATTATGAAGCATGAAGTCTATTTTTGTCAACATTATATGTAATTAAGGGTAAAAACAAATTAATAGCACCGTCTATATTTTGTATAGCGCCATCTAGTGAGCAATAGACAATCTGTTCACTACATTCCCTAAATAAGAATTAATTTAAGGCGAGGAAGGTAAAGATTAACGTATATTTTTATAAAAAAAAGGGATCTTGGTTCTTAACGGTTTAAAATTATTCCGACGACGTAATTAAGCTCAGCAACTGGGGAACTACAATGACGGCCGGGGTGAAAGAATTATCCGGTTGTATCGAACTGGACATTTGGAACAAAGATATGAACCGAGGAGTGACTTTATGCTTTATTAACATATATTACAGTAAATAACTTATTCTAAGCATTATACTCATATTAAAGAAGTGGCACGGGATGTACCTAAAGTTGTTCCTTCGAAATTAAATAAATACATTGATCCGAAATGGATTGTTGATTTTCTATTTAATTAGGATAGCAAACAAGCTGACGACATATCTGATGGTAAGCGGTAATCGCCACCTATATACATGAAGAACACAATGGGCATCATGTTATCATGCACACAAATCGTATCTATCACTCATGCATTGACATTTCTAAGGGCTACAGCGTCATATCTGTGTAACCAATAATTTCACTTATTAGGAATACCAAAGGGATGACACCCATAATCTTGACGGCATGCATGTAAAGTGGGCTGTATGTATCTATATATACAAGCATACGATTATAGACGTTGGTGTTATATTACTTTTGCTTAGTACTGTGACATACATATGTATTATATGTAGTTAAAGGAATTCTACATACATGTAGACTAAGATTGTTTGTTCATTTAGAAAAGTGGAGGTTCTAGAGAGAATGCGTAGACCGATTCATAAAAGATTATAGGTTAAGGAATTGTTTTTCCTTCTCGTGTGAGTTGAGATAAATCTGACATATAATATTATATATACTAATATTATATGTAGAATAATCGACACCTACGATAAAAATTCTAAAATTGAATATTTACTATTTTTATGTGCTACATGTTAAAATTATCGTAACATTATTACTAATGTTATGATAATTTTAATATTTTTCACCAAATTTATGTCTAATTTTTTTAAATCGACTGGAATTTTAGTCGCGTATGTAGGTACCTACACCTGTTACTATTGTCGTAACCATTGAAATCACTTTCTAAAATAATTCGGCTTTAGAAGCACAATTCAGTAAAAAATCGTTAATGATTATCACATACATTCTTCAATTATCTTGCATATATCATGTATACCAAAGTATAATTACAGTAAGTAAATATGTTGGTAATTTAAAAACCCAACCAATTGTTTAAAAGTACCTACCCAATATCCATTTACTGTTCCGGAATTAAACTAACAGTGTGTAAAGAAAAGCGTCATCTTCCACAACGCACGAACAGGTAGTGAGCAGCGTGAGCACCATTCATAGCTAGGTCACTTTCTACTCACCTTGATTTCTTACGCCTGCGCCTGTGTTGAGTACGTTAACGTACCACGCAAAACGATAGCATCTGTCTTAAGAATTTAAAATTCACTTTTACTTTTTATAACAAAATCTATAATAATAGGATGTTCATGACTTTTCTTATATTTTCATACTCATTGATAGTTTATCCACATTATATAAAATGAATGTATTATATGACTACTTATATAATAAAAGATGTTTAGCCATTCTATTTTACACACGAATTTACTTAAATAAATCTTACCTTCTTAAACTTTATCCGACAATATGTAGAAATATTTTTCAAAAGTCACAATACACAAAACACGTCACGAAATAAAGATCAAGAATTTAAAATATGGATATTAGGTCACTGCCACTCAGTTATGGCGCGAAAGTTCGCGCCAACACAAACACTCTTTATTTATATTATATGCCTTTCGTATATCCCTACAAATGAAAAAATAAACAAAATATGAACTTGATTGGCCACGTACGACACGGACAGTGGCTACGCCGGTTATGCCCACCTACACATTATACATCGACGATTTCTTGTTTACACCTCCACCCCGAGAAACTCGAAACGATCAGCTATCCGATCATAGGAAAATGTTGCAGCCTGAAATGCATTTCCGCATTGTATTGTGTTCATTTCAAAATGGCCGTTTAATAGTCATGTACCAACATCATATTTTGTAGTGGACATGGACGTGTAGCAATAGTTGTCTTGTCCATTTTCGCAATATGCAACGCGGGTAGTCGCAGGTAAATAAAGTATAACCTCCATTGGCGATGACTGTTGGTACAACATGTGTACAATGCTGTGTTAAGCAGATGCTGTCGTTTAAAATTATATCGGACATATTAATACCAATATATAATTAATACGCATATCACAAAGTGTGCAAAATATCAAGCGAAAAACCAGTATAAATTATAAAACTTAACCATTATTAGCGGAGCGGACTGATATATTTTCGAATTATCATATAAATTGATCAAATTTATATGATAAAAATAAATTAATTAATTTTATTATAATTGAATGTACTTAATAGTACATAGATTTTCAGCTACAGGATTATTGCAAGTTACCTTATTGACTACTATAGTATTAACCCTAGTAGAGCAAGAGCCCACGGCGGCCAGACATACATACGTCATTTTAGTAAACGTGAAAGTTCTTGTATGTGTGTCCCCAACACAGGTAAGAACGATCCCCAAACATGAAACCTGGATCGTGGTTCCTTTGGCAGGTAATAATATATATAAATTTCAGCTTTACTAAAATTACGTAAATTTATTTCTAGAATAGTATAGTTTAGGGGGGTCCGGCGGGGGGTTGGAACCACACTAAGTGTCTGGCAATGAGCAGCGCAAGTTATAATAATACTACGAACAATATATGAAAGTATGGAGTTTCTTAAAATAACGAATTTGATATGATTTTTTTTTACACCTTTGTTACCTGGTACCTGCCAAAGGAACCACGATCCAGGTTTCATGTTTAGGGATCGTTCTTACCTGTGTTGGGGACACACATACAAGAACTTTCACGTTTACTAAAATAACGTATGTCGGGCTATAGACAATTTACCGATTTGTCTGTAGTGGTACCCAGTGGTACACCAGTAGGTACTACCTAATAAGACAACCTCATGGCTCATGTTTATCACGTGGAGGTCGATCTAATTTAGTAATTGTTACCAATGGGATTCTATTACTAACAATCTTACATGTATATAGTTTACTTTAGAATTTTTTAGTTTAGAATTTTGAAAGTTTGAAATCTGTTTTACGACATTGATGATGCAAGTTTATTGATAGAAAAAATAAATATTGTGATATAGTATCCACATAACACAGACATTAAACGATTTTCCATTAATAAACTTACTTTTACCCTTCATGAAACATTATGTAGTCGCTTAGTAGATTTTTTAAATTTATTCAATGAATTAGTTCTACCTTTTAGCTGTTTAAAGGTATTCCTCAAGCTAATAATTAATAATCAATTATTTCCAATGTTCTCAAAGGGTAGGTGCACGTAAGCCATCTTATTTACCTACTCGGAAAAAATGTAGATAGACATCTTATTGAAATCAACAAGATGTCAGCTGATATTTAACGAGCTATTGTATGTAAATCTTTTACCGTTCACGTGATATTTTACAGACTTAACTATTAAAGTAATTATTATGATGTAATAATAAACTTAATCATAAAAAATGCAACGACTTTAATTTCAGATGCTCAGATTATTGTGACGGTCAGTCAGAGGAAATATAAAAGAAACATTCCTGCATTTCACTGATACGAGAGCGAGTGAGTACCTATACCTACCTACTGCTAAACCCCAGCACTTAAGAATTTGTCAAAAACACAAATATTTTGGTGTCAACCAGATTCAAGGTTAACAGTCAGTCCATATTACAGTCCACATTACTAACAATCCCCTTTCCCACCTACATCAATATACTTCCCTAAGTATCATGTGATGTGACAAGCGGATAGCTGTTTGTTTGTTTGTGTTAAGGTTTCGCGTAAAAACGGCTACAGGAATTATCCTGTAGCCGTTTTTACGCGAGACCTTGAAAACGCCGTTTTTACGCGAAAAAAATTATATCCTAATGGATATCATTTTTATTTATATATTTATTTCATTCAGAATATATTGTTGTTAAATAAAAGTATGGTAATTTTGAGGTAAAAATAGAATTTATTACAATGCCTACATTTTTTTAATTAACTACATATGTAAACAGAACTATGTACTCTGTATGATATAGGTAAATATTAATTCTATTATTTTTGCTAAAATTCGTAGAGAAAAGAAATAATGAAGTTTAAATTGTGTGGTTAATACTTGCATCAAATATTTGTTATATTATTTAAATCCTTAAGAGTGTTTATTTATTTGTGCCAATGTGCACACTAATATCAGAAACGGTGTTACTGATTTTGATGAATGTACTCATTTTTTTGGTGATTGTGTGATTAAATATTTTAATATCAATAAAAGTAAAAATAGGTACTCGAGAGTACTGAAGAGCCAAATTAAAACTGAAACTATTTTTTAGTTTTTTAAGAATCTTAAGGTTGGCAACCCTACTTGATACCCCGAGCCGTTATAGTAATAATTAAAAAATGCTCTTAGAAATGTTAGGTTATATTTATATTATTTAATTTGAAATTATTTCTATATTTAGCTAAATATTAAATTATTATTATATGCTTCTATAATGTCGTTATTACGAACATTTGTGAAAGACCAAATCTGTAAGTAAATGTAACATAGATATAATTATATATCTAATTTCTAGTAAATGATTAATAAAATTACGTACATAAGTGTACTTTTTAAAAATGCGTTTATTTACTTTTAGTCCTATGTGCTCAACGTCTAACTATTTCCACAATAAGATCCGCCTCCTCTGAAATAATATCTGACGAAGATGCTCCTGTAGAAATGGAGAATCCATTTAAAAAGGAGAGGCGACAATGCATATTATGCAAGTTGAAGATCACGCCAGACTACAAAAATTACCGTCTTTTGTCACAGTTCCAGAGCCCATATACTGGTAGAATCTATGGTCGACATATAACTGGTCTTTGCAAATCTAAGCAGGAAAAATTGGAAACAGAAATAACAAAAGCACAAAACTGTGGCTTTATGCCCTATTATTACAAAGATAAGACATTTTTGAAAGATCCAAAACTATTTGATCCTGAAAATCCAATAAGATCACACAGATTTTAGTACTTATTTGATATTAATTGAGTAGTGAATATTTCTGTAAGTTCATAGAATTAATAAATGTTTTGAAAATACAATTAAAGGTTTTGTATTATTTGAATCATTTACATATTAACTTAGGGTGTAATATATCAATAAACTACCATATGCAGTATTACTGAAGTCCTAAGTGTAGTTGCCAGAGCATGTTATGAGCTAACACCCGGTTGGTGATGCTGTTTAACACACTTCTTTTTCCAATCCTCACAAGTTAAACTCTTGTATTATGCAAACATTTGTATTCATTACATGAGTATGTTTGTTCATATTGTTCTCTCATAGTGTTCACTTTAAAATTTTATTTATGTAGAAATAAAAGCATTTCTACTGGCTGAGTCATAAAAGGTCTGTCAGGGATGAGATACTACAGTGTTAAGTCCCAAGTTATTTATTTATTTCATTATTTGTATGTCTCTCACAATAATTATTATGTAATAATGTATGTTTATGAAAACTATAACAAAATTTTAAACCTTTTAAGTTGATGAAGCAAAATTAAATACTATAGTAACAAGTAACATTTATTGAAGAATTTATTCAATTAATTATTGAACTTTGATAATATAATTGCTGAATCATCAGGTGTAACAAAGCAGTCATTATCAGAATCATAACCAACCAATGTAGCTGGTATTTTCAACATCTGTAACATATCAGAATATTCCATGTTTGGTTTGTCTGAAACTTTTGTTCTCATAAGTTCCATGAGTTCCATTAATGCATTTTGACAACCCTTCTGCCACTTTTTTACTAAATCTCGAAGTTCTTTAGTGTCATTACCTGTTGCTTTTGCTAGTAAGAGCTTCTTTTTTATCTCTATACGAGACTTTAGTTCATCTATATCTTTCTGAGTAATAGAGCCAGTTGATTTTGCCTTTATTGGTTTTGAAGCTTTCTCATAAGTTTTTTTTATAAGTATCGTCCTTTTGTTGTTTACTTCAAAGTCATCATCATCATTATAGGAACTTTGTGAAGATGGTGCATCATCCTGTTGTTTCTTACTTTTTTGTGTTCTACAGTTTTTAGTATTTTCTTTACTTTTATTTTTAATCATAAGTTTTTTTACATTGCCAATGTTCAATTTCTTATTTTCACATCTTTTTGCAATAACTTTATTCGTTTCCATAAAATCATCTTCTAAATTTAAAGCTTTGGTCTGCACCTTCTTTTGCATAATCATATCTTTATAAAAATTACTTAAAGGAACATCATCTGAATCTGAATCAAATAAATTTTGTGATGTTGAGTTTGCTTCTCTATATTTTTTTACATCATGTTTAAATATTTTCTTCTGTATAACAATTGTACATTCTTTTATTAAATTTTCAGGACTTTTTTTACAATTCATATTGGTCTCATGTGCTATATTAATTATTCTCTTTGGATCAACACAATTTTCATTGCACTGTGATTCCATCATCTCTTGCTTAGATAATGTTCCTATAGAACTTGGCATATATTTACTTACAGAATCAATACAAACAGAATTTTCAGAACATGTGGCCTCTAGAGTTTTGTTACCAATTTGTATATTTAAATTACCCAATTCTTCTCTTTGAGTCATATCTTTGACTATTTCACTATTCTCCAAGATATCCTTTGATTTTAATTCAAAATCACTGTCGGAGTCAGTATTACATGTTAATCCCGATAATATAGTTTTAGATCTCTTATGTCTTTGTAGGTTTATTCTTCTAGATGGAGTCTTATTAACATTATTACTATGTTCTGTGGCCTTATTTGTTTCTATGATATGCTGTGTAAAATCTGTATCTTGTAATTCCTCACTGTCACGGGCTTTTCGTTTCCTGGTATCTTTTTGTGGTCTATTGTCAATTTTATTTAGGCTATCGTCAATTAGTACAGTAGTCAACGGTGACACAAATGGCGAAACTCCACCTTTCCTCCAGTTTCGTGATAGACCTACTCTTCTACAAGGAGTTAACAATGATTTACTAATACCACCCGGAGTTTTTGGAGACTCGGATAAATTCTTAGATTGCACCGACGACACATTCTTCATATTTTTATAAAATATAAAACAAGTTCAATTTAAAAAACAAATTTAGGTAAAAAACAAAACCACTAATTATAATTATTGTGCTTTTCGCGCCAGAAATCATACAAAAATATTTTTTTTTTGTGTTGTAAACTATGGTTAATATAGTTTATTTTGTTAGTACAGCACAGATTATTATTTTTTTGCTTCCATGGATTCATTTTGAATGTTTTTGTTTTGAAGAAAAAAATCTTCATGCAAAGGGTCAAATTTTTTATAACGAAATATATTTAATACAATAACAATTTTCGTTGTACATTACTATTTTTTTCTAAGAGTAGATATGGCTGCTTAATAACAAACAACTAGAAAATGGCTAATGGCAACTCATATTACCGGAGCCAGACGAAGAAAAAATTAAATTATATATATATATAAATTAGTATAAGAAGTACCCCAGAAGTATACAAAGAGACAAAGCGACTGATATAAAAATATATTATAGACAAGTGAGACCTTGTATACTAGTGATACTAGTGATTACATAGCTTTATTTGACAATGTATCTCAATGTACGTCAATGACAAGTCTTACATAAAGTACTCTGTGCTGAATACCTAGTGTTTATTTGCCTGTATCGGCTCGGTGTTAGTTCTGTACTTTCATATTTATTGGCTTTTCTTCCCTTTCGAGTTTATTGTTTTTAAAGGTACTAAGAAAAATGCGCTTATAGAAATAAATTTGTATATTTGGTTACTTTATGATAACTTCTATAAATCTTTCTGTTTTAGTAAAATAAACAAAATATTACATAATGCCGTTCCTGAGACTGACATCGGGTAGCTTTGGCCAGCTCCGTAATTTCGCGACGTCATCATCTCTAGGAAAGAGGGTCAAGACTTTCGCTGTGTACCGATGGAATCCGGACGAGCCCGACAAGAAACCCTATACACAAAATTATCAGGTGGACCTTGATGATTGCGCACCTATGGTTCTAGACGCTCTACTGAAAATCAAGAATGAGATAGATCCAACTCTCACTTTCAGGAGGTCGTGTCGCGAAGGTGTATGCGGATCATGTGCCATGAACATTGATGGTATCAATACTTTAGCTTGTATTAGTCATATTGACCAAAACCTATCTAAACCATCTAAGATATACCCATTGCCCCATATGTATGTTGTTAAGGATCTTGTGCCCGATTTGACCAACTTTTACAATCAATATAGATCTATAGAGCCATGGCTGCAACGTGACAAGGAGGCTGTCAAAGGAAAGGAGACTCAATTACTTCAAGATGTAGAGGATAGAGCGAAACTTGATGGCTTGTATGAATGTGTTTTATGTGCATGCTGCTCAACAAGTTGCCCATCATACTGGTGGAATGGAGACAAATACCTTGGTCCCGCAGTTCTTATGCAAGCGTATAGATGGATAATTGATTCTAGAGATGATGCTACAGCTAAACGCTTGTCTAAGTTAAAGGATACTTATTCTGTGTATCGTTGCCATACAATTATGAACTGCACAAGAACTTGTCCAAAGGGGTTGAATCCAGGACGGGCAATTGCTCAGATTAAGACATTATTATCTGGAATTGTAAAGAAACAGACACCCATAATGGATCCTTCAGGGCTTGAGAAACAAACCGCACATAATTGATAGAACAACAGCTACATGTCTTCATAATTAATACCCATTACATTATGCATATGAAAAAACCTGGTATAATATGTACTTAAAAATCAAACTCAAGTGTGGGCTTTTATTACTTATTGGGTATTGATTTTTAAATATATGATTTGATTATCTCATTAGTAAATTAGCTAACATTTGCATTTTAGGGCAAGTTAAAAAATTCAATTTTATAAATATGTCTATATAGATGTATATGGGGTTAGATCCAAAACATTAGATGAATTTGTCAAATGACATGGTTTATCATGTAATGCCGAATATACAATATAATTTCCGAATAAAAATAATGACAAAATACTATTTAATGTGGCTTTTAAAACACTACATATTAGGGGTTAATATTTATTATAAGTTCCAAGTGTAGCTTCAATAATTTACTGAAAAACTGAAGTGTATACAGAAGATAACCAGCCAATCATTGATTTTACATCAAGTATTATCTCATTAGGACATTGAATTTAATGTGTCATTTGTTATTTATTACTTTCTTTTGTTAAGAATCGTGTAAGATTTGATTTGTGATTAAAGATTATTTATTTACCATTCGGGTTCTATATTCTATAGTTAGTATATAACAGTTGCATACAGTCATTTCTACTTATATTAAATAAACTTTATGGCTATATAATACCTTAGCAAAAAACAGTATATACTCGTAGTTCATTAATTATTATACCTATTTCAACGATAAAGATGAATATTCGCGACCTTCGCACTAACTGATGTACTCTCATTGCCTAAAGGGAGGCAATGCCACGGTAAATTTATACGAATAACAGTTTTTTTATACCATAATATAATGGTTGCACAAACACATGGCCCATCTGATGGTAAACGGTCAGTGTCTTATGGATGCCTGAAACTGTGAGATAAGTATCTCCGCACTTCTCACTTTAACAGAGTAACTAGTGGTATACAAGTATACGTAGAATATCAGATTACCAAAAATGTATTTCTGAACAAAATAAAATTATATAAAAAACATACATATTACTACGATATAGAATATACCGATAGTTTACATTAAGGCAGACAAGATGACTATACACAATCTTCAAATATTCAAACATACTTACTTTTTCTGCCACACCAGCCAGTCTGATCAACGATTGCAAACTTCGTTCTAACAGAAACACAGGGGGTATCTTGTGAGGGTTCACTCTTATATGCCTTTGGAAAATTAGAGAAAATCCTCGGCAGACTTCCTACACCCTTTCCAATTGAAACGGAGATCAAAATTACGAACGTCCTAGCGGTGCCCTCGAGACTAAACGTCGGTACGGTACGGTATCCGTCAGGCAGGAGTTAGAATTCAGCGGCTCCATATGGTTATTGGATTATTTTTTTATGAAATTTATTTATTATAATAATAATGAATAAACAGTATAGTAGGATATATTACCATAGAAAAAAAAATCTTTATTAATACATACTATTTATTAATAATTACATAATCGATTCTTGATTAAATATATATAATAATATAAAAGTGCTGTATATAATTAACTACATAATAATATAACTATACACAAATTAGTTAAAAGCGACTTACTACCAAAGTCTTGCATCGTTTGCATTATCAGTTAATTTTCCAATCAGTTGATGAATGATTAATGGTCAGCTAATATAAAAAATACGTTGCACCCACAACTACAAATAAAAAAAGCATATTTTGCACTTGATGTTAATTTACCAAATACTTTTTTATGTTAAGTTGATTTCATTGTAGTTAAACGTGATTTTTAGTCCGCAGTTGTAAAGTATTTTTTTAATCTCTCTTATTATTAATATTATAAACGCAAAAGTTTGTGAGTATGGATGAATGTACAAACAATCATCCATACTCATACCTCTTGCGTATATAAACTCTTTCACGCAAAAACTACTGTAGGATTTTGATGAAACTTTACAATAATATAGTTTAAACATCAGAATAACTTATAGGCTATAAATTTCACGCGGCAAAACCGCGGACACAGCTGGTACTGATATAAATGCGAAAATGTGCCTAATGAACCGTTATTACCTTTGCAAGATTGAACGGAAGTAAATGAAAGTTAGGGTGAACGACATATTTCATTAAAATCCCTCAAAAGAAAGGACATAGGCTACCTTTTTCCTTAAAACGAATATGGAGTGACACAGTTACTCATTCATACATATTGAGTGTTGTTTTTATTTATCAGGTAATAATGTAGACGATGAAGACTTTGAAATTTATCAACATTTAACATAATAATATATTTAGATAACATTGCGTATATTCTGACAACTAGCAAATACTAACTTATACTAACCGAAATTATAAGGCTCGTTTTGAATGCAGTTAAAAGAGAGAAGGACATTTATCAATAAATTCAGTATAACTATATTACAGTAGTAGCTACTACTTAAGGTAAAATGTATTATTAATAATGGAGACTGGCCAACAATGTGTGGTACAATCATCAGGTCAACCACCATGCGATACCACATGGAAACCCTCGTAATTCCATAGGAATTTGCCAGGAAGAATGAAGTCAAGTCCCTTACTCCAGTAAGGGACTTGACTTCATTCTTCATTTTATTCATTCTGTTTCCCTCCTCCATGGGTCCTACTAGCGTAGTATACCAATAGACGGACCCACCATTTTAAAATCTCTAATTAGAAAGGCCTTTATATATCTCTATTTTCATATAATATAATTTATAATATTGTTAACATGTCAAAACGAGCTTTTTAAAACGGTTATAGGTACCTAGTGAATTTAAGAGTTAACAACGATGCGTATTCGGTATTTTGAATATAATAAAGCTATTGTTTAATGATATTTATTACATTGATCAGCACCTCAGAATAATGAATTCACAGACTGTAGCCTATGCTGAAGCATATACTTATTGGGAGCTTAAAATTAATATACATTAATATTATTGAATTTTGAATATTTAATTGTTTTCAAATAAATAACTATTAATAAAAATACTAATGGGTAAACATAAATGCTATTTATTTTTATATTCATGTTATATTTAATCAAAGGGGATACATGCAGAATATAATATATAATAATCTATACAGATATTAATATCCGAACGAAATAGGTTTTACATCTTTTCATTTATAGCCAAAACCGAAACATTCTTTTTAAGTACTTATTTTGTACACTTAAGTTTTTATTATATCTATTATTCACATATTAGCTAATATTCAGTTATATATAAATGATAAATGAAATCCTTAGATGCTTAAATACATATATTGTTTGTATTACATAATTATGGAGCCTGTCAAGCACAAAAATAACGAATGTAATGTCAGTCTTACGCAAGTATAGTTTCGGTTTTGGCTGATATACTTCTGTATTGGAAACTAAGTCGGAATTAAAAATTGAGTCCGACACTGCCTGCAGTTTATACCTGGGAATCACTACTACCCCTGGCAAGTGATATTGACTTATATCAATTTGCTTATACAATTAACTTCTTATTATGCTTGTTCTGTACCCTATGTCTAAGCAGGTACTTTTTTATAATATTGTAAAAAGTAAAAATTTTGTTACATATTATTTTACCGTTAACCATATGTCAGTCAGTGAATGAACTTACCTTATCATAAAAAAAGGTCACGTTTCATAACAGTATCTAATTATTGCGATGGTAATACGGGTGCAAAAATATCATTAATATAACACCAGAAAGATACGTAGACAGCTTAAAGTGACTTGTTGTGGTGCCATTCATCGAAAGTACCTACCTAAGAAACGTATAAATTTTCCGTTAGCAACCACTTCGCTGAGCGTAGCCAAAGACCTATTAAGGTATATTCTATTTCTTCTGCATTACAAATCGCTGTACCGGTATATGCCATTTTCCAAATATGTTATATAATAGTCTGACTTGTGTATTTAATATGCAACACTAGTCTAGCTACCACACCATAATCGCTAGACAAATTTGCCAAAGTTAAACAAACATACAAAGCAAACCTTTACACACGTCTATCCCAAATGAGGTAGTCACAGGCATTATACTATCATTTAACTATCGAAGTCATGGTGAATGTAATACTGGACATACCCACATTTGGCTATGTATATTTGCCGACATTAATTGTGACAAAAATAATGGCAATGCAATATGGAGACGCGTCAACGTCACCGAGCCGTTAACTTGGAGAAGTCCACCATGGAGGCCCGCCCGCCCCAATGGTTAAAGTAGTTGTACTATCAAGTCAGTGAACGTCAGGAAACAAAGGACTGTCCCAATCCAAATATGTCGCTAATTCAACGTAGCCATAGTGGCTACGTGGAAATCAATAATAATTCGTGTAAAGTAACAAAATTATATAAAAAATCCTACATGGTACTTATGAGGTTATAGTTATTTTATCAAGTAGGTGCAACTTACTATATTCATTAATTTAAAAAACCACATTAATAGGACTACTCATCTTTCTTCCAGGCTTTTTCCACATCCATACATATACATATTCGCAATACATTAATATATGAAACTCAAGAATCACATTTAAGTAAATACAAATTAAACTAATAGATTTTTTTTCAATATGTACGAATTAGATAAAACATTTAATTTTTAATGTAAATAAAACCATATGCAATGAGTTATATTTATGAAAATAATAAAAAAATCTTTGTAACCTTATAGTCCGAGATCCCGCTGCAGAATCAGTGTACCCATCGAGTGTTTGCTGAAAACCAAATTTTTACACATATTTATCATTAGGAGAATTTATATCTACCAGGTTGCCTATCAAAATGTGGCCGCTAGTATTTTTAATTAAATTATTAATAATTCATAATCCGTAAGAAATTTCATTGACTTGTTTTTTCAGTAAAATGTCGTTCACTTTACGGCAACATCTATAAAGACTGTGAAAAATCATGGTTGCCGTTGCGCACCTGGCCGCACCTCTTCGCAGCCAGGTGTACACAGGTATGATTTTATTACATTTATACACCCACAACGTATATTCATAATTTATATATCAAATTAAAGCTAATTTTTTTCTGTTTATTATCATATACGGTTGCCTAATTAAATCTGGCCGCAAATAAGGGTTGCTGGCTATTAAATATAGTAAATATTAAAAGTAGAGTGAAAGAGAGCTAGCGCGTAACACCACTAGTCAAACGAGGATAGCGATTGCCAGCTGTCGGACAGTTTAAAGCCATTGCGCATGCGTCAGATGCTAGTGTTCTCAACCTCCGATTCAAATAATAGTAGGTACGCCTCAAAATAATAAATACTACAAAAGAAACGTCTTTCTTTTCAAAATAAAAAATTAAATTTTTTCTTACGACGAAACAATAACATTAGAGAACACTTTTTAAATGAAGCATTATCAAAGTCTAGTACATTGCATTTTTTGTCGCACAGAAAACACGCCTTCATCTTTATAAATTTTATTTCGCACTGATGAGATTGATAATTTTTCGATGCACAAATGAAACAGCAATATATTATGTTGTGTATTACGTACTCCAAAACAGCGTGGTTTTTAACTTAGAATAAAAGTCGCAACTGATCCATTGAGAACACTAGCATCTGACGCATGCGCAATGGCTTTAAACTGTCCGACAGCTGGCAATCGCTATCCTCGTTTGACTAGTGGTGTTACGCGCTAGCTCTCTTTCACTCTACTTTTAATATTTACTATATTTAATAGCCAGCAACCCTTATTTGCGGCCAGATTTAATTAGGCAACCGTATATGATAATAAACAGAAAAAAATGAGCTACAATTTGATATATAAATTATGAATGTACGTTGTGGGTGTATAAATGTAATAAAATCATACCTGTGTACACCTGGCTGCGAAGAGGTGCGGCCAGGTGCGCAACGGCAACCATGATTTTTCAGTCTTTATAGATGTTGCCGTAAAGTGAACGACATTTTACTGAAAAAAACAAGTCAATGAAATTTCTTACGGATTATGAATTATTAATAATTTAATTAAAAATACTAGCGGCCACATTTTGATAGGCAACCTGGTAGATATAAATTCTCCTAATGATAAATATGTGTAAAAATTTGGTTTTCAGCAAACACTCGATGGGTACACTGATTCTGCAGCGGGATCTCGTACTATTATATATTCAGATAATTTTATAATTATTGTTTGTCAAAATTATGATATTTATAGCATCTTTTAATTTAAATCTTTTTTTTAGTGACAGATGTTGGAAATAAAGTCACAATATCGCATATATAGGCGATTACATAAAATAAATTTCATTAAGATTCTGTGGACCTCAATTTTTGAGTCCCTTTTAAGGGCAGATTGTTAAGTACATCGTGGCTTTTTATACTTTGATTGCAGCCCGACAACAGTTGATTTGTTTTACATCGTGTCGAATACTAGTAAACACCTGCAACTTCATCCGTGAGAGATATATAAACTGCCATACCACAAGTCCATCATGGTATTCAGATCAATTCCTTCAGACGATTTCACCAAAATCGTTCCAATAGTTTATCTATAAAAACGCAAGAGATAGTTACTATTTAGAATAAACAAAACGGAAACATACTTTTAACTGATATTATTCCTTCTAGACAAGTAATGTAATTTTGGTTTATATAAGTCTGAAGTGTCATATCGTTGCACTTTATTTCTGGGTGTCACCTTCATCTTCCCATTTGGCGTTTGTTGTACTGGTGTGTTTTGCTCGTAATTCTCGATGGATTTGTCGCTGGACGGACTGTTGGGCAAATCTGGAAAACAGATATTATTATAATATACCTATTGTACGAAAAAGTTTTTAAAGGTCGTATTTCTATAATATAAAAATGAATTGCTAAATGTGTTGGTAACCGCTAATCTCGAGAACTACTGAACCGATTTCGATAATTCTTTTTTTAGAATATTCCTTGAGGTACGAGGATGGTTCTTACGGAGGAAAAATTGCCTAAAAATGCCTAAAAACAACGCTTTTCTCCCTTTTTTTTAATCCCATACAAACGATTCTTAATGATACTTAAAAGTCAATTTGAACTTTAATACCATACCATAAAGTTCAAGTGTAAGTAGAGAGGTTCCGGGAAGGCATGTGTAATATTAGTCAAAAACAGGTGGTCAGTGGTAAAATGTCACTTGAAATGTACATGTCTCATTGATGTGCATATAATATTACTATAAATCCCGGCGCCCTGAATAGCAGAATAAGTATTAAATAAACTAAAAAATTAAAGAATCGACTGTTAGGCGTTACGAAGTACGCCGGGTCCGCTAGTTTCTTATGAATGTCAATTTTTCATCACTGTCTATGTGATATAAAATTGGAGTGGACAGTGTGTTTGGCAAAAATAGTGTTCAAGTAGTGTACATGACACATTTAAGATTTTTGATTATTACAATATTCTATATAAATTATAGTTTGTCATCACATTTGAACGACGATGTTTTTTTTTATTTCCAGAACGTGACCAATAATATATGAAGTGCGCAAAATTATTTATATTTTACATGCGACACTAAATACTTTTTGCTTGGAGTATTATTACAACAGCATGTTCTAAAGTAGAATATATTAAAATAAAACATTAAAATTAGGTAATAAATGATAATAGAACTTACTGGTTTTCCTTGGGCGTGGAAGTCCGACTCTTTTAGCTTTGCCTAAATATTTCGATCGAACATTGGTTGGGACATTGTTATTGCTAGATTCTTCATTTTCTGAAGTAAAAAAACACGAAAAAATTTAACACGTGAGTGTCTCTATTTAAAAAAATAATATACTAAAAATGTACTTATCATTGTATTCCTAGTAGGCATTGTTAAGAACGTTAACACTGTGGTGGCAATAGTAACACTTGACATGCTCAGTCTTACATTTTATTAAGAATGTATTAATACAATATGGAAAAACGAGAGCATACGGTCATCTCTCATATTAATTTGGTTTGATAACTTTATTTTCTTAGTTTAGTTGAAATTTTGAAGCCATACATATACGAATTGTTTATATAGTATATTGGAAGGTGCATATATAAATACGCCATAAACACACTCACCTTCAGTAGTTGACGAAATCTGATCAGACCCACTTAATTTTCTAATTTTGTTTGGAGTTAAAACTGGTCTATTGTTATTAACCACACTCTCTGTTTCATTCAATTTTCTCTTTAATGCGTTTTCATGACTGCTCTCTATATTTAATTCAGAGCAATAATCGATTCTAGGCATTTTAGTTGGTGATTCGTCTGCAACATCACCTAGTATAATTTCCATTATTTCTTTTCTGGATGTTTTGTTGACCATTTCTTCTAATTTTGCATCATAATCACTTGATAGTTCAAATGAACATTCTGATTTCACTGGACTAAACATTGGTCTGTTTGTATTTATTTCATAATAATCTGTACTAGGTAGACTAATTTCACCAGAATCATTAAGGTTTCGAATAATATTTGTAGCTTTCGCAATCTTGTAATGACCATTTTTGTAATAGGATACTATTTCATAATTTCCAAAATTCTGTGCAACCTCTTTGAGAATATTCTCTTCATATGTGTCACAATTGATCAAATACATTTTACTGCTGACATTTTTTTCTGTATATGTTTGTAGAAATTTACTAAACGTATCTCTTTCCAATTCTGCAGCAAATTTTTCATGTTCTCCAAAGTACCGAAACAAACTTTCATCAGGATTGCAGACAATTGTCTCTACTTTGTATTGATCATCTTCCATATCATATGTCATATTTGAATTATTTTCTTTTACCTTTTTACTAAGTATTTCAATATCTGTACTTTTTACTACTATATCCTTAAGCTTATCCTCCACATCCTCTGGTTCAGACAATTCTTCGGTTATAACAGTTACTTCGAAATAATTAGTTCTGTTATTGCTCTCTAGGTCTTTTTGGACATTTTCTATTGTATTCGTCTTTTTATCATTTGTAGTTTGGATTTCTTCCTGAGTTACATCTTTTCTACTGTGTGGCTCTTCATGCAAAAACTCCATTGCATGTTCAATACTAATGACATCGCATTTAGTATCGTTATCTTCTATTTTCACTGTATTTCTTGCAGATATATCAATATTTTCAATAGTTTCAAATTTCTGTACTGTAGCTTTTGTGTCTACATCAAGTTCAACATCATCGCCATCGTTTTTTATTTCCAATATTTCGTCATTATTCTGACTTTGTAGTTGTTTTTGCTCTTCTATATCCTCAACTTGCTGCGCTGCAGTTAATATTTCTATAATAGCATCGTTCTTCGTTTCAGTAGTTTGAATTCCAGAGACATTATTGGAACTATTTATATTTTGTTGTTTTCCTTCTACTGGACTCGTAATACAAGCAAACTCTAATTCTGGTCCAGGAATGTTTGAATAAACCTGGCTTAAGCTAGGTCGTACATTTGCTTGAAACTCTAGAAGTAAAGCAGCTTCCTGATTCATTCTCTTCTGTTCTTCATCTAAGAACTTGCGCATTTTCATCAACTTTTTAGCTTCTTCTAAGTTAGCAGCATATTTTGGCTTCTTTATAGTTACGTCAGGTACAAACGGTAATCGTGGTGGTGCAGCAATTGGCATTTCCAAATGTGTTTCAATTCTTACTACACATGGTTTTGTTTGGATTTCTTCCGTATTGTTTTTGCATTCATTTTGACAATGATCTTTATCACTAGGACTTGTAGAATCTCCACCTGACGATGTCGTTTCAGATTTTGAAGTGCTTTTATCATCTTTTTTACTTTCTGAAGATTTTGTCATAGAGGGATTATTTGAGCCTTTTGATGACGAGCTACCATCATTTGAATCTCTGTCGGTAGATCGACGACTATGATTTGCTCTTCCTGATGAACTGTAGTGATCATCTGTCTCTTTCTTTTCTTTTCTTTTCTCTTTATCCTCATGTTTAGTCTTACTGTTATTTTTTCGATCCTTATCTGAACGATGTGAACTAGATTTTGAATCTTTAGACGATTTCTCTTTGGACTCTTTAGAATTCTTTTCAGAACTTTTTTCATTTTTGTCCCTGTGATTAGATGAGGACGACGACAATTTTTTTTCTTCAGAATGTTTACTTGAGTGCCTTTGACTTGAACTTGTGCTTTTATATGATTTGGAATCTTTATGACTAGAACTTTTGTGGGAACTCCTGTGCCTTGAAGAATCTCTACTGTCTTTTTTATCTTTGGAACCATCTTTATGACTTGATTTAGATTTGTTATCATCTTTAGAGGTTGATTTTTTCTCGTGTTTACTACTGTCTCTAGAATTGGATTGCTTAGAATCTGAACGTCTATCTTTGCTGCTAGAATATTTATGTGATTCCCTAGAATTATGTGAACTTTTATGACTACCTTTCTTTTCTTCTACTTTTTTTTCTTTTTTTGAATCCTCTGAATTTTCGGGATCAATTACTTTATTTTCTGTATTTGTTTTGCTATTAACATCACTTTCGTAATCTATATGCAATAAATTACTGTTTGAGCTATCATCATACACTGGGGTATTAAATGTATTAATGTTAACTTGATTATTAAACTGATATGACAAAGCGGATTGATCAGAGTCTTTTTTCTCAGTTTTAATTCCATCAGAACTATTTTCTGATGATTTAGTCTCTGCGATTGCAAATCTAAAGGTGCTTGGTTCTTTCTTATCATCGTTTTTTTCTACAGAATCGTTTTCAAAAGCTTGTTGGGCGTCACATGAATTTTCATTATTAAAATTCCGAATTGGTGTAAGAGGAGACATATTTCTTCTAAGTGACGAATCAGAGCTAGATTCATCATCACTGTTAGTGTTAATTGGTTTAAAATACTGATCCTTGTCGGATGTATGAATTTCATCCGGTAATGGTATATCAGTCGATAAATTAGGTTCCCTTGGTAACTCTATGCTAGCTAATTCAACTTTAGCAACTTTAGGAGGGCTGTCAGCTGGGCGCGGTATGTTTTCAGGCTTTATTTCTTCAGTTGGTAATGGTATTGAACTCTTATCTATACTAACATCAGAATCATTAGATGTTAACTCACTTATTCCAGATAACTGTGTCTCCTGACCATCACATTTACCCTTTTCTTGTAATTCTAATGGAACAGCGCCATCTTCTTTATTATATGGTTTAGGTTCTGGATTAACATCCATATTATTTTCATCTTTAATTTCATCTGTATCCATCTGTTCCGTTTTATCATCATTGCTCTTAACCGAACCAGGACTAACTGCTTCCAAATCTGTAGGAAGCAGATCATTATCATTGTCATTTAAATTCGATGTTTCTGAAACTGGTACATCCTTCTTCTTACGAGTGATGCCTAAGAAGTCATAAACTAGGTCTTCTACTTGAGGTATGAAAACCGATGCAACTTTGGGATTTACTACTTGATCAACAATTCTCTCCACACCTTGCTCTAAGTAATTTCCACTGTAACATACAATAAATGACCTTTGAGTAATTAGTGTTAATAAATTCATGATTTGTGGTGTTAATCTTAAAAAAAATGGCCCCTGACAATTATCCGTCAAATCTCTATAACACACTAAATGTGTATGTATGGTAAGTGGCTATGTGAATGTGTGCCTTTGACCATGTTCATTGTGTTTTAATGTATTTAGTCTGTTAAAGGATATGCTAACAAATAGACAGTATGACAAGTATGTATATCATCAAAATGAGTAAAAAAATTGAGTAAAAAATATCATTACAACAACAATTCACATTTAACTAATTTTGTTGGACATATATAAAAGTAGTGGTGAAGGTATATTAACCTAGTGTTGTATAATAATTAACTTACAATAAGTATTGCAATAAAAATAAGTCAACATAAATAAATGAAACAACTTTATCAGTACAAATGTAATAACAAGCACTAAGTGAACTTACTCAAGTATGTGTTTCCGAAGTTTCTCTCTAAGTTGGTTCTTGTTTAAGTCTGGTGTCCAGCATTGTCGTGACAAGAATGTGGCAACTGAGTTTTCCACACGCTGGCGTAGATTTTGATATGCTGGCCTTGTATCCACATCAGCAATACAGTCTTTACGGAACTGAAGTCAATAATAGTATAAAGTGATGATATTGTAAAAGTTGGTCTGTACATTATATATTTTGTATAAATTCAATTAAACTTAAGAAGTGAAGCTAAAAATAAGCAACAAAACAGAACCCAGATTTTATATATCTTCAGCAGAAGAAAATGAATATAATTGACAAATCAATATCACAATTGTAAGTGTACTTTACAAAAACATGATTACTGTGAATTCTATATAAATACTAGCTGTACACACGACTTCGTCCGCTTGGAATTTAACTTTATTTTTCTAAAATAAAAGTAGCTTAAGTTACTCCTTATTACATCCGCTACCTGCCGAAAAAAGTCCCATTATAATCAGTCCAACCATTTCAGACGCTAGCCGGAACAAACAGACAGACAGATAGACAAAAATTGTAAAAAATGTTATTTCAATATTACAAACATACACAAGAATTTTATTTATATGTATAGATTAAAAGATCAACTTTTTTTAAATTATATAAATAAGATAATTATAAATTCAAGTAAATTCTTTAGATACAACAGTACACATAATTACATTAGAATACACATAGATAAAATTGTTCATAAAAAACTTGAGATGAACCATATAATTGAGTTGGGTGTTTTACACAAATTGTATAGGAATAACTACCAATTAACTTACTTTATGGACTCATTGAACAATCATAATCTTACCAATGTCATAAATGTAACAGTTTATAAGGATACTTTATTATTTAATTACCCAATCTTGCATAATCTATAACATGATTTGTATTTTAGAGAGGTTATTAGATTACATTAGAAATTATAGTTGTCTAGATTGTCTTGATATTATTATTACATAATAATATATGAAATAGATTAGATAAATTACATCAAATTTATATTAAACATTTGAAAAAATAATGGTTAAGATAAATTAAAACATTAATGTAAATTTATTTATTGCAATAATTAAATTTACATTAATGTACATTACTGTTTGTGTAAATGTTGACTAAACATGAGCTACCCAGTTTGACAATGATGTTTCTATGTTTAGTTTTTTGGTATGAAACTTCATTTACAAGTATAAATATATTTGTCCCTCACATACAATTCTTTAAAACAATTATATATATAACATGTAACTAACAATTAGTGTTTACATAAATTTTAAACTTAGTAATAAAAAAACCTTGATTTAATCATAAATGAAGAATAAAAACCTAGTCTTCCAAACTAGCACAAACTATATATCAGAAAAAAGTTTTTTCCCAAACATAAGACATACAATTTTAATTTTAATTTATAGATTCAAATAGTTACAAATTATATAAAAGCTGCCAGATGACCCAGCAAATGTTGTTGTACTCCATAAGTACCTACTAATATATTATAATAGCCATTACAAAATTGGGGTTGACTGAAATTTGTTGAAAATTGTGGGATACATGTATTTTTATTAGTAAATAATCATAAAAAAAAATTGTCCAAAAAAATAAAGTGGACTTTTTGAGTTGGACCACCTTTATCAATTAGGGGTATGTAAAGTAGTTCACATCTTATTCTAAGACCTACTACAAAATTTCACAAGAATTGGTCAAACCACTTAGGTGTGCTACACACAATGTTACACATAAAGTATTTATATATAACTAAATGGATTACTATGTGTTATTACTTGATTTTTGTATATGAAATTTTTAGATCCCTTATAATCATAATATATTTGATTAATCATGATATCACAATTGAAATTATCTTAAGTTACCTTGACCTAAGCATAGCAAACCACCATGCCAAAGAAATATAAAATTTATCAATAGAATTGACAAATAGAAAGCTATATGTGAGCTAAAGTCTAGTGATAATGACAATTTGAACATGAGTAGAATAAAACATTTTAATATAAGACTTATAATCTGAATATGCTAGATATTGTTGGCAAAATAAATTATATCCTTAAGTCAATCATTTTGAAATTCTGCAATTTAGATTTTTATGTATAGTATTACTTACTTGATCGAATATGCCCCTGGACTTCAGTTCGTAAACCAGTTGGTCGACCATTCTTGGATCACCGGGAAGATATTGCATGTGAGCCATTTTTATATATTTATTTTTATTGATTAATGAAGAAATAGATTAAAAACATATATATTGTAGTTTAATTGAATTATTTAACAATATAATTAATTACTATTATATGAAAATTAATAAATTAGATTAGTACTTAATTTTCAATTAAATTAAAATTAAATGTCTAAATATATGAAGAAATTTATACATGTATTATATTTTTTATTTCTAGAAATGACTGGGAATACCATACATTTGCCAAGGAAATGTCACTCATAACGCAGTCAGACCATAGAGTATTCACAGAGTACATAATATAAATATAGCATCTCTGACTAATTGTCATTGCTGTCAAATAAGTTTTAGGTCTTCATTATGGCTGTATGGGTATAGTGCTCTTTGCCTTTCGTAGAGGATAAAAAATAAGATAAAAAAGCCTATGTGACATTTATCAACGACTGACTTAAACAGTTAAACTGACTTTACTATGTCCGTATGATCTGTGTGAGCGTATCTGATCTGTACTATTTACTTGGTGTAATAAGTTTGAATATTTTTGTATTTTCAGTAATTTTTATGAGCTACATACAATATGACCAGTATTAAAGAGCACAGCAATTTACAAGTAAATACCATTTTACAAGAGAAACAAGAACAACTTGCTCTAGGTAAGCGTGTTAAAATGTTCGTTACTTATTACTCGACTAATTTAAAAACAGTCTTTTCAAATTAGTTCCATTACCTTACATCTTCTTTGACATTTGTAGTTTGAACGAATTGAAGAATAATAACAACATAATTTCTAAAGGAAATTGTTGTATAAAATGAATAAAATAACATCTTATACCATAAAAGAGATACACAAAATATATCGAGATAAATTATTAACACCGACAAGCTTTGTAGACTTGAGCCTTCAAAGAGTAAAACAAACCAGTGAATTAAACGCTTTTGTGACGGTAACCGAGAAAGAGGCGGAAAACCATGGTATTGAAAGTGAAAAGCGATTCTATATTGACAAGAAATCCCTACCTTTAGACGGCGTAACAATTGGACTGAAAGATAATTTTTGTACTAGGAACATTACAACAACATGTGCTTCAGAAATGTTAAAAAATTTTACCCCCACTTATGATGCTACTGTCTATGCAAGATTGCGAGCTGCTGGGGCTTGTCTTATCGGCAAATGTAACCTAGACGAATTTGCAATGGGTGCTGGGACCATAGACTCTATTTTTGGGCCTACTCGCAATCCATGGGGTTATAATAAAGATAATGATAACTGGAGAATAGCTGGTGGTAGCTCTGGTGGTAGTGCTGTGGCTGTCAGCTCTGGGTCATGTATTGCTGCTATAGGTTCTGATACGGGTGGCTCAACTAGGAACCCAGCTGCATTATGTGGTATAGTTGGCCTTAAGCCCACATATGGTCTCGTATCTAGATATGGATTAATTCCTTTAGTCAATTCTATGGATGTTCCAGGAATAATGACTAGAACTGTAACAGATGCAGCATCCATACTAAATTGCATAGCTGGGCCTGATTTACTAGATTCAACAACAATAAAAAAGGAATTTAATTATATAACACTTACAGATGATTTTGATATGTCTAATGTAAGAATTGGAATACCTAAAGAATATCATTGTGAAGGCATGAGTCAAGAGGTCATTAATGCATGGAGACATGTGGCTGATTTGCTTGAGAAGGAAAGGGCTGTAATTAAATCTGTGTCATTGCCGCATACATCAGTTTCAATTGCTGTTTATTCAATTTTAAATCAGTGTGAGGTAGCCAGTAATATGGCGAGATATGATGGTTTAGAATATGGGTTCAGAGCACAAGAAGAATATTCTACAGAAGAATTGTATGCATCAACAAGGTCTAAAGGGTTTAATGATGTTGTGCGCTGTAGAATATTTGGCGGAAACTATTTCTTGCTTACAAGAAACTATGACAAGTATTTTATAAAGGCACAAAAGTTGAGAAGACTTATATCCAATGACTTTAAAATGGTTTTCCAAGGGGATAATCATGTGGATGTATTGTTGACACCTACTACTCTGTCAGATGCACCTCTGTATAAAGATTTTATGTTGAAACATAATAGAGATCAATGTGCCTTTCAAGACTATTGCACACAACCTGCAAATATGGCTGGTATTCCGGCCATATCTATACCAATCTGTTTATCAAAGAATAATCTTCCTTTATCAGTACAGCTCATGGGCCCTTGTTTATCAGAAGAGTTATTGCTGAATATTGCTAAAAGAATTGAAAGCATAGTTAAATTTCCTACTTTAAATTCATAAGTGTGTATATATATATATATATAGAATTGTTAATAGAGTAAATTATAAGTAATATATAGTATTGTTTGGTAATGTTATTATTTTATTTCACAACGGCTGTGACCTTTCTCTGTATATCTCTATGGAAATATGTATAAAATATTTTCGTATTTAACAAATTCATATATCATACACGTAAATATTCTGAACAACTACCATTGTCACTTCAATCTTATCATCATCCTCTGCTGTAGCACTTTGACACACTATCCTTGAGAGATATTGAAAACTCTATAAACATCTTTTTGATGTTCTAAGTTTCTAAGTACTTAGGATTTGACTTTAGAAGTAACATATTTTACTGACCTTTATAATTATTTTATACTTACTAATTTTTCTTTCTAACTTTATTTTTCTAAATAATAATTGTAAATTATTTTTTATTAAAGAACAATAAATACTATAATATTTTCAATCTTATCATCATTCTATGCCTTAGCACTTTTACACAATGGTTTTTATGGTCTGACTACATATTTATTTTATATGCATGTTTTGCACACAAGTGTTTGTAAATTATTTACATTAGGTAACATATTTATAATTAATTTACATAAAAAGGTAATTTTCAGCTACCACCACATCTGAGACGCTAAAGAAACTGAATGTGTCAATTGATGTATTACCACAGAAATGCCAACAACTTTTAAGCCAAGCAGCAGACAGTCAAGCATCAATGGACATTGATATTTTTGATCCTATTGCAATATCAATATTCAATACTTCACAACTCTCAGAGGTATTGCAGGAAGAATATGAAATACTTAAGTTAAAACAGAATAACCAGCGGTTACAAGCAAAAATCAATAATAATAACAAGTTCTTTGAGGATCTAAAGAGTGAACTGCAATATTCTAGAAATTGTTTAGCAGAGCAATCTCCTAATCCTGATAGCATACAAAACCATATAAGACAGATGAGAAGTAAGGTGGCGTCATACACAGAGAGTAGTGACAAAGCAATGGTGGGTACTTTTTATACATTATTTTAAACAACAAGCTACACTTCATATAACCACTGTTCCAATTCCATGTTACATCTGCAGTTAATTGAATAATATTGAAAAGAGCAAAATGAAATTTTGATTTATTTATGTCATTAGAATAGCAATAAAGCTGATGGCACACTAGATGGTAAGTGGTTACCATCACTTATTATATGATTCTAATGTGACACTTATGATACCCCTCATATGTTGCCATGTCAGAGGACTAAGGTATCATGCCTCTAATCCTGTAATACCATTGTCTAATCACACAATAGAACATGTATGACTTTATAATTTCTTTCATGATGTTGTTAATAAAACAAAGCAGATGATGATTACAAAAAGAATCTTATATACTAAATAACAATAGGAAAATGTAAGGTGGGGTGACACAGTTTAGATACAAGTGCCTAGTAGACAATATTAGACATTATTAAATGCATTTATTATTTTAAAACTGTGCTAGGTGTATAGTAATGGTGAGATATTCCCCCCTTGAGAGAAAAAAATATATATATTACACACAAAAAAATTATAAAAGTTAATTATGAACAATATAAATTAATAAAATATTTTTTTTTTTTTTTTTACAAATTAAATCTCACTGTAGGATAAGATGTGCGTCCATAACGTGTCACTTTCAAAGGTCGGCTGTCAGCTGTTGACGAGCGGTGTCCTGTTTCTGCCTCGCCAGCAATTGCTTCGACGACTTTTTACATTTGTTTCTTTTTCGTCACCTTTTCTGTTTGACAACAAAAAATACAATATAATAAACTCAAATGAATAGAACATGTATGACTTTATAATTTCTTTCATGATGTTGTTAATAATTAACATAAGCTTTATACCAGGTGGTGAGCGCATAGTGCCATATGACTATAGGAAATATGGATCAAACCACACTATTGATATTAATTATATTAGGAATGACGAACGAGGCACCAAGTACATTTAATGAGAAGTGGTAAAACGTTTTATTAAAAGCTTAACATTATTAATATTTAAAATCCATGCCATGTTAATAAGGTGTTTTTCTTGTAATAAAGTGTTCCCGCCTCCGCTATTGGTATATGCTGATTAAATTACTTATTACTACTATATTCATTAGAAATTAATTATTGGGGGCTGCATGGATGTCGATGTGACATGGTATATTGCTACCAATATTATTACTAATAATCCCTTTTCTCTACAAGTGTATCGTTTATTTTAGGCGAAATACTTGAAATTATCAGTGCCCGACAGAATCCTTCCGAAATCTTTACTTACGCTGGTGGAGACATTGGTCATATTAAAAGCGGAGGCTATGACGCTGCAGCAGAGTGCGGATGAAGTTGCTCTAGCGAAGGAGGCTAGAGAAAATTTCAGTAGACTTCGCAGAAAGGATTAATATAGTATAATAATAAAGCAATAAATAGATAATAATAGTATTTATATATTTTTTTTAAATGTAACACGATGTCCTAACCTTAAGATCCGGCAGACTTTGTCCTGCCCGGAAAAGCAACACCACCTACTAGGTCCGATTATTTTTAAACCATCTACGAATCCCTTTAATATATGAAATTACATTCACACTTGACTAGTTTAGTAGTAATTAGGTAACAAAAACAGATTATTTAAATGTATCAATATTGTTGTGGACTTCGTAATATATTGCTGGCCACAAAATAAAAAAGTTAAAAATTTTATGACATAAGAAAATATATGATTTTATTATTTTATTAATATATTATCCAACACATAAACTGGCGACCGTGACAGAACATTTCAATGACATACAATCGACTATGAAATGTTTGAATATGGAATTAGTTAAATCGAACGAAGATGGAATCTTACGTGTCAAAACAAGACTTACACTACGAGACGACACATACTATATATACTTTTATATTTCCAATTTTACTTCCTGGATCAAATAAATTAGTTCAAAATCTGATTCGTCATAAACATATTGAGTTGTGTCACGCTGGTTCACAATTATTAATTAGTAATATTAGAAAATTTTATTGGGTCATGGGAATCGGACAAATATGTAAAAGAATTGTGCGTGAATGTGTTGTTTGAAAGCGTTATAATGCTCGTAGATGTTCTGTACCACCAGCTCCGTTACCAATTGGTCGTACAAATTGCGGTGCTGCCTTTGATATTACTGGGGTAGATTTTGCTGGTCCATTATATCTCCGAGATAATGAGAAACACTGGATCGCAGTCTTTACTTGTGCATCTTATCGCCCCATTCATTTGGAATTATGTAAGTCATTATCTACGGAAGATTTTATGCTGGCTTTTCGTAGATTTATTGCACGTAGAGGCAAGCCTAAGACTGTCTACTCCGATAATGGTACGAACTTTCGTGGTACAAGTAACCTTCTGAATAGTACTGATTGGGAAAGGGTTTCACTACGGACGACATCTCATAAAATAGAATGGCGGTTCAATCCCCCTCAAGCTCCGTGGTGGGGAGGGTTTTGGGAGCGCAAGATTAAGATAATAAAAGAAATGTTACGAAAAATCTTAGGTAAAGCTTGTCTAGACTTCACATCTCTCTTAACCATTTTGTGCGAGATAGAATGTATCATGAATAACAGACCATTGACGTACATTGCAGATGATACTGAAAATCTGAAACCACTTACGCAAGCAATGTTTCTACAGGATTTAAAACCGTATGATACTGTGCATTTAGATCAAGCTGACGCTCATACATTAAATACGAAAGTTACATATTTACAAAAATTACGCAAAGATAAAATCTTTATTCCACAGCGAATATCTTTCATTGTTAAAGCAACTTGCGTTCAATAAATCACGAATTATTAAAGTAGGCGATATAGTATTAGTAGAGCTAGAATCTAAACGTGTAGATTGGCCACTTGCTGTAGTTACGGCTGTATTTCCAGGATCAGACGGGGTTGTTCGAGTAGCACGAGTTAAAACTGCAATGGGAGAAAAGATTCGACCACTACAACGTTTATTTCCATTGAAGGTACCCTTAATTTCTCCAATGCCTAACCCTATACAGACTGATCCTGTTTCACCTCAATTAGAAACACAGCAGACTCGATGTGATCGTTCTATTAAAATACCACAAAAATTAGATCTTTAAGTTTATATTCAATTTTGTGTGTTTGTGTTTTGCAATATACATAAGTAATTGCAAAGGCGGCGAGTATGTTGTGGACTTCGTAATATATTGCTGGCCACAAAATAAAAAAGTTAAAAACTTTATGACATAAGAAAATATATGATTTTATTATTTTATTAAATATATTATCCAACACAAATATATATGTAGTACGAATTGTATGATATAAATAATTATTATGACGCTTCTAATGCTACATTTAATGAAGCAACAGCGTTTAAAAAAATTACCATCAAAATTGTAGTTTCATACTTTATCAACCTGTCTATAATAATCACGAAAACGAAAACACATCGACATTTAATATTAGATACCGCCATCTAGCGACGAGCATTAGCATGTAATGACAATATTGAAGAAAATGATTAAGCTTACAATTTGTTTCGAGGATATAAAGTATACACATAATTTGTAGTTATGTATGTTCCTATGATTTTTTCACGATATTTATATTTAATGTCCTTAGTGATGCAGAGGTTCTATACAGTCAGTGTAGTGATGTTTACGGTCATGAGTTCGATCGTCGCACAAGCATATTTATGTTTTGCTATTAGTATGTAATTACTCAAAAATATTGTATACTGTACCATCGGTGGTTACTCCATATCTAGAGAAGATTCAAAGGTCTCTTAGAAGTGTTATCTAAGTATAAAGGTAAGCTTAAACTTTTTGTAGTTTTACAAATATGTCGAATATCTTCAACTTTAAATTAAAAACAATGTTAAAATCATTATTAACAATATATTTTATTATTTGTATCATCAGTAAGTCTATTCATATTGTTACAGTTATAAATTTCATTGTGACATGCGCTATTTGTCTTTTGCCAGTAGGTATACAAAATATTAACAGTTTTCTACTTCCTCAGGCAAATTCAGGAGCAAGTCGTTAGCGTTTCCTAAAACAAAATGTAATGTTACTTATTTTAAATATGAACATTATACACCGATTACGGAGTAGCAATTTTGTGTAGGTGTTTATGCATGAATGAATATCAATGAAATTTGGCATAAAGATTATATTTCTTTTATAGATGATTATGTAATAGTGATCTCGTTCGCGCGAACGGTTTACGATGACGGGATACTAATGGAGAATGATAGAATGAGTTTTTTTTTATAACACAGGGGACAAAGGAGCATGCGGCTCACCTGATGGTAAGTGATTACCGCCGCCCATGAGCACCCGCAACACCAGGGGAATTGCAAGTACGTTGTCGGCCTTTTAAAAAGGAAGAAGCTCTTTTCTTGAAGGTTTCAATATCGTATCGGTTCGGAAATACCATTGCTGGAAGGTGATTCCATAATGTGGTTGTGCGAGGCAAAAAGTTTCTAGAAAACCGCACTGTGGAAGACCGCCATTCATCCAGATGATCAGGATGGTATTTCAATTTCTGGCGGGTGGTACGGTGGTGAAACTCAGCAGCTGGTATTAATCCGAACAATTCCTCAGAACACTCCCCATGATATATGCGGTAGAAAATGCACAGAGATGCAATATCACGCCGCAAAGCCAATGGGTCGAGTCTGTCACATAGACGTTGATTACCAATGATTCTGGCTGCTCGGTTCTGAATGCGGTCAAATGGAAGTAGCTGGAGCACCACAATGCTCCCGCCCAGAGGTGAGAACAGTATTCCATGTGCGGCCGGATCTGCGCCTTGTATAATTGCAAGCGATGGGCCGCCGTGAAATACCGTCCCACTCTACTGAGCACACCAAGCTTTTTTGAGGCTATTTTAGCCTTGTCCTCCAAATGACCGCAAAACTGAACGTCACTGGATATATCAACGCCAAGGACCTCGAGATTTGGCTTCACATCAAGGAGAGTGTCTTGAAACTGAGGAGATACGATAAATGGATTCTTTTTAGCGGTAAACGCGCAAACTTGTGTCTTCTTGGGGTTGAATTGAACACAATTTTCCTGACCCCAAACCGAAACTTGATGGAGTGAAGTGTCGATTTCGGACACAAGTTTGTTTCGGTACTCTATAACTTTTGCCTGCGACATATTAGCATGGCCGCTGTACAAGGCATCTCCGGTACTGTCATCCGCATAGCAATGAATGTTGTTAATTTGTAACATGTCATTGATATGCAGAAGGAACAGAGTCGGAGACAGCACACAGCCTTGTGGAACACCAGCATTCACAGAGTGTGGGTCGGAGCAAGCACCATCGATAACGATCTTGATGCTCCGATCAGCGAGAAAGCTGGCGACCCATTTGCATAACTTCGCAGGCAACCCGAAGGATGGTAGCTTTGAAAGAAGAGCTTTGTGCCAAACCCGATCAAAGGCCTTCGCAATATCCAGACTAACAGATAGGGCCTCCCCCTTACTCTCAATAGCCTCTGCCCATCGATGTGTCAAATATACTAGAAGATCACCAGCTGAGCGACCCTGGGGAAAGCCATACTGACGATCAGAAATCAACTGGTTCACTTCTAGGTATCGTAGGAGTTGACGGTTTACAATCGACTCCATTGTCTTTGAGAATAGAGAGAGTTGAGATTAGGACAGTTGGTCCATTGTGGCAAATTAACCGGGAATCTATTGGAATGGTTCCCAGACAAACCGCGTGGAGGTCAATCTGATTTAGTACATTGTTAACGATGGAGTAATAATAAATAAATAGCTGAGAATTACTAGTGAAATACTAGCAATTCTCAGCTTTATTTAGTCTATATATTTCACAGAATATGTTATTAAGTATAAATTCTTCCAGCCGGTTTTCGTCTCGTTACTATTTTATTATATTTTAGAGTAGCTGTACCCGTGACATAAGTAGCCTAAGGTACTTGTTATTACATCAGCTACTATACTATAATAAAAGTCCCGTCAAAATTGGTCCAGCCATTTCAGAGATTAGACGGAACAAACAGACAGACAGACAAAAACGGTAAAAAATGTTATTTTTGTGTATATACCGTATTTACATTCATATGTATGTAGTAAAAAACGGTTATTTCAATATTATAAACAGACACTCCAATTTTATATATATGTATAGATTATAAAACAAAATACCTTTAAGAAATCTGTATGTTCGTGAATAAAAAAATACTGAATGGATTTTCCTACGGTTTTGTTCTATCCATATATTGATTCCTGAGGAAAGTTTGGGTGTACTATGTAATTTAATTGAAATTCTCGTGCGAAGACAAGGTGGGGTGGTTCGCTAGTTGAAAATACAAGAAATTTGTTATAGCTAATATATTTAAGTACAAATTTGTTATTACTTACCTCTTTATTGTTCTATTCTAACATGTGCTTTTCACCTAAATTCATGGAATGCTGCCCATGTCCTAGCTGTCCCCTCAACCCCCAAATAAAGAATTTATTAGGGCTGGTATTCATTCCACTGTCCTTTTTTGTTTGTAGACACTTATCTCTAGGTTCTACAGTCTGGCAATGAATTTCAGCGCGGAGGTGACTGTATTCAGTCTGCGTAGAGTGAGTTTGGCAATTCACTATAGATGCCTATACATATAAAGCATAAATAAGTTTCTTGTTCACAAATAAATAATAAAAACAGCAATGTCAAAAATTTTCATTAACAAAGGCGGCCTTATCGCTAATATAACAAAATACATATAACCTAAATATTTTTTTATTCTTATACATATTAATTACTTCTTAGTGCATAAGAGGGCTTAAGCGGGATGACACCTCAATCTTGAATTTATTTATTGATTTATTATACATATATTTTCTTTAACATTAGATTCCGCACTGCTTTTTACGTGAATTGAAAATATGAAACTTTATAGTTTTATACTGTTAAGTGTCCGAAATTCATACTCCACCATCCCGCAATTTTCGTAAAAAATTAGTTTGCTTCACGTATTAATATATAGATTTGTACAAGGTCTTCAAATTATTTTTGCCTGATTTTGAAGGTAGGGCATTACCATATACCATCTATAAAGAGTCATGTTATACTATAAAGAGACATGTCAAAAATGACTGTCTATTCTAAGAAAATAGTGCTTTATTACTATAGTCATAGGGGCTCCATTATCCTAATGTGCACAGGGCCTCTAATAGGTGAATAATGGCCCTGAAAAAATGTTACTGTTTGGACCACTAATTCCATTGATTGCTCAAACGACATACCCACTGGCAGGCCCTTCTTTTCCATTCCCAAAGGTCGCAAGTGTAATTCTTCTCTATGTATTCCGCAACAGGATGCACTTCTGTTTGTATATTTTTGTCTAACACTTTAACTGTAATTTATTCGTACAGGATTCAGTAGGAATTTAACTACTAAAATTGTCTACAAAATCAAGATATAATTATTTACAATGAGACTGAATAATCATTTAACAATAAGATGGTAAGCATAGCTGATGACATTATTAAAGGCACCGTCACAATTTGTAGGTGCCAGCGCATTATAATTATTATGCTATATTCCAAAATAATATATATATATAAACAGGAATAGTTTAAAAAAAAGGACTAAGATTTTATTTTTTTAAAAAACAAATACCAATGGCCAAAATTTGTATCGGACTAAAATATTGAAATCTACATGGATTGGATAATCGCTGTAGCTATATACAAATTATACATCGTACCTATATGTTACACTATAAAAAATACTATCTCTTTATTTTAGCTGTTGAATTACATTCAATATAAGGACGAGTAATTTGATTTAATTATACCCTACATAGGTACATACTTACTTTTCGGCAAACATTTAATTACAAGGTTATCAATGGTCTTGACTTTCACAACTTCATCCATAATATTTAACAAATTGATAATTTGTGGTTTATTTCGAGCATATTCCATAACTTCATTTATGTACCTAAGGAATTTATATTCTGATCATTATACCTAATATATTTAAAATTATTACAAAGTAAATTATTTTTAAAGAGAGACCACTAATTCAAAATATGTACATCGTTTGTATTTTTATCTGCAATGAAGTACGTACCTTTGAGGGTCTTTACCAAATCTGGCAGCCATTTTTACGTTGCAAAATCCAAATCGCTGTCCTTTAGCCTTGATGAGACCCACTTTCGTGTTGCTGGGTACTAAGGCGCCTACGCTCAAACAAAGAGCACAAAAACCAAGGTACTGCAACAAACATTATTTACGAAATAAATATAAATATTAAATCAATTTGTAGTGTTTCCATTATCAGATCGTCGAAACTAAATCGAGGATAAGTACTCGTGTATTCACTGTTAAACATATATTGTAGTATGTTGAAAAATGTATGCATGCATTCCATTCCTGGGGTGGAATTCGCGGAATGGATACGGGCCAATTTCATCGTGATTGCGGTTTACCTTGCATAAACCAAGTTGAACTACCTATAGGCCAAGTAACTCAAAAATTATGCTTTTATAGATAAATAGGTTTCTACAGTAATACATACTTTTTTATTATTTATACAAATTTTTCTCTGCTATACTAAATTGGTTCACATGTAATAATCTATTATTGAACTCCAACAAAACGTTCGTTTACCAGCCAATTAAATACGCAGCTATGATCATGAAATAGTAAATTTTGTTAATGATAATGAACTGAATAGTTCTGCTGTTTGCAATTAGAAGGATAAGGCAATTAACAGACGTGGGGACAGTGTGGAGGTTTACCTTGCATAAACATTACAAGACCAAGTGGTGAACCAAAAATAACTAGTGTACGAAAATATTATGTATAGATAGTTTCAAGAAACTTAAAGACCAAGTAGAAAACGCAATAAAAATAAGCTAATTTTACCTAAACTCTACACAAAAAAATTAGGCATGTATAATAAAAAAATATACAGAGAGGCAATTCAAATCTTATATTAAACAAATGTTATAGATGAATTTATAGATAGCAATATTATTAAATAAAAATAATCAAAGTCTATTAATTAATATTACTATATTATTACACGGTTTCTACAGTAATACATACTTTTTTATTATTTATACAAATTTTTTTCTCTGTTCTGCAATAGGTATATTTAAACAGAACAGAACATATTTTTTCCGGAACAGAAATAAATATTGTATTTAATTAATTTATATGTCGAACAAATGCCATTGGCACGATCGACTTCAAAAATTGCCTATAAACATCACCTTAAAAAGGTGTAAGAACAACACAAATCGATGAAAGTTATCTTCTAACTCTAGTAGCACAGCCAGAAAAGAAACATAGCGCCATTTAATTTTATGCCAGCGCCATCTAGTGTAGACTGAAAACAACATTAATGATTGCTCGTAGTGATCACGAAAAGATACTATTGTACATAATTTCGTATGTAACAGGAGTCTAAGAGCCAGATGTAAATAATTTGTGTGATGTACAATGTGTAATACAGTACTTATGATCACATTAAACAATTTAATTATACCACAGGAATACTTATCTTTACATGGTATAAAATAAAGTCGACACCGCAGTCTGTACGTTTATATCTCTTAAACCACGCAACGGACTTTAATGCAGTTTTCAGTATCTAATAGATAGAGTACTCTAAGAAGGTTTATATGTATAATACATGCATATTATAATACAGAAAAGCCAAGACATTCAAAGATTTGTAGTGCACCCATTCAAAAGGGCGGGACTCTACCATATTATAAAATATCTTTCTAAAATTTCTAACCTGAACATGCTTATCCTTCATAGTGAAACTATTATTATACGCGACATAATTTTTCAGAGATCCCAATGAGATTCTCTCTTCCAAGCTAACTCTGCTGCTCATTCTATCTAAGTCAGTCACCACTAGTTTTCCTTGCAGCATCTTGTCGAGTATATCGTAGGGTATCTTCATTTGGTCTTGAATTGATGATAATATGGACATTAAACGATTGACGGTGGAGACCAGGTACATTACATTTTGCATGGAACGCCAGACTTGCCAGAGTTTAACAAATAAAGGCTGTAAGTATAAGTTATGGAATTTGATAGGGAAGCAAAGTATACAATTAGTTTTATTACCTGTGTTACGTAATATACGCAAAAAACGATAGTTTAGCTTATGCGTTGGTAGTTAATCAGGAAGGTTTTTTAATTATAAATATATAAAAATATTTTACTGCGGCATAGACCCAACGAAACTATAAATAACATTTTAACTTACAAACACTGTAACGACCGGCACTGCTGCTTTGTATTTGACTGCTTGGTGAAGTTCTTCCAAGACATTCCGTACTTTCTCAACGTATTGGGTTCCGTTGAAAACCATAGTTTCCACGTCTGAGAGAAGACGCCGTATAAACATTTCGTACTGGCGGTTGAAAGCGAGTAATTCGAATATTTGTTTGCAGTATTCTCTGAAATTTTTAAAATGAAACTACCACACAATTGAAATGCCTAGCGTAATTGTATTTTTGAGCGAGAGTGAGTCATTTTTCAGTATATAGCCAGTAATTTAGGACCAAGTACATTCTCTTTTATCTATTTTACAGATATAAAATAGTAGAACGCAAATTTATGTCTTACTCCGTTAAGTCAGTATTAGGCTTTATGTCAATAACGACGTTGCCAGTCTCCTCTTGTATTGAGACCGTATCTTCTACAGCGGTGGTCAACGTATTTACGCGCTGCATCACACCTATCAAGGCATTGGAAAGTGCTGCCAGACACGCTTTTCCAGCATCCACCAGATTGAATGGTACTGAAAGAATTTTTTATAAAATTTCATAGAATAAAATATTGCCAGGCAATGCGGTTTTTGAAATATTACATTGAATCTTTAAAATCATTACAGCAGCAGGTAGATATAATCGTACTAGGTAAGTTTAACTGTAATAACTATATTATCTGTATTGGAAATATCTAAATAAATTTTATCGATCTATTCTGTGAAATTATATATGTAGTCGACACATTCCATTATAAATTAATATGTACGTCTAGATAATAAGACGTTGATTCGCATAAACTGTAGGTAGTTTATTTCCATTATTCAACATCACATAAACCTATGGGCATGAAGCAACTTACGGTCAGGTATCCCTTCTCCACCTTTCTTGCAATCTCTGTTGAATAGTCGTACGCCAGAAACAAGCTCCATTAATTCAGATAACTGGGTCAACTTTTCCCCGCGTGGAAGTGCCACGAATACACGCAGGTCCTCCATAGAAAATACACTTTCTAGTGCTGCCATGCCTTCTTTCAATGTCTACAAATAGTTATTTGTTAAGCCTTTGCAGTAATATTGACGACATTACTAATTCATACCTATGCACCATTTGACGCCCTTAGTGAATTAGCTGACGCCCTTCTTCCGAGGGTCGCTAGTTCGATTTCACAAATTTGTATTCAGTATTATTGATTGTTTTGGTCTGGGTGTTTACTGTGTATATTATGTATGTACCTATTTACAAAAAATGTATTGTAATATTTCTATCAGTTGTTTAGTACCCATTTTACAATCTCTGCTTAATTTGGGACTAAACGACAGTATGAATTGATTGTGATTGGACGATACGTATATGGCAGTTAAATTACAATGCAAGACATGGGTATTAGGTAAGTAGAAACACCGAATTCGTCAGGATTGGCAGTCCACGACATATATAAACAGTGTTTATTCTTTTTGTGATACACATAATTATGATATATTTTATTTAGGTATTGTATATGTATTATAAGTATCTGTAAATACATTTATACCTAAATATAATGGAAAAGTAAACATTATAAAAACATCAAAATATTTTGTACGACAAAGATATCGTAACATTCATACAAAACTGTAATATTACTTAGTAGTTATTATATAATATTGTATAACCAGTATAACTCCAGGATTCCCGAGTCCACTGGCAAGTATAATGTAAATTGATATCTTCCTGAACAATTTTTTAAATGCCGCTTCATCTTCTAAGTGGGGATCTTCCTCTAATATCTCTGTCACCAACGGTCGAAGACACTTGTTTATTGATTCCAAGTGTTTATCAATTAAATTTTGTAGTTTATCATAATTGCTTTGTATTACAAATTGCATTTTTAATGTATTTATTGACGTACTTTCGCCACCTGCAATAGCACAGATAATGACATAATATTTATAAAATATAAATAATTTTGTAACCTTTACAATGCCATAGGAGTGAGTTTATTCTGTGATAACCATCATTGCTGAGGTAGTTTGTACAGAATTGTCTGCGTGCGTTATTTATTTCAACCGCGGAACAGCTTGCTTTGTAAGATCTCTTTTAGTTGAAGGTGAGATAAGTCAGTATTATTTATTATATGCATCTTGGTTCTCAGGAAAGGCAGCGCATGACACCAAAGCTCTCCAGTAATGGTGATGTCCATACTGTTCTTTTATATGGATAACGGTCACCATATACTATACTGTAAGGTTATCTACCAGTTGGTAGGTAGTTTGTATCCACACTTTTCGACTTAAAAAATGTGAACTTACAAGGATTATTTAAAAAAGCAACACACAGTTTGTATTCACACTTTTTTTTGCTCGATTATTTAAAAAAGCAACACACAAGTTTTTTGCTCGTTTTATTGAGACCGTTTTTCGAATGAGCGGTAGATTAAAAATATCGTTGACTATTCAAAGTATCTAAGTTAAATTTATATGAATAAAGGATTTTCTATTCTAGTCAATATAAATAAAATGTCATTAGTACTACACAGCTGTAGAGGAAAGGCATACTGCATTCTAAGTATTATATTAGACTAGTAGTGCGCACGGTTTCAATCGGATTAATTTTTTAGCTTGCGTTATTCTGAGGTATCTATATTATTGTAGATTCATTAAAATCCATTCAGTAGTTTTTGCGTGAAAGTGTAACAAACATCCCTCCACACTCACAAACTTCCATGATTATAATACATATTAGTAAATTGTATTATTGATGTGTTTAATCGCAGGACAATTTGTGAGAGATTAAAATGGCTTATGCTATTGGCCTAATTCGATCTTACAATCTTTAACGTAGTAACTACCAGGCTAGGAAGACAAACTAGAAGAGAGATGATTAGTACTTACAATTTAACATAGTAACACATTCTTCAACAAAAAACTGCAAATTGTTTCTATTGATTGCTCTGGAAAACAATTTCCCGTACTTTGGGTTTAATAATAGAAGTTCTATTAGATATATGACAAATTCCGGATCTACGGTTACTTGACAGTTCCTCGTTATTTCATTGGCCATATTTTTTATGATGTTTTCGTTACAAGCCATTGCAATAAAGTTAACAATAATTACAAAATATTATGAAGTAGGTAGATTTGTCAATGTTACCATAGTAACAGATTACTGCAAGTAAACCTAGAGGTAAATATTGCTGTCACAAATTTGAAAAAAAAAATCAATGTGTATGATGTGTTCAGAAAAACTAAAGCTATTTGATTATATCAAAATAAAAATTATTAAGATTTGATATATTATAGGTACATACTACATCAGTTTTACCATACAAATATATTCAACCTTTTAAAAGTACATACCATTCTATAATTTAAAATTTATCACCAGACAAAAATATTTTTTTGTATCATATAGAATTTTTTCTTATATGTAAGTAATATTGTTATGAAACTCACGTATGATTACTCAAATGAAATAAAAAAAAACATTTATTATGTACCTATTACTATTTATTACGTCATACGTCCGCCGTAATAGGCCTCAATACAATACAACCTTTATAATCTAGACAAATAGATTCAAATTCGAGCAATAATGTTGATACAAAACAGCACTTGATACACTTCAGATTAATAAAAAAATATTACAAAAATATAAGAGAGCATATAGATATAATTTAATAGCGCGTTTAGAAATAATTCATTTTGTATTAAGTATAATCAAGAGTTTAATTTAAATGTTTTATTTTGTTTGCATAAAATTGTATGCAGTGAAAAAAATAATTGTTTGCAGTGCTTATATACTTCACACGCTAGTTATAAGAAATCCCTTCTTAATTCATGTTTAAAAAATGGACACAGTGCATAAATTTCAAATTTGTAGTCTGTTCATTGAGAAATTAGGCAGTAGAAGCAATTTTATATATATTATTATTTCGGGAAATTTAAAGTTCTTAAGAATTTCGCCTTGAATCTGATTAAAATATTTTTGCTTTACTATATATACTGGATGGCAATTAAATATTAATATTTATATAAATTAATATTTTGAAGTAAAATTGGAGTACTTTAAACATTGCAAACATAATGGCATATTTTAATGCATACAAATACATACATAAACAAAAATATAACATTAAACTTCATATAATCATGAGAAATTTCTGTAGCCATAAAGATTACATTTAAGACCTTTCTTTTTTAACGTTTCAGTTCCAATCAACATATTACATTTTTAATAGACATTTTCAGTAGTTTCAATGAATGAACATTTGAAAAATATAATTTAGAATAACAACAAAATATGAATGACTATACAACTTGGGGATATGCAGAGCAATAGACCCTCTCGAGCCCTAAATGAAAACAGACAAAAGGAACTAAGTTCAAAATATGACTGGTCTGTTTTCCTATCAGTCTTTAGCATAACTTATACTATCCCCAATGTAACTTAATCTGAAGTAGAACAAGCTATATTGTAATAACGAGCATATACTTTCGTATATTGTACCTACATCTTTTTGCACTGCACTTATATCTAAGTATACATATAATATAATTGTTTATAAATAAAAATTGTTTCTATGTCTTTTGCAACAATCAATTCAAATAGGACAAATTATATTTAATTAAATGGACCAATACAAACATTAAGATTTTTCTCCTGTAATGAATATAAATTGCTGCCTTTAATATTAATATTTTGAAAAACAAATTGTAATCCAATAAAAGATATCACAGCAATTTTTCTTAAAACTAAGGTTTTAAGAGAATACTCACGTGTGTCAAGCTTGCAATTAAATAGATTTCAATTTATCTTCTATATTCAGTGTAATAGACATCAAAATATGACACTCGCAAATAAACCAAACCTCACATTACCACTACATTACTGAAATTTCTTTCATGGATTTCTTAAATCTAACTTAGCTACTATATATTTACTAATTCGTCGATTGACATTACAATTACTGTAATCTAGTTGAGACTAGCTTTTCTGTAGGAATGGCTTTTCAGCAGTTCTTACAAAATTCCTTTGCAAAGGAAAACTTTAATTTCAACTTGTAATAAAAGGCTCTCCATATAAGAAAGACAAAATAGCTATCTCCTGTCAAGTTTTATGATTTTTAATTTTATTTAATTCTATCCCGGCATGTACCCAGACTGCAATGAGATTAGGTAAAAATAAATAACAATTGTATTCAATTTACGTTTGGTGACGTTAGATATCTCATTGCATAATGCAACACATAACAAAGTAAACCTACACAATGTAGGTGCATGGTTGACTTAAGTTATCGAAGATAATTTGTATATGTCTAACCATTTATATATTTATTATATATTTTGGACCTTTCTAGTAGTAGTAATACATTAACCGAAAAAGCAATATATAAACATAAAAGAAATGAAAAATAACACTTTACTATTCCATATCTTGAGTAGAATCAATCACACTCAGTGATTTCCCTCATATGGAGGTACCAACGATTTTAAACAAAAATTGATAACTTGTAAGTCAATATGATATTTTTATTAATAAAAAAAAAACACAAAATTAGAGCTGTCAATATCATCAAATTGTTATACTTATTGGAAATACCTCTTAAGTCACACTTTATTTAATATACAATCAATATTCTGATGCAAATAAGTCTCTTACTTCCAATTCATAAACCCACGCCAATCGACAAACTAGGTATCGAAAAAGGTTTACTCATCGATGAAGTGTGATTTGAGGTACTTCATCATGCCAAATGTGCGGAAGCGCTTGGTCCCAATAACCTTGTAGAGGGCGTCATCGCAAATGGCAAACTGGCGGTTGTTGGGGTCGTACAGTTTCTTCTCCTTGATGATAGCCCAGACACGTTTAACGACTTCGTGGCGCGGCATCTCATCGGCGCCCATGAGAGCAGATAGCGCTGGCGATAGCTTATAAGCGCGTGTGTAGCCACCTCCCTTTCCACGGCCGCCCGCCTGAAGTATTATAGTTTATTTTTATTGTCTTGGTTTGAGCATGACATGCGGAGGAGCGAGGACCATGTCTTAAAGAAACGTGGAGGAAAAGAGAGAGGACAACAAATTAGAAGATAAATGGAATGTGGAATAGACGATATGCATGAGAAGAAAGGCAGCACAGATACGACGGCGAATAGGTAAAACATGATGACAATGATGAAATGAAATGATAAGGTGCTGACTCTAAATAATCCATAATAATACATTCATGATATTGTTCCAGATTCCTACTATGAAGTCCTGCTGACCCACACTTAAATATAAGATGCTAAGTACATAATAATAGTGATAACATGTAGTTAAAACCATTAAAATTCAGATAAATGTGTTACTATTTTCATTTATGATAATTTTTAAGATAACATCTTTTTTTACGTTTTCTGTAAGTTCTATTGAAACAAGTACCTTTTTTGTTTTGGGTGCCTTCTTTTTGTCTTTCTTGCCCCGGCCGCCATCAAAGTCGTCATCTGAATCCTTCTTTTTACCCTTCTTCTTCTTAGGCTTCTCCTGAAAAAAAAAAATTATAAATATTATATTTAACCTGATACTGCTTTATTATTAGAGTATGACTAAACAAAATTAAAAGGAGTGCATTTGTGTAGAAATTATAAGTAGTTATGGTGGTTATTATTTAGTGCCAACAATTGAAATATCTGATTACTGGTATGTGAAAATGAAACATTACATTTAGTAATAATAGTAAATCATATCTCAATGAGTGTTTGTCTATTAACACCTAAACAGCTGGACGAAATGGTATCAAACTGTGTTAATATATTTTAATTGAAAACACAATTGAATCTGGTAGGTGCAAAAGCTTTTTCAGACATGACAATATTTACAAGAACTACTAGTATATAATTACATAATATATAAAATCAGCACCATTATACAAACTTTACCTTGGTCATACATATGTAAGCATAATCAATGCACATTTCCCTATGAAATTATATATAACTCTTTTTAACACTTTCTGAATAAAGCATATTAAGAATTAGTTTTAATTAATACTTTTTTGGATAAACTGGATAGACCAAGTTTCAGCTCTATACTAAAAATATTCACCTTCTCATATTCACTGTCACTGTTGTCTTCTTCATCTTCAGATGAATCTTTGCGTTTCTTGGTGGATCTCTTGGAGACAGGTGCAGCACGCTTGGTTGTTTTCTTTGGTTTTTCTTCTTCCTCCTAATTTTGAAAATAATATGAAATGAAAGCTTTACAGTGGCCCTAAAGCCAAATAATCAAATTTGTGTATGTCATTGGACCTCATGAAGTGTAGAAAAAATAGACAGATGAGATGTATTTTATGCTAGGTATTACCCGCAACTTAGTCTACTTTTTGAAATAATAGATAGTGTGTAAATATTCACGTAATGCAATTTATCATCACATCAAGTTTCATTGAGATTCACCTTAAGCCATTTTGTTGTGAAAAGGTAACAAATTAACAGACAGACAGACCCATTTTTATATTTATAATAATTAGTATAGATGCAGGGGACATATAACCTAGAAGTGCCCTCACTTTTAATTTCTTTATTTATAACGACACAATGCCTCACTAATGGACATCCACACAAGCTGAATTTCTTGTTATGCATGGCAGCACACACAAAGTATTCCATTATAATTTTTATCCACTATAGACTTTATTAAGAAATAGATATTTAAAACAAGTATAAATTCTTGAAAAATATAGACAAGCAGAAAGTATATATGATCTTAGTATAAAATAGGATTATTAAAATTAATATAACAAATTTCCAAAATATACCTCCTCATCATCATCGTCTTCCTCATCATTTTCATCATCAGAGCCTTGTGCATTCACATACTCTATCACCATTTGGTCTATCATTTTCTTTTTCTCAGCCAGTTCCACCTCAAATACTTCCTCAAGCTTTTGAATGACTTTGTTTGTTGATGTCTTAGCCAAATCCGCATTTTTTAGTATCTCTGAAAAATAAAAGACAACTGTACTTATTTTTTTATTTAAACTATATTGAAATAAACATACAATAAGTCGCTTAATGCCAATAGAATTCTTTAACAGCATAACTTTAGAAATGCAGATATACTGAAAGTGGTTTAGTTTACCAATTAAAATTATATATAAAATATACCCTTAAATAAACATATATAACTCTTTTTTTAAAGGTATGCTTTTTATATACATATTTTCAATAATAATTTCATTATACACATTACACAATACATTACATACAATGCCTGTAGACAGTGAATTTAATTTACTTACAGGAACCATTTTGATTACATTTTTTTTTATCATTCAAACATATTTTGTTATAGTACAATATCTGAGACCCCTCTGTTACAAACTTAGCTAATGTTGTACTAATCTAAAATATTGTGTAGTCATTATTATGAAAGTTCACCAATATATGTGTACATATTTTAAAATAACATCCCACTTAGAATAACACCTGAAATCATTTTAAGTTTAAATAAGTGCAATTTGCTATATACCTATGATAAACGATGACATAATTGTATCAAACCAATCTTTAAAAAGAAATAGATAAGTAGTGTAAGAAACTGGTATTTTTATTATTTACTATATCTACCTAAAGTATTATCTTTTTACATGGAACAATAACTAAGGCTGTTATTCTTACACTAAAATTTAAAGCAACTATTTCGCTTTTGAAATTCCCGCTAAAATAAAAACCATATCAATTTATCTCTTATTACAGGAATAGATTATTTTTACCTATCACAATAAATAGTAAAACGAATTGAAAATGTTAAATCCTTTGTTTTTTGATGTGCAATCACGAACTGTACTGATCGATGTGTGTTTATGCGCGTTTTGGAACGTACCAATGGCGGCATAATAATTGACAAAACATGATTTTACACAAAAATTTCATTTCCATATTAAATCTTTGATCTTTTGGAAAATGTTTCAAGCAAAAGTTATTCTGAACTATTATGCGCACCATTTTACAACACTTTATTGTTATAAAGTTCCGCCATTACAGAGTTTCATACGTGGTGGATTCTTACGCGTTGCATAAAAATAAACCACCAGTGAGCAGACGTAATTAGGAGACAATAAATCAAGCCATTATTGCCGAGAATACCGCATGAAAGTCCTAAACAACTTTCACTTGAAACATTTTGGCATAAACAACATACTATCAGAGATATTTGAATTACAAGATACGAAAATCCTAAGTTCTGAAAGACTTCATTATAGGAAGCCATTACGCGGCCCCTGGGCAGATGTTAACCCAAGCATCTATTTTGTTAAAATTATTTTCATATAAATATATTTTGGACAGAAAAAAATATTTAGGTAAAATTGAAGCTATATTACTCACTGGCAATCTCTTTTTCAAGTTCTTCTTTGCTAACGTCTGCCATTTTATTCGTGTAAGTAGATTTGGTTTAGCCGGCCACCTGACACACAGTACTAGAAGATAGAAGCCAAACAGCCAGACAATAATATACCTACGCACTAGATGCACACGGCGTCACAACGAAAGTAGCCGAAGGAACATTCGGGTATAGTCGGATCACGACCATCGGAATGAACCAATAGAATTACTGGATCTGGATACTCTTCACAATAAAAATGTGTTCAAAATATTAGAAATATTTATTTATTTATTATACATACATACATAAAAACGTTATAAGTTTAATATAATTATTATGAATACTGCACTAAACTACAAAATTTAATGAGAAATATAAATGATATATCGTATAATAAGGGAAAGAATGACATCAATGTTATTCAAAAAAGCTTAAAGAACATAAAATGCTATCCAGCCGAAAAAATGGATTGAAAAAGTCTTTTTTTTTTTTGGTTCGGTTTTTCTGAACAAGTCATTATACCAATATGTTATTGTCAAACGTCGCGTATAAATAAAAAAAAAAATTATGGCTGTATGAGCAGTGTTCCCTTTGCCTAAAGAATAAAGTAATAAAAAAAAATTCTTTAGTCTTTTTTAATGTAAATTGTTCAATTCCTTGTCAATTTAAAATAAAATTGATACTACAAAAGTAAAAGTAGAATTTCTACATTTATCAAGAAATAACTGAAATTTAAATATTTCAGATAATAATTATTTCAATTAAAATAAATAATTCAAGTGTCAAAACCACGCTCACATAACCTAAAGAGTAAGAATGCTTGTTTATATTTAAATATTGCCGATTAAAAAATAAGAAATGGCTAAAGCAAAAAATAAAAAGAATCATAAATTGGCTGACACTGTGCATGCTAAGAGGAGAGAAAAGGAGAGCAACAAAAAAAAGTTAAATCCATTTGAAGTACACATAAATAGAGAAAAACTTAAAGTTTTGGGTAAGAAGTCCAAACATGATAAAGGTTTACCAGGTGTATCACGTGCTAAGGCCATTAAAAAGGTATTTATTCTTCTTATCTTCTAAATAACTCCAAGTGTTTCATACAAGTCTGAAAGTTATATATATTCAGACTTGTATGAAACATTCAGCAATTCTTTTTTATGCATGAAACTGACAACATCGCTGTAAGTTTTTAAATCAGCCAATTAGGTATCATTATAGTGATTAGGTAGTACAGTAGTTAGTTAGATCCTATTAGATATAGATATATAAACATAATTGGTTATGAGATGTGAGATGGACTTGTTTACACAAGCCATGATAAGGACTGCAGTCCACTCCAGTGATATTATTTTGGGTAGATGTAAATAAATTCCTTAACTAACATCATTACATCTGCCAAATAAATGTTTCAACATACAATGTTCATTAAGTAATGAGGTAAAATAAATTATTTAATGTAAAAAAGTATATTAATAACAGGTACACTATTTTTAGTTGATCTAATTAATAAAGAAATTAGAATCATTTTCTAAACACTAGTAATATAAAATGGTAATAATACATACATATCAATATGTTAGATAAGTTTTTTTTATTTTAGAGAAAGGAGACCCTTGGTACTGAAATGAGATTGATGAATAAGACAAATACCTTCATTGATCGTCGTATTGGAGAAAAGAATAATGAATTGTCTACTGAAGATCGTATGGTTGCCAGGTTTGCTGCTGAAAGGGCAAGGCAGCACAGTAAGAAGAGCATTTATAATTTAGCTGATGATGAAATTTTAACTCATAGGTGGGTAAATATTTATTTTACAGGTTGGAGAAAAAAACACTGTGCAATCTTAGTAAAATGTCTAGGCATACTAGTAATATTATTAAATAAAATAAGTGTAAATATTCATGAAAATAAAAGAGTCATGCCTTCTCTATGCTTTATATATGTAATACATGTGTGTTAATATAGAGCTGAGAAATTAATTTAATACATTCATGTAAAGCTCACAGGGGCAGGTCACAAGCAATACATAATTGATTACTTAATAATATAAGATTACTAAAAAATGAACAGGCTATGATTGCATGATTTCATTATGTCATGAAATCTCTTTTCAGAGGGCAAACACTGGAGCAGATTGAGAAATTTGATGATCCTAGATCATCTGATGATGAAAATGAAGAGAGAGGAAAATTTGGAGGCCTAGATGGTATTGAAACTATGATATTGAAGCATAATATGTTTATATTAGTCTGATAAAGTGTCATTCTGGTTGATTAAAATTATTTATGTAGTTGTGCCTGCAACTTCTTGCACATATTATACATATTTCTAGATACCATGTATGTATGGTAATCAGATAACAACAATAAAAAAATAATCTATATGACACCACAATGGCCTATTGAAATATTAATAATAATAATAATTTGTGTTTAGCAATGTTATAGCCGTCTTTAGTGACTTTAATTCAATTAACAACAACTTAAATTCATTCTAATTCTTCTTGAATCCATAACAAATAAATACATTTGTTTTTTTGAAGCGCCATTTTAAGACTTTATTATACATATGTGTATACATAGTGCAAAGAAATATAGAGAAATACACCTTTGAAATGCATATTACACTTTTATTTATTATATTTGAAGTAAATTTTCATTTGATGATAACCTGAAACATAACCACAGTATTTGAATTTAAGCTCTTGAAGTAGGAACTCAAGTCATAATCACAGTTTTTTTGGATTTCAGATGACTTTGTATCAGAAGGTCATTTCGGCGGTGGAATCCTTTCTAAGACAGATTCAAAAGATGGTGCTAAATCTCATAAAGATCTCATCGAACAACTTATAGCAGAATCTAAGAAAAGAAAAGCCGAGAAACAAAAGGAGAAAGAACAGACTTTAGACTTGACAGAGAAGTTAGATAGTGAATGGAAGGATTTACAGCCTGTTGTTTTTAAGAAGGCTAGAGTTGAAAATGAATCTGTAATAGATAAACTCTTGAGTCAAGTGGAGAAAAAGAATCAGGATTATGATAAAATGATGAGGGAATTGAAGTTTGAAAAAAGGGGCACAGTGAGTTTACAGTTGTTATATTTAACAATGACATCTACTAGTAATAAATTAATTACCTAATCCTTTGTGTTCCATAAATATTTGATGCTAATATGCATTTAATTTTACAAACAACAAATACATTCTTTGTTTATTTGATTATTCAAGTAATTGTTGCTTTTTTAGGAAAAAATATAACTTACTATTCCGCCAATTCCGTTAATTATATTGTCTGGATATATTGAAATAAAGTGTGTTCATTAATTTAAGATCAATTGTTCTTATATTACATTGTAGCCTTCAGATGGATTGAAAACTGATGAGAAACAGGCTAAAGAAGAAGGGGAGAAAATGGCACAGTGGGAAAGAGAGAGACAAGAAAGGATGTTGGGAGATGATGAGTTATCTGCACCCAAGGTTCAGAAACCTGCAGGAAAACACAGGTAGAATTTAGAAATATATTAAACAACATGTCTACAATATATAATAGTTCTTTTTATTATATTATATTAAACAATATCATATAAACCACCACCATTTCGTTTTTTTTTAATAATTGTATATTCTGTCTAGGTCAGCAGATGATCTGGATGATAATTTTGAATTAGAAGATAAGAAGGAATTCATGTTAGCCTACGACAAAGACGGAAAACCTTTAGTACCTGAAAACATTCTCAAAGATTATTCAGGTAAATTCCAATACTTTCTTTTAAACTTCAACTTTCTTAAACATTATTTAAAAATGTAAAGTTACAACTAAATTATTGAAAAGAGCAATACATGTTTTTCTCATTCTCCTTCTGATAAGACACCTTTCTGAATGAGCGGTAGGTTATAAAAAACAAGTGATGACATTACAATTAAGTGATACATTTTAATTAAAATATTTTATTTTAGTACCAAATGCAAAACCTAAATTTGATGATGGAATATCTGATACATCGTCTGAAGACGACGACGATGACAACGACGATGAAGAGGATGATGTAAGCTCTGAGGATGAAGATGATAGTGTTGTTCAAAATTTAACTACTGAAGAAAATGATGATAAACTTATTAAAAGGGAATCAAAACTAGAAAAAAATATTGTTAATAACAATCTAAAAAAGTTACGCAATCTAAAAAATAATGGCAATGATTCAGACAATAATTTAAATGAGAAGGAAGAAGAATCCAATGAAGAAGAAAATAGTGTAATTAATGACCAAGTACTAGAAAACAAGATGACAAAGACTGTGAAAAGTAACAAGTTATTGATCCAAAAAGAAAGTAACTCTGAAGATACATCTGAAAATGAGATATCTGATGTTGAACAAGAGATTTCCAATGATGCCAATAGCAAAAATAAATGGAAAAATAGCTCGAAAGAAATTTCAGATACAGAGGAAGAAGATTCTGATGAAGACAGTGAACAATCGGACAAAGAAATATTTGATGATTTAAAAGATCTACGAGAGTCAGATGGGGAAAGTGATGATGAAGATACAAAGGAAGAAGTTGATAGAAAAATAAGATCATTCTTTGAACTTAAATTAGCTGAAGGGGATAATCTGAAGGTAATCTATTCTAACATTTGCTGAATCAACAATGTTTTTTGTAATATTATATGAATATAGATAGATAGCATATCACAAACTGTTGCTCATAACTATATGGTTTGTTTTTATAATAATCTTTTTGCGCGTCATAACCTAATAGCGCCTTTGTAGACTAGCTTTGATGCAACATATCGCCGATAGTAGCTTTTTAGGTGCCAATTAATGGGCTTAATTTATATTTCTCAATACACCCTTAATTATATCTATATATTTTCTCATTAATATCTATATAATTCATCATTATGTATATAATTCTAATACAGATTAGGTGAAATGTTAAGGAAATTAGTTAGGACTGCATGGCCTAAACCTAACCCAGTTTTTTAGTTACCTGTAAATCTAAAACAAACTTTTTTTAAATTTACGAGTAACTGAAAAACTCGATTTTTACCAAAAAATAAAACCTATCTTTAGCTATACAAGTGTATTGATCTTACGAGTTAGCTAATTTGAGCTAGATTGTTTATCAATTAATTTAAGACCAATTTATCTTTTAAACTAGAAAAATGTGCAAGACATTGAAATTATAAGATGTAAAAAATACTTTTATATTTAATGTAATATTACAGTAAAAACGTAAAACGTAGTAAAACGTAAATATCGACGGCAAAATTTCAATTGAAAGTGTTGTTATCATGTTTGAATGAGGGGTCGATAAATACGCAGTCTCTGAATAAAAATCAGACTATAACTGAAGTTACTACCCTTAATGTTATACAAATAATTTTAAATTAAATTTGATCACGACTTTATTTAAATTAGACTATTTGTGACATCTATATATCTCTCATATTTTTTTCAGGAATTGCTCTCAGGAAAAACTCCAGTGCAACAGGCGACTGCACTACAAAAACTTATAAAGAGTTATGACCCAAGTTTAGCTGAGAATAATAAGGAATTTCTTAGCAGATTGTATGCTCACATGCTACAATATATTAATGATTTGTTTATTGGGCTAAATAACGAAGGAGAGGTTATCAAGTCGTTTCTAATATTTGATAAGCTAGCACCATTCTTTTACGATTTATCAAAAACTAATAAAGTTTCCACTAAGAAATTTTTAGTTCAGCTGATCAAAGAGAAGTATATTATGTTCAAAAAGAAACGTAAATTAATGCCCGATTTAGATACTTTAATATTTTTTAAGTTAGTATCATTATTATATCCAACTTCGGATTATAGACATCCTGTAACTACTCCATCATTGATTTTTATGTCTGAAATATTAACTACTTGTACATTTAATAATGCATATTCGTTGTCTAGAGGACTTTTTATTGCGTCCCTAATTTTAGAATATACAGTTCTATCAAAGAGATTAGTACCATCTGTTGTGAATTTTCTTCGTGGAATTTTGTATTTGTGTGCAAATACCTCTATTTTAAATCCTGTGCAAGTTGTCCCGCCATTTCGTTTGCACACTGACGCAAAAATTTTGAATTTGGAAGATGATTGTTCTACAATAAATGTTGAACAAAAAATGGCAGCTAAGGACTTGGTGACAGATAGCATCGATAATAATTTCAAAATAAAGTGTTTGCTGCTTAGTTCTACAATGTTAAAAGAGTTATTTGATAATTTCAATGATTTAGAAGCACAGGAATGTATTTTTGAACCTCACATACGGTTAATGGGTCGTATCGATTTGGAGTTGTATCCTAAGAAAGTAGCCAGTATTGTGGGCAAAATAATACAGTACATGAAAGAAAGTTTGGAGGTGAAAACATATACACCAATGACCTCAGAGAAAGCTAAACCTAAATTATTGAGGTTATATGAACCAGATATACAGGAAGTGTAAGTATTTGCCACAAAATGTAATAACAGTGCAGTTAAAATTTTTATGCTAATTGGATAAAAATTGTAACTGAGTCATGTAAACATGAACAGCATCATGCTCTTTACATATATAAAATACAATCAATAGGAATTTCTTGAAATCGTTATGAACCTTGTAAAACTTACTTTTAGCGCTATAGTAGGTTAGACAGAGGTACTCAACAAATAATTGAATGTAATTTTAAAAAACTCCAATCTGTCATTTCATTAGTAAGGAGATTTTTAGAAGCCATCTTAATAAGTCTATAACAGTATATATATATATATATATATTTTTGCCAGGATTATTTGTTTTATGAGATACAGTGATCTTTAGTTAAAGAGTTATTTATTAGTGATTTTTATCTCTATCGCCAGCGCCATTGTTCGTTAAAGTTTAATATTGGAACATTGAGTTCTGTGGCGTTTGGTAGTTTGATATTTTCGACGAAATATATATATGATAGATTAAAGAGAACTTTTGATATTCTTTTCTACAGGTTTACTGGCAGCAAGAGCTCCAAACTGACCCGGGAAGAGTCCGAGAGAAGACGGTTACAGACTAAGTATAAAAAAGAGATGAAAGGCGCTCTCAGGGAGATTCGACGAGACAAGGCGTACATAGCTTCAGTAAAGATCAAACAGAAGATTCGCAGGTATATGCATGGAATTTTGAATACTTATCTCTAAATGTTTTCTCATTATAATTCTGTTCATAGAATAATCAATCATGCCAATATCAGAATGTCTGGTTTCGGCATTAAAGCTGTCGCCGTTATGATATTGATACCGAAATTCTTATAAGTAACTTAACTAAAATATGACCTTAGGTACCTTATATGTACCTTCCTAGAAAATAGTAAGGTACTGATTTTAGTCTAAAATATATTAAATCACGATTACACATAAGTAATATATATCTTATAGTCCATTTCAAAGTGTTCAAATTTCTTAATGATTTTTTATTAAAATTATTATTCTATCAAATTCTAATGAATTGTAAAAGATTACATTGAAATTATTTTTTACATTTAACACTATTTGTATAAGATATTCTTGTAATAACACTTCTTAATGTCTGTTTACAGCGATAACATAAGAAAGGAAAAGGTGAAACAGATATATAAGGATGCGTCAATACAACAGGGCGAATTAAACAAATTGAAGAGAACAAAGTGATACTATTAAAATGTATGTACTTATTTCCCTTGTAAATATACGATTTATTAAAAAAATATTGTCTTTTATTTCATATATATAAATTAATATAAAATTAAAGTCAAGTAGTATTTATTCTAGATTAGTATTAATAATAGACTGCCTAAACAAAATACCTCTCGCAATGCATACTGTATACATCCTCGCAACTTGGACTTGGTCAAAGTTATTTAATCATCATGGTTAGTATGGTTTTAATGAACTTTTCTCTAGGTTTTTCAGGGAGGGTATAATAAAACTTCTTAAAGATACACTCCGACAGTCTTAAGTATGTTGGTCAGACAAAAATTACGCTTTTATCGTGTATAAAAATTACCTATTGTACCTGCGGTTGTCTTGAACATTCGTTCTAAATTCCTATAAAATCTTTAGTTTTATTCCTCGGTATTCTGTCTATAATAAAAAATATTATTATTATTATTATCTACATAAATAAATAAAGTGTCTATTGTAACTTCAGATTAATAGCTTTTCACGGTGAAAGTATCGTACACACTTTCATGTGCATTTTGTATATAAAAGTATACAATACTTTCATAAAAAAAATGTTAGTCTGTAGTTTGTAGTTGTTAGTGCCTGAAATGACTGAACTGATTTTGAGAGTACTTTCGGTACAGAATAAAGTAGCTACTTTTATCTTAGACATTTTATATAATTTAATAACTAAAAACTTAAATTCGAAGTCTTGGTTAACAGTCACTTATTTTATAAAATATATATGTAGAGTGTAGTGTTTTCTAATGATATTCTGAAAATATTCTTCCATCTCTTCCATGCAGTAAATGAGTTGCTGAATTTTCGTCACAATTTACAGTTAGTAATTGTATGCGTTAAATGGAAAACAGATTAGGAAGATTGACTGATCATCTGATATCTGTCAGATGACTAAAATGCTACAATTTTAAGACGGCTCTCGTTCTTTAGCCTCTCGTTACATTTGTACATCGCCTGAAATAAGTTAATGTATTATTCTCATAGTCATCCGATCTATCCGTCATTCATCTTTTAATATTTGATTTTTTCGTCATTTACATTTCAGTTCAGATAATATAATATTTTATTTCCTTATTAATACTAAAAACGGTTAAATAAAATTTTTATAAGTGTTTTAAAAACGCTACTGTACTCATGTAAGTTACTATTTATTTACTTTTTTTTTAATATTTTGGTAAGAAAAAATAGCAATCCATCCCTATGCCGAAGTAAAACTACAATTGCGTAATAAATTAAACGAATAATTTTACCCATTTTTTTTATACTTTGCAAATTCAGTTCTAAATTCATGCCCGTAAGATGAATAGTGCACTGGGCTATTGTGCTAATAAGCTTGTCAACAAATTTTGGAATAGTACAAGATTCTTATCAGTGTTCATTACACCAATTAATAATACGTTATCAGATACGCGATCTTGTCAGTATATCGATTTAATTTTAGTATGTACCTACCTACCTGTGCATCTTGACTTAGCTCTCAAGAAATTATAATAATGGAGAATAATAATGATACTACTACTACCAGTACTTTAGATAATGCCAGGTATTTATTATCATAACAATTACCTTGTATTATTAGCTTATTGTTATTATTTAAATGTGTAATATGACTAGATTGATTTTTAACATTGTATTCATTGAAATATGTATTCATATATATGTATCACACACCATTGTGAGTCAGTTGAGATGCATCATGTTTATAAATAATATTTCAGATATAATTTACCTTCTAAATGCTACTGTTATTTGGTTATTAAAAATACCTTATACCTAGTCTGTTTTATTTATCATTAGTGAATTCATCATGGCCAACTACACAGCACTCGGCTCCATTATCCTACCCAATATTGGAGGCTTCGCAAATGGCATATACTTTGCTGGTCAAATCTGCAAGGGAACAGAGAAGACTTGGTATGACAATTTAAAGAAACCTAGTTGGACGGCACCAAAATGTGCCTTTGGACCTGCCTGGACTGTCCTCTACAGTAGTATAGGATATGCATCATATTTAGTCTGGGAAGAGTGTGCAGATGAACCTGGTAAGTTATGTCATAAATAAGAGCTAGTTATTTCCGTTAATAAAGACAATTATACTAACTAATTGTAGTAATTTCTAGCAAGTCATGTTATATTAATTTAAACTGTGGTATATTCTGGTTGAATTTTCATTCAAATTGTTAATATTGTGCCAAGCATTGCATTCTGTATGTGTACTGTTATTTAGTTTTAACAATATTAACAACAATCGCATAGATTGTATGAGAAATAAATTCACTAACAAGCCCATATATTCTGGGGAATTTTAATCCCCTGCGAACTAAGTTGGTAACATTAATTCTACTGCTAATATTCAATGAAAAAATTAAATGAGATTATTATCATTAATTTATGTTTTGATGAACAAATTGATTTGAAAGTTAAATCAATAGTGAGATCTATATAGTTGACCTATCTACCTATACAATGTAGCTTATTAGCACAAGAACATTTCTTTTGGTTTACATAACCTGGAACTACCCTAACCTAACTAACTGCAATTGTTTACATGTTAATAATATGGTGATTGACCAGCAGCACATGTCCTGCTACACTGCTCATATTGGAATGAATTAGGTTCCTTTTTACCTACGAGTTAATCAAGATATTGGTCTATTTTTTTTATCAAAATTCAATTAATCCGTCCAGCTGTTTTTAGGTAGTACTAAATTTTATCTGCTCACAAATTTTCAAGTTTAAATATTAGTAAAAAGCTTAAAGTATCTTGATTTTGTTAAAACTAAATTGTTCAAATTTAGTAATAACTGAAAGATTATGAGTGCGTTCATTAGAGTCTTCATGATGTTGTATAGTAAAATTGATATAGATTGTTATGTACTAAGAAAAATCTAGTATTGTAACAATTGATACATAAGATATAGAATCTAGAACACTCAGACGTAATGTATTACGCAGGCAAGCAAAAGGTTTACATAATATTTTATTTGACATTTCGATAAGATTAGAGTAATCTGACTTAGATGAATTGCATTTTATTCGAACTATATCATACTTGGGATATATTTTAATACTAGCTGTCCGCGCGGAATTTAACTTTATTTTTCTAATGAAAAAGATTTTTTCTAAAATAAAAGTAGCCTAAGTTACTCCTTATTACATCAGCTACCTGCCAAAAAAAGTCCTGTCAAAATCGGTCCAGCCATTTCAAGGATTAGCCTGAACAAACAGACCGACAGACAGACAAAAATTGTAAAAAATGTTATTTTGGTGTATCCGTATTTATATTCATATGCATGTAGTAAAAACGGTTATTTCAATATTACAAACAAACGCTCCAATTTTATTTAAATGTATATAACTCTTGAACTGTAGTAAATTTAAAAAATGTAATATAACATAATAATTATTACTCTTACGAAAGGCCTGACCTTGGGATTATCTAACAATAAATCCTGCGTCATGACCTAGTAGTAGAAAACTTTTTTCGTTTTTTATACTACTACTACAATGGCAAACCTATTCTGAGAAAACCTCGCCTCTGATACCCCAAAGATTTTTTTTTTATAACACAGGGGACAAACGAGCATGCGGCTCACCTGATGGTAAGTGATTACCGCCGCCCATGAGCACCCGCAACACCAGGGGAATTGCACGTTGTCGGCCTTTTAAAAAGTAATAAGCTCTTTTCTTGAAGGTTTCAATATCGTATCGGTTCGGAAATACCATTGCTGGAAGGTGATTCCACAATGTGGTTGTGCGAGGCAAAAAAATCTTGAGTTCAATGTAGCCTTCTATAAAATTTTGTCGTACCTATTTTTTGAAAATTTTCTACTGATGCGTCAAATTTTATCTGAGAGACAGTAATAATAATAATAATAACCTTGTCTCAGGTTCAATTCACACTATCTGGATCCGAAGTTAAGCAGAGTTTGTGTTATGGATACTAGACAGCTATATATATATATATATATGTATTTAAATATATATTTTTAAAATAAATGCTTGGTAAAATGTACCCTGTCTCTCGTCTTTTGTCATAAATATATGTATACCAGAAATTAGCGACTTTTACGGTACAGTGGGTCACTATGTTCAATTTTCCCTACGTGTTAGATACAAAGGGTACGACAGAAGATGGGACATAGTTTGGGTCGAAGCCCCACAGTCGCAAATCTCCCGAAAAATGATACACCGTCAGCAGATTGTCCCCCCAGCCGTCTTCGTAATATAATTTTATATTATATAAAAATTCCTCATATAAAAATATCTTTAAAGCTGTTCAGCCGTTTCAGCCGTCGTGAAAATAGGGTGTAATTTAACTTTTATTATATTAGTATTTTCACGTATGTTTATGTTCTCTCAATAAATACATTGTTAAATAAATTTGTTTTATTTTCAGAACGCGCAATAGTACCTTTATCTCTATACGGTGGGCAACTGATTCTCAATTGGGCGTGGACACCCATCTTCTTTGGATTGAAGGACTTAAAGTTGGTTAGTAAACCTAAAGTACACTAATCGACCAATAATATTATTGTAAATGTAACAGATTGATTAGTATAACCATTTCCAAAATATATGATTAAGTGTAGTTCGACGTTAGTCAATGCACAGTTTTTGATCTTAAATAAATAGAATAACTTCATAACCAAAGATATGCAGTATTGTATCCATTGAAGACTATGAAGTTGTTATTTTTTATTCATAGGCCTTTATCGAGTTGTCGGTACTGTCCGGAGCAGCTGCAGCCACCGCGATATCTTTCGCCCGCGTGAATAGGACTGCAGGCTGGCTGTTTGTTCCATACCTTGCTTGGCTCGGATACGCATCTTCCATCTCTTACTACGTGTGGAAGAACAATCCCCAAGTTAAGGAGATCAAGGATGATGAGAAAACCCAGTAGAGGTAATTCCTATACCGTTTTAATATTTGGAATCTAATTTGCCAATAATTCAAATATTGTATTAAACAGTTATATGTTGGAGTCTGTCATCATTTCAGTATTATATACGTAACACCCTGACTTATATGTGCCGAGAACAGTTTTTGCTTATAAATGTGAAATATAGCATTGAAATTGAAGATATATTATTAACAAAGACCTTGCTCGTAAATAATTAATAGGAACTAAAATTAGTTTTTTGTTACAGGCACCGCGGCGGTGAGGTCGCTTTAAATGTATTGCATAATGTGTTCTTTCCTATTAGTCTTACAAACGATTTCTGATTTAAAAATTGTTAAATTATCAACCTCCTAACCTAACTGACGTAACGTAATACTTTTTATAGGTATTTAATACATAATTGATATGAGACTTTATTTGTTTTTTTTATCAATTTGTGTTCAATATCAATTTCGATTCAATGAATATTACCCAATAATTGTTAAATCAGAAATTGTACTTTACTGTCTATAAGCAGGCCTTGATAGGTACTAGTCTATTGTTGGTGAAAAAATAAAAAAATTATAGCACATTATAGTAATAACTGTATTTAACAAGCTCTGTTTTTCTTTAAAATCGTTATTTTTTCTGTGACTTGTTGGCAACATACATATTTTGCTTCGTTTACAATATCAAGTCACCAAAAATTAGAAGTACAGTGTACTTATGTACTGGATAATTTATTGTTAGAAAGTTCAAGTGCTCAAAGGATAATAATATCAATTGGTATTAAAAAACATTACAAATGGGAACATTATATTTAATGTGTGTATTACAACTTCTATATAATATTATACTAAAAAAAAAGTTTATTTTATTTAGAACATACTTTCGCAATAGTAATTCAGTGAACTAATTTTGCTAATACCAAACATAAGAATACTGATTTATTTATCTATATATTGTAATAGATTCATTTAATTTTTATTGTTCCGTGGTTTCATTACCAAGCAGTGACTTTGTAAAGATTGATAAATTTTGAGATCACACTGTGTGATTTTTAGAGGTTCAAATATTTCATATCTTATAGAATAAAGCATTGTCAGTTAATGGTTTGAAATATATAAAATTGTGGTACTATTATGTATTGAAAACTGTTATAAAATTTATCAAATATTTTCAATTATTTACTTAAAGGCATAATAAGGCATAGTATGGTATCGCTATCATGAAGATGAATATACTAGTTATTAACATTCTATATGCAAATACACAGTGATATTACGAATATTAGTTTTTTTGAATTTATTGTTAGATTGTTATTGCGTACTTAATAGGTTGTAATCATTGTTTTAGGCTTAAGATATAAGTGACCTTTCGAGCACAATTATTACTTAGCATTCCTGAGGCATTTAAAAATACCTAATAATTGTATCATCTATTTTCGATGTATATATATGTTTGTTATTAGATACTTATGATTCTTCGAATATATTCTGTTTATGTTTTGAAATAATAAAACTGCATTATTGTGACTGGGTTGTTTTATTATATTAAAAAAACATCTAAAAGCTAAAGTTGGTCAAACTTGTCAAATGATCACTAAACGTAATTTTTTTGTATAAGTGGTATTTAATATTTTGGTACACAACTTCATTTTGTGTTAGTGTGGCTTGGATGCTGCATATCTGTATGACAAATCAAATATAAATTTTGAGGTGATTAGGTACTAACGTAGATAATGTGATAATATAATTACAACACCTTTTATTCTTTGTGAAAAAGAACCAAATTCAGATATTATCTACTATATGTAGAAGGAGTATAATTCTAATAATGGCAAAGTAGTGCTAATAAATCATCAAATGGTGCTTTGTAGAGATATCAGTATTTGGGTATTGAAAAAATGTTGCCCTGCTTTTTTCATGTAATTTGTGCCCCTAAAAATTACTAGTATCTATATAAGTAGTTTATCATAAGCTAACGCTGCGCTAAAATAGTAATCGAGAGCACTATCGTCAAAACAGAAATGGAAATTCAAACATATGAAAATTAAAATATGTACAGTAGAAAATGTATGCAAGTATATTTGCCACGAAAGTGTGGGGCTGGAAACGATAATTTCTCAAATAAATTTAAATAATGATTACCTATTATAGATAGGCCAGCTTGTAACTCCATATATTTATGTAGGTATGTATACATGTACCTAAATCCTTTTTTTATGAATGATAACGGAATGATGCACCTAACGGTTTACGCTGGCGGAGCATCAGTGGAGTATGATAAAATGAGCATGAAGTCTGGTCAATTAGCCCATCTTGGCGAATGGCAATTTGCCACGATGTTTTCCAGGGGAAACCGCGTGGAGGTAAACCTGACATGATCATTGCCAGCAATGGGTTATTGGTCCAAATTACTAACAATGCCCTTCCCCCTGTACCTAGAAATAGTCTTAAATCAGTCATCATCTGTAGATACTTTTCTATCTGTATTTTATTACTACATCTCACTTACAATCAGATAAGAGTGGCAGCTTAGTCCCAATATCCTATTTCTAAGCAGTGCACTAAATGGAGACGAATTATGTATTTGCGGTTATTGTGGCAAAGTATGCTCCGCTAACATATCCGGCAACGTTTGCATTGCTGTGAAAACACGCTTCGACCTGCCGGCATTGCTACCGAGTTGGGTTAAGGGTGTGAGCTCCAGTGGAAGCAGTAATATTATTCAGCTATATTAATGTACTCAGTTCGAGCGGTGTATGCGACTCCCATTTGATGTTAGACATTAAAAACAGTTATTAAACTGGAAAAGGCTATTTGTATTCTTCTTTGATCAATTACCTAATCGGAAAAATACAATAGCTTTGGGATAAAGGAAAACATGCACTGGAATTACTTTTTATCACGGTCAACATGACGTCAGTGATTACTGTACTAGATAGGTATATGATGCTTCCGAAGTTTTGTTATTAGAAATGAAACCTTCCTCTGGTTTGTATGAGAGAAGGATTTTGGTTCTCACAACACGTAATTAGTAATGTGACTAACTTTCTAACTGAAAAGTTATGTTTTCCAAACTAAACGTGTTATAACGACGGACTACTATTTCTTTGCCTGCAGAACATATTTTACACGATTGTGTGCACCGTTCCTTAACCTCCATTGAAATTTCAACAACGCCCGTCTCGGTAGCACGTCAGCATGTCGCTGCTCATACGTCATACGTGCTCAAACATGCTCACTGTGAGCGATGTGAGTTCTGGGGGTGATATGAGCCTAAACGATCTGAACTGAACTCAGTCGTAGTAGTGGTAGTCCAACTGATTAGTTCAGCTATTCCAGCATGAATATTTTGAGAGGTCGGAATTTGAAACCTACATATGTACCTCGGTGGAAATTAGGCGAGAATTGTACTGCAGCTATTGAAAATAGTGCCTTCTACGTTGATTTAAAATATTGTCAGCGTATTGTACATCAATATTTGTGTTCACTGTAATTTCGATAGTTGATATCAGGGATGTTATGAATATGGAATGAAATTTTCGGATACGGATATGAAATTATTTCGGATTATCCGTTAGTTTCGGATAATTTCGGTTACTGATATAAATTTTTTAAGGAATTTCAAAAGTAAAATACAAATAGCTAATAAAATGGTTACATAACGTGTCTCAATTAGGCTCCGCCCCTATCCGATATTGTTCGAAACTTTTATTTCGAATTCGGTTACGGTTACGGAGCTCCTTAACATCCCTTGTTACTACATTGTTACTGACTACCCCAACTGGGATTTAAATTAAGGATATAACACATATAATATATATAATCTACTACATATATATACTACATATTATCATTACATACATAGATATATGTAATGATTATATATGTTGATACATATAGTCAGTACACATATAACTAAGTTCTTATTGCGTAGATTAAACATCGAAAAATATGCCAAATTGTAGGTACCTAATAAACTAACATTCCCATCGAATAAAATATTTTCTCCTCCTCTTCCTCGTCCTCTGAATTCAGAGAACATACATATTTTTTACTCCTAATGTTTTAGTAAAGGTATGTAATATTGTGTTATCTGTGGTAAAGGATGCGTAACAGGTACATACATACGAGGTGTGCCAAACCTCCCTCACGGTTATGTTCCTGACATGCAGTTTGTGCAGTGAACACTTTCATCTTCATTACTGCTTCAAATTGATGTATTTGCGACGTGTTTTCATTTATTATACATTTGATTTGAAATTTCATGTGTTTTAGTAGAAATTATAAATTCTCTCACTATAAACCAATATAAGAATATAAAACAATATACCTTATTTATATTAGTGATGTAACCTACAAGGATTCGAGGTGGTGATGGTGATGTAGGTATATATCATTAATTTTATGACCTATAATCATTAATATATAACAAATACGTTTTATTAAATCGATTATAATGTATAATGCTTATTATAGAATTTCTTGATTTGATGAAATCAATTACAATGTTTATTATTATAATGATTGGTAAAGTGTGGAATACAATAATACAAGAACATGTCGTACAAGTATGTATATAGTATAATGGAAACTTAAGCACTGCAGTATTTACTTGAGGGTGAGTTAGTAAATATTACAGTGCAAAATACTTAGTGTTCATTTATTTCTACCGAGTTAGTATTTACTCAGCGTCAAGAATATTGCAGTGTTTGCCCATCACTATGTACCTCTCTCAGAGACGTTCCTTAAATTATCGCTAATGAATGACGACTACGAAATTCCATTCAAATTCACACAACTATACATAAAGCGTATCTTTACGTCGTATAAAATAAAGTGGATTTACCTAAATACAGTTTTTAGTCCATGAGGTTGGGTTTATATGTATTCGGGTTCGATTCCTTGCACGGCACAAACATTTGTATTCATGAGTATGATTGTGTTTATCGCTCTGGGTATTTTCTATGTATAATATGTATATATTTACGAAAAAAAAAACATATCTATGTATTTGTATCAGTTGTCTAGTACCCATAACACAAGTTTTAGGTAGCTTAATTTGGGTCTAGATGGCACTGTGTGAATTGTCCTGAGATTATTTATTTATTTATTATTTATGTATATAATACTAACTACCTGCGTTGGCTTCGCAAGGGGTATTGCGAAGCCGGGGCGGGTAGCTAGTAATATTTAAAATGTTGATATTAATGGACGCAGTTATTCTATAAATAACGACTTGCACAAAAGGAAAAACCTGAAAAAGAACTGTTTAAAACTGTAGGTGTTTATCATTCTATGTACCTATTTCTTATATTTACCCATTTGATTAATTTTTTAACTTATAGTAGATGATGAAATACTTCAATTTAATTCCTAAAATTAGGTAATGATAAATATATCTATAATAAACCAACGAAATAGCGCAATTTCTTTGTGTATTACTTTCGAGAACTTCATATATCTACACACAACAATAACATATAGATATTGTAGAATATAATATATGTTAAACTCTATTATTAAAACCATTATACTTCAAAGACTAACTTAGGATAATTATAAACTATTTGTAATCTACTCTTCGTTTCGTCTAGTTAGTGAGATATGATACGAGATTATACACAAACCGCGAATTATCCAGCCACACCACTCTTATTATGTAGTGCAAGGCACCTACTAATGCAATGATATTTAATTTAATAACATCTTTTGTGATTTCATAACTTTGATTAAATTTTATATCGTTGTTACATATCCATTGATAAAAAATTTCTGATAAGATTTTGTTCATAAGTTTTTTCTGAAATTCATTAGGGAAATTTAACGTGTTACGAATTTTATATAGTCGTACATGTTAAATAATAAACTAACTGACCCGCGCAACTTTCTCTCCGTCACATGGGATAAAGGAAGCTCTTGAAAGGTATAAATTTTCACCTATTTTGCGATAGGTATTTGATGCATTGATGCTCTAATCGTCTTACCTCTTAACCTCTAATCGTCTTATCTTAGATGTACCGTGATAGGTACATATTATATAGCTTTCCAATTCCACAGATAAGATAATATTACATACAAACTACTGAAATAATTTTTTAATGTATAAATAATATAAGTATATCTGTATGTATTTACTAAATTTTACGTAAAAAGTGGCATTTTAATTTCTGTTAAATTGTGTGATCTTTAGTAACAGTCAACTATCCATCAAATGGAATGCAACCCCCGGCCCTTGGCCTCAAACAGCGTCGTAATCGTAAACCAAACTACATATCCACGTGCAGTACACACTGTGGTTGATCCACTAAGACAAATTCATTAGAGTAGCTTTAAAAATGGGTACTTTATTATCTGACATTATTTCAAACCATAAGTAAATGATATCAATTAATGTGGTTTATTAACGAAAGTTTCAACAACCAAACACGACATACAAATTTTATTTTTAAATTAGTTAATATAAGTATTCAATTGTGGTATCGAGGTATGCAGTGTAAAGAGTTAGTAGTTCTAGCAGTTATCCTATAAACGATAAGGGACATGATATCTTAGTCCTTCGTAATGATAAAAAGGCGGTGTATTAAAATCATGTCATCAATAGTATCATGTTTTTAATATCTATTGATTAACATAATTTTTCATTTTCTAAAATGATTCACTCTATATTTATTTATTTATTTATTTATTTATTCTTTATTGAACAAAAAAAAAAAAAAATTTTGTACAACAGGCGAGCTTAATGCCGTATGGCATTCTCTCCCAGCTAACCTTAGGGTATAAACAGAAAGCGTAATGGGGTATTAGCGAGATTTTTAAATTTGTTAATACATATAAATAACTATGCAAGATATATATATACATATATATATTATATAAATATACAGTAAACAAAATTATTATATACATGTAAGAATAAGTAAGATATATATTGAATTAATAAAATAATAAATACATACATACACGTTAAATATAGATAAATATACTAAAACTAATGCAATGCACAATAGTTAAAGCTAATTCTGCTGATTCTGATGTATATCTCACTGATGTAGAGATCATAGCATGTATTAATATGGTTTATTCACTTTTCTACTTGATTGAACCTTTTTCAACCACCATCATTATTAAATCTAACTAACATTACTGACTCACGTATTTTCTTTTAGTCGTAGGCAGAAAGTTTTGACGGCTAAACTACAGATAATTAGTAAAGATAGTTTTTTCTTTCTAATGAGTTCTGATGAGCGGCAAAGTATTAGAATTGTACGGATTTTATAGTTGTTTTTGTATGTTACAATGCAAAAAGAGGTAAATAAGAGTAGAGTAGCACCATTTATAGGATTTTTTTACGGGAACCACAATTGTTAGTATAACGTATATTGTAGTATTACTAGAGACATTGTATATACAATGTAACCGGTAATAATAAATCTGTGAGGTGTCGGGTCGTTTCGTTTACGAGTGGTCCTGCGATATGCACGACCAAAGTGCATACAGAGTTTTGACGATGTCACCAGTTTTATTTTTAATATTTTTTAGTCAACATTTTTGAAAGAATGTAAATGTAATATAGAACCAATAGTGTAAACATGTCATACTTGAGAATATACGGAGAGTAACTTTAAATTGTTGATCACGACGTTGGAGGTAAACAGATTCCTGTAAAGTACTAGCAAAGGAAAAATATATGTATAGCAAGTAGTACTCTATTCTATGGTACTAGTATTAATATAGATTCCTTAAATCAATAAACACGCCGTAAACACCATGAAATGGTATTCAGTATTCAGTCCTTAAGCCTGATGAAGTATTGCTGATGAAAGTTAACTTGGGAACTGATTTAAATAATCTCCCTGGAGGGGGTGACGGGGGGAGGGGGCTGTGATCTGTTCGCGACAATTAGTCGCGCTCGCGGCTGTAGAACGTAAACTGTTAATATTATAAAAATTATAGTAAGATGTGTTTTTTTAATCAAAATAAACATGTTTTAACGCAAGTAGGTAAGAATCTTCCAAATTGAAAATATAATATTCAAACCCTCTAATAACAATAACAAACAATTATTGTAGCGATTGCAACATTCATTATAGTTACATTCTTCGAGCAAAGTAGTAGTGAATTCGACTGGCTCTTCTTGGTAAGTATATTAATACAATATCGTATTTTTGCATTAATTCGTATTCGTATTATTGTTACACGTTGAGTATGAAAGCATATGTAATCGCTATATATATTAACTTATCCTAGTTGCATATACTTTGCATGTTCATTGTATTTTGTCCCACTATTAAGAAATTATCATCATTGTACTTTATAAAATAATCACGAGTATCTGCATAATTATAAATATAGGTTTATCTAATAAAAAAATCATCTCGTTTTAGAAGGAACAATTCAATAGAAACCCTTTCCTATCGTTTTCAAATCAGAGTCTAAAGGTATTACAGTTATTTTTTGCCTGCTTGCCCGCAGAGATGGATGGCGGGAGCAGGTGAAAAGGATGGGCTAAGGCATCCTATTTCACCTCAGTGATTAACGGTTGATTGTCGAAGGTTAACAAAATAGCAAATAAATGATTATTTATTTGCTATTCTGCAGTTGCCTAAGTATACTTCAGATAAACATGATTTTAATTTTGATACTAATAATTGTGAATTACATAAAAATAACACAGACATAGAATATTAATATACATTGTGCGGTAATTCATCTTAATCAGTAGTCATAAATTTTGCCATATAACCAGGATGGTTTTAGGTTTTTTATCCAAGTCAATGAATATATTAGGTAAAGGCAATAAAAAATATCTGTTATTGACAATTTATTGAGTTTTTTAGTTACATTTACATTTTACCTACTAAGACTGAAGTGGTATTGTGTAATTGACTTAAGAACTTGCAAGGGGCTAACTTTTGTGGAGACGAGAAGCTCTGAATTACGGTTATACGCGGGAAGGTTTCAGACATGGCAAGCGAACGTTTATTTACTTAATATTTTGTACGTAAAGAACTGCTTTCAGCGTAGCTGTTCGGTTAATTAATGAGGTTAACCGTGATTTCATAGTGTCTGGTAATGAATGTGTGAATGGGTCCTAATATAAAGACATCCTAACCGGTGTATTTCCATACTACAGAACCATCTGTGACTGCTATTTCTGCTGCATGGAAGCATTATAACTTATTATTCAGGAATGGAGGAGAGGGCGTTACTGTGCCACGATGAACATTAACTCCGTAGTAAAAATTAAAATAAATTAGAAAAAGTGCATCTACTAAAACAATAACCTGTAAAAGTGATAACTAACTCAGTGTCTGTTGTGATAAAATAATGAACATTTACAAATAAATTAAATAGTACAAAAATAAACGAAATAACTTAAAGTGTAAACAATCATCAGTGTTTAACAAAAAAATCGTGAAGATCCAGAAAACAGTGTAACTCTTTGCATAAATACAGGAAAACAAATTATTGAAACAACAGATAAAGATAAGTAACAAAAAAAAATCTAACTTTAGTTATTTTAAATTATAACAGCTCCATGACTTGCATATACTACTAAAAGCAACACCTACATTCAGCGACATCTGTGAAAATAATGGTTAATTAAGTCATTACTAACGCTTAAGATCAATTACAATTGATTACGCTGTCAGAGAGAGGTCGTCACTGTGTTTCAATAAACAACAACTCCGTATTAAAAAAGAAATAAATAAATAACAATAAAAATTAAATACTTCTTAGCGAATCAATTAACGAAACAGCTGACCTTTACAGAAATACCATTAAAAATAATTAACAAAAATCTTACCTTAGTTACTTTCGCTTGCAAATTGTAACAATACCATGATCTGCAAATATTGCTAAAAGCAATATGCATTCAGCGCCATCTATGAAAATAATAGATAATTACGACAATACTAATGAAGTTGATCAATTAAAATTAACTATACGGGAATAGTTCAAAGTTTAGAAGCACGTCAAAAGAGGTCACCTCAGGTACTAAAACGCTTCAATTGTAAGTCATGGAGGGAATAATGAACGCACTTAAAGAAATTCAAAATGAATTAGAAGAGCAAAAAATAACTATTCGTGAAAGCGGAAAAAAAGTGACGGAACAAGTTACACAAAACATTAACAATATATTAGAAGAAAAATTTTTTGCACTAGAAGAAAATCAGAAAAAACTGAAAGAGCTAGTAGACAACCAGGAGAAAAGAATAGAAAAACAGGCAAGGCAAAGAAATATAGTTTTTTTCGGGATTGAAGAGACAGAAACATCATATGAAAATCTAGAAAGGAATATTATACAATGGATCGAACAATATTTCTCTATTAAACTGACCTATAGTGACATACAAGAAATTAAAAGACTAGGAAATAAGAGAGAAAGACCACGACCAGTAGTGGTAACCTTCTTAAACCTAGGTATAAAAATTAAAATTTACAAACAAAAAAGAGCACTGAAAGATACTATTTATTACATGAAAGAATATTATCCAAAATACGTATTAGAAAAGAGAAAAGAATTGCAAGAACAGTTACAATTAGAGAGAGAGAAAGGAAATATAGTTTTCCTAAAATATGACAAAATCGTCATATCAAAACAAACATCGAAACGAAAGTTTAACATTTCGCCAAAAAACTCTAATAAAAATATAACTATGCAAGAAAAGGAAGACAACATACAAATAAATAAAAAGAAAAAGTCACAACAGTCTGGCTCATCACCCAAAAGATTAAATAGCACTTCAGAAAGAGTTATTAAACCTAGTATGCTAAACTTCTTAACTAATAAAAATACACCTAAGATAAACAACATTCAAGAGAACATAAACAATAATGCATAGCAATCAAAAGCCTCCTCCGACATTAATGACAAAAACAAACAAATCGAAACAAGAAACATAAAAAATCTTCCAACCCGGCTGGTCACCGTGGAAGAGTACGACCAAAACCCTCCAAAGAAAAATTCACAAATACGTAACAACTTTACAGAAGATCAATGCCACACATTAAACATTATAACATATAACGTCAGGAGTTTATCCTCATATGATCGTTTACTTGAATTAGAAGAAAGTTTAAGTAAAATTAATTATGATATAATAGGAATCTCGGAAGTGAGACGACATGGAAACGAAATAGAAGAATACGAGACCCTGATACTATGCTATATAGGACATACACCTGGGAAATATGGAGTAGGCTTCATAATAAACAAGTCTCTAAAGAACAACATAGAAAGTTTCACAGGTATATCAGAACGTGTTGCTTTACTTAACATGAATAATGAAGGTCATAAATTGTCCATAATACAAGTATACGCACCTACAGATGCAGCCAGTGATCATGAAATAGAGGAATTCTATAATACAATCGATAAAGCAATCAAACAAGCACACAAACACATTATACTAATGGGAGACTTCAATGCGAAGATTGGAGCTCCTAAAGATCAAGAATACATTATAATGAAACAATACGGATATGGCGAAAGAAATGAAAGAGGTCAGAGACTGGTAGACTTTGCGCTAGAACAAAAATTGACAATCATAAATACATATTTCAAGAAAAAACCAAACCGAAGATGGACATGACGTTCTCCAAACGGACAGTACAAGAACGAGATTGATTATATCCTTTCAAACCAACCAAAATTATTTCAAAATCTGGATACCATGAACTTGAACTATCCCTCAGACCACCGACCAATAAGAGCAACAATAAAGCTTTCCAAACAAAAGAAAAGTAGAGCCAAATTTACAAATAAATCTGTAAGTAAACTTAAGAGTGAAGAGGAAATTATAAAATACAATGAAAACTTAACAGTATTCTTATCCGATTTATCATTGTATCGAGAAAATAAATCAGTGCAAAACTACTATGACAGATTAATAAATGCTATCAGCCAAAGCTTGAAAATCACCAAAACAACAAAAGAACATAAACAACATAAAATTTTAAATGAACATACACTACAACTACTAAAAAGAAGGAAAGAACTACAAATTAGAAAAAACAAAACACGCTCTATGAAAAATGAACTTTCAGCTTTATACAAGCTAGTTAATAGATATATAAGGAGAGATTATGCAAAATATAGGCAAGATACAATAGAGAGGCACCTACAATATAGCGGAAGTTCAAAAAGGCTTACAAAGAACTTAAAACAAATAAATCATGGATAGAAGGATTAAGAAGCCTAGGAAAAGATTTATGTAAACGGAGTGATATTGTCAACATTGCAACAGAATTCTATACAAATTTATACAGTGACAGCAAGCAAACAACTAAAATATTAAAGAAAAAAATCGAAAGCAACTACTGTAACAATATTAAACTGATAAATGAAAATGAAATTATGGATGCAATAAAGAGTTTAAAACTAGAAAAAAGCTCTGGAGCCGACAACATACCAAATGAAGCACTAAAATTCGCGAACACGATACTAGCAGCACCATTAAGTGAATTGTTTAATTTGATTCTTCAAAAAGCTGAAACGCCATCCCAATGGTCGGAAGCAAACATCATACTAATTTACAAGAAAGGAGATCCAAAGGATATTGGTAATTATAGGCCGATTAGCTTGCTACCCAGTCTTTACAAACTTTTCTCTACTATCTTAAATAAAAGAATAAGCGCTATGATAGAAGCAAAACAACCGGTAGAACAGGCAGGCTTTAGAAAGGGTTTTTCCACAGTTGATCACATTCACACAATCGACTTAATAATGGAAAAATATCAAGAAAAACATGGATCTCTATATATCACTTTTATTGATTACCAAAAAGCATTTGATTCGGTAACACACACAAGTATATGGGAAAGCTTAAACCAACAAGGAGTTGAAGAAGTGTATATAAATGCTATCAAAAGTATATACAACAACAATACAGGAAGAATTAAACTCGAAAGCCTAGGCCCAACCTTTCCCATAACAAGAGGAGTAAGGCAGGGAGATCCCCTCTCTCCAAAATTATTCATAGCCATCCTAGAATCCACTATGGGTAAGATAGATTGGAATAAGTCAGGAATATATATTAAAGGAAGATATTTAAGCCACCTTAGGTTTGCAGATGACCTGGTATTACTTTCAGAGTCGGGTTGCCAGATGCAGTTCATGATAGAATCTTTGCATAGTGCTAGTATTAAGGTGGGACTGGAAATGAACCTCACTAAAACTAAGGTAATGACAAACACCTTTAAAGTACCCATTATAATTAATGGAGAGCCACTGGAATATGTAGAAAAATATGTATCCCTCGGAAAAAGAATAAGTTTTGACAGAAACAACAACACACTAGAAATAGAAAGAAGAATACAACAAACATGGAACAAATATTCTAAAGAAATTTTTAAAAGTAATTTAAATCTATAAAAACAAAAGTTATGAATTGCAGTCTCTTACCATGTATATGGATGAGAAATTCACCGCTAAAGCTACAAATAGAATCAACGTATGTCAAAGAGGACTAGAGAGAAGCATGCTTAATATTAAAAAATCAGACAAAATAAGACACACCAGGATTAGAGGGATAACTAAAGCAATTAATGCTAAGAGTTATGCAAAGAAGCTCAAATGGAAATGGGCAGGACATATCGCGAGAGTAACAGACCAGAGATGGACAACACAAGTAACTTTGTGGAGCGGACCACCAGGCACTGGGAGGATGATATCAAACGAGTAGCTGGCTCAAACTGGACATTTATTACCCAAAATGGGGTTCTTGTAAATATATGTAAATATATAAAAATATTACAAATAGATTAATAATAATAAATACATATAGTAAATAATAATAATAATAAAAATACTTGAATATAAATTAACAAATAGTGATAAATATATATTTCTAAGTTACTAACACCATAAATTTGTAATAAGCAAGAAATAAAAAGGCTTTTTTAATTTAATTTTAATTCAGGAATGGAAATGCATAATGACAATGGCATGTCAGTCTGTTCACACCAATAAACGAAATAAAGGCCTATGCCTTTATTTCGTTTTCGGTATCTATATACCCAAAATAGTAACAATATATATATGCATGCATAATAAGACGACAATAAATATGCATACGTAAAGCATATTATACAATGCAACACCTACTTGTTATAGTGCATGAAAAAACAGGGGTAAAAAAAAAGTTGGAGGTACACATGCAGACTACTTTTCACAAACTTCTTTTTACAGTTTATATTTTATAGTTTATAGTTTATATAGTGAAATTACACAGAATCCATGCCATATTAATTCTCTAGAATATAATATGCCTTTAAAACCGTTTACCATTAGTTACCCCGTCAGCTTTTACTTTATCGCCAAAAATAATATCAATAAGTACAAAACAAACGTTTGTTTGACAGGTGAGTATATTTGAGTTTAGACAATGTTCGCACACACGGCGTAAACTAGATTATAATACATATTCCTTTTTGACATGTGCCCTGGGGCGGGGGATAGGGTATGACAGTACTGCTTTCGGAGTTCACTTCCACTAATGTGAATAACTATGTGATCTGATCTAATTTAAATCATCGAGTTATTATATGTATAGGAGTTCCAGAAGACCACACATAGCATTTATTACTTGTATTAAAAAAATAAATATTACAAGTAAAACAGTGCACAAAACACGATATACAGATACATTAACATTGTTTATAGAACTAAATACATTATGCATGCAATGCATACTTATTATACAATGCACACCTACTTGTTATAGTGCATGAAAACAAAAAAAAATAAACTATAATATGTTAAAAAATGTTATTGCTTTAATGAAAATAATATCAATAAGTAACAAATTTGTTTACATAGACAGTTTAGACAATAAAAAAGTAGTTTATTACGCAATGGGAATTTATAGTGGGCAGTAAAGGGAAGGTTTATATGCTCTCCATCACTAGGACCTTGACTGAAAACTTAACTGAACATAAATTCAGGTAGACGAAGTAATGTTGGTTAAGTGCCAAGGTCAATGAGTGAAGCCAATTGATGTTCTGAAGGTGATAGCTTTATCTTGAGGGTCTCACTAGGTATTTATTTATTTCTATTTATGTATTTATTTATATATGTGATAAAATGTTAAGAAATAAGGTAATAAATATTTTTTTAATAATGAATCTTTACACGACGGAGTCCAACGAAAAATGATTTAATGTTTAGCCTATTATACTCTGGAAATGTAACTTTTAAACACTAAGAAATACTGAAATCAGTGCAGTATTGGAATTAACTTTTGTAATAACAAAATCTCTCTTTCTTTATAATATTAGTACAGATTTAATGTGTAATTATTAGTATTTTTATAGACTTTGTAAAAAGTAATTTTTCTATCTTTCCCAGTCTCAACTATTTTACCCGTCAATCAGCTTGCTTTGTGTGTTGTATTCCGGTTCATAGACGAGACAAGGTAGTGAAATTACAAGATCTTATCCATCCTCTTTCTTTATTCTTCCATAGTCCTCCGGAATGGCACGCACGTGTGATGATTAGATGATAATATGATATCCGTAGTGATATTGATGTACCATGAATAGCCAGCTTATTCCAGCCAATCCAATGGAAAAAATATATCCAAATGGTGATCACTTTTTATCTTAACAAATAAGTAAAGTCTTATTTAGATGTTAGCATGCTCCAGACTGTTCCATCGTTAATATAATTATGAAATGGTACAGCCTAACTGAAGTCGACATTGTACTAAAAACAGTGCTTGTACACACAGGGGGAGGTGAAAAATGAAAATAGAAAAAAAGGTTCTTTTGTAAAATCTGTAATATCCATAAAACGAACCTTAAAGTAGATGTATATAAAATATGTTTGTCTATACATATTTTATATAGTCTTCAGATTCAACTTTACATTTGCTACATTATACATAAAACACACAAAAAAAGCCTTGAATGCCTCGGAAACAAGTAATTAATTATGTATGTATACAAATATTATATACTAAATTTATATTGCCTAGTATAAAACAAAGTGGCCGCCACAACGTATTTTAATGCAGTTTTCAGCAATAAATACGAGTCTTTCAAGAGGAAAGTTTATACCTATTATAAATTATCTATTTATTTACATCATACTAAGAGAGCTTTCCAGTTTTCCAAAATTTCCACTTAGGAAGATTGCATAAATATACTTATATTAGTCGTTAATTAGTTAAATCAGCCGGAGAGATAATAAATGATTTTAATATAATTTACATATTATACATTCATAATTTTTAATTGAAATTGTATTCTTCTTATAGATTTGTGGTGTGTAATGTTGCGCCGATCCTAAATGTGGGTGAAAGGCAAAGCAAAAAGCTGAGTTTAATGACTATTGATCGATTTATTTTCTATATTTTAATTGAAATTCCTCAAACCTCTCAATTTATTACCAAAATTCAAAAGCGTTAAAATGTGTTACTTTGCATAAGATTTTGTCGGCATGGTTTATTGTGGACATTTGCAATTATAATATTTTATGTATAAATGTACGTTTACTGTGTACAAGTCTGCCGGTAAAAGGGTACCACGATTCGTCAGCGAGGGGCTACAATAAATCTAAATTATAAAAGGGCTGAGATGTCGGCCTGACAAATTGGCAGCGATTCCCCTAGTACTACCACATTTGGTCGCCCGTTAAGTAATCCTTTAATATAAGTATATGTACATATATAAAAGCGTATAATAGAATAACATAATAATCGTTTAGTGCCATAGATCGTGTAATATAACTAAAGCACTGCATTATAAATACACCTTAAAAAGTATTATATTTGTGTGACTTAATAATAACTTTTATATACTAGTTGAGCTTGTGATTTTGTAAACCCGTTGTAAAATAAACAAAAAAATTTTAGTGAAGTTTATCACAATACATTTATTAAAATCGCACCTAAATCGGTTTAACTGCTAATGAGATCTGAGAACAATCATAGTTTTGAGTTCTATTGCGTTCTTAAAGTTATATCTTTATATTTTACATATATAGCGATCAGTTCCATTTTTATTATATATATAAATAGATGGACGAGTAGGTTATTATGTATTTACCAGCAGTAAATCCCGTGTTTTGCCAGTTTTATGGAATGTCTTTTTCGAGTAAAAATTTTAAAAGTGTATTGGGGTTATATATTACTAAAGGTGACTTAGTATAAATTGTACTCGACCACAAAATTATTTTTTTAGTATCAGAAATTATCAACACAGATATAAAGACTTTTATATTTATTGAAAAATATCTATTTCGAATACATAGCATAAATGGTCATGGGTCGACTGTTTGTAACAATGTTTGTAACAGCGTTGGAATATCGAGGCCTCACAAATAATAATATGCTACATATACCGTTCATGTAATGTGTACTGTAAACTACCCTGAAAAAAGTTTAAATACCGATTTCAATAGTTTAAATACCGACGGGCCAGTATAAGTCTACTGCGTGGTACATGACACTCTGTGAGTGGGTGGACTCGGTCGCTAGTCATGAATGCTGGGTCTGCGATTAATTCATTCAAGGCCTCTAGTGTCATCTGGCGGTTGAATGGAACTTCTTGAGCATCGGTCACTCGGGACAACCAGCGGGCTTCTACACAACTGTAAAACATGGTAGTTTTTTTATGTAATCGAAAAAGTAGGAACTGAAAGGCTGACGGTCCTCTTGATGGTAAGTGGCAAACGCCGCCGCCGCCTATATGCATGAACAGCACTTTATTACGTGAGCTACAAATATATGATTATGCTTCCATGCCCCATAATTTCACTGCCTTATCTCACGGTTCAAATTAAAACACAGTTTATAAAGCTAGCCAACCCACGCACGACAAATAAACAAAGTCAACTTTAGTAGAAATTTATCAAATAGGAATTTTGTTTATATATAATCAATGAACCTAAGCAAAGTTGAGAGCAGTCATATGAATGTCTACATAACTTTGCTTACAAACTTTGTTGACAAGTTAGTACAAGGGACTGTTGTTAACAGTATTCGTAGTAGTTAGTAGTCGAATGAGTGGTTACAAACACGACAACTTATAGCAACTGTTATTATAGGTAAGACATTTGGTACGAGGAGTACCGAGTAGAGTTCAGTCCTTGTAAAAAGATTAGTTCGAAGAATGATACATACGAAGGACAAGGATCCCCTGGGACCATCAAGTTTATAGGTAAAGGAGACCAAGATACTCGTGGTTCTGCGTGTACAGTGTACTTCTTCAAGCGTGATGTATTAGTTTTGTCCCTTTTCTTTTGTATAAAACGTTCCTGGTTAAAAAAGGAAGAACACTGTTTTAATTGACCAAGACGGATATAAGAAGTTTTTTCAAGTCTATAGACCATAATTGTTTTCGTTAACTGTTGCTTGTGGATATGAACAACAGTATAAGAATTATATACTGATATTCAGGACGCATTAAATTGATTTTTTTAATAAAATATTACATTTTTACAATGTACCACAGAAGTGTAACGCAAACCACAGTTGCTACAAGAACATAATACGCGTTTACGGACTTACTATGAAATTAACAATATTCCAATTAAAACTGTTCACTTATATATGTATTGAAATTGTGACATTGCGGCCTCGTTTATTCTTCGGCGCGTGTAAGTTCTTCTCTTCAGCACTTTCTATAGGGCTGTGCACTGTATATATAACATCCATTTTAGAACTGAGGTATGATTTCTCTAAATACAACAATGCTAGCCGAAATCATAAAAAAAACTAGGCAATTTTACGATTCTGTTATCGGTGGTTTTATATTTTGTGTTGTTTAAACGTTTTTAACCGACATTGATAATATAGAGGATTACAGTACGACGGTATCTTTTAATAATTTTTAGAGTAAAATATAATAAGTTTTATACTTACATAATAATAAACGACTTCGATGTGTTCCTTAATTTTGTCAGTTATGAGTTGTAGAGTTAAATTCAGTCGATGCAATGACGGCTCCTTGTCTCCTAGTAGGTTCTGGAAAGGTTGCATTGAACAATCCAACATTCTGAAATATATAACAAAGTTTATTAAAATATAACAATAGATGAAAAATTAACCTGATTTTGTTTAAATGTTTGTAATAACTACTTATTATTCGATTCATAATTCACGGCATTATTATTAATACTTTTTGCTTTCTAATCTTCAAAAATGTTTTGATTTATTTTGACAAATAACCGCTAGTCAAAATAAATCAGTTCTGTGTAGTTCTGAGTGCAAATGTGAACGTGTTTATTTATTAGTTTTGATCAAGGTTTTATTTATTAATTTTAATTATACGTAGTATTTCCTCTTAACTTAATTATAAGTTTTTAGGGAATGGTAATTAATTCAATCCATCAGGTACAAATACAACAATAATAACTACGATGGTCAATAGCCAACTCATATAGCTGATGATAGGGTAGAAGAAAATGCTTTTCGTTCAGGAGTTGTGACATAGCTATTTCAGTCAACAATCGTATATCGTCTCCGCCTATCTCAATCGTATAAACAATAGCAATTGCTTTTATACCTTAACATTTTAAAATATTTTTCTGTAAGCTTCAATTGGTTTGTAATACTTTTAAATTCTTTTATTTCGTAACCATATTTGTTGGGAGGTCCCCCTGCCACATTTCTCATTCGCTCTTCATCATTACAGATTGTTATTGCAAATTATTATACGGATGCCAATTAAAAGTTATGACAATACGTTTAGCAAATTTATAAACAAGAGCGGAAATTTATGTCAGCGGAATTATTAGGTATGTTAATTAAAATTTAATAATTAATTAATTTTACTGCGAGTTATATGTGGAAGAGGTTTATTGATTTTGTAATTATGACTTTTATTGAGTTTCTTGAATATGTACTATGTTTATACTTTATCACAAAAATATGTCTGTTCTGAAAATATGATTCGAAATACCTTTCCTTTCACGCTTATTTTTAACATGCCGACCTAATTTCCACAAAAATAATCTTAGGTACGTAATTTGATCTTACAACTCACCATACAGACATTTGTACTCACCATCATGATTAGAATAAATGTATTAGAATGTTTTATGTATGTCATGTATTTAATTAGAAAATAAAAAATATTTTTACGAGTCATTTAGCTCTTAAACAAGCTTTGCTTAGATTGGTACAAGATGGCGGCGTTGAGTAACAAAGCCTTGCATATTCATTATCTATAACAATCTGTAATGCCTACTTATGTCATTTATGTTCTTAACCATTAATATTATTAACTATATTATTCCAGAAATTCTATTTCAAAAGAATACTAACTCGAAAAATAGTAGTGTCTAAGCCACTCGGTGGTATATAGTAGAGCGGATAAAAAGACGAAGTTTAAAATATTATAAGTACTCTCATGTGTAAGGAGATCGCAAAAGTAACAATTATAAAAAAAACTTTTTTAAAATCGTGCCTATACTTGTTCCTATAGTTGTTAAGTAAAAAGAGAAGATGTTGGACAGGTTCGTTGAACATTATTGAATGATGATGATAATACAGATAACATGTGTTATCATCATTATTCAGTGAGTAATGGTTCTTCATTAACCGTGATTTTAAATTAATAAATTAAATGTAATTTTAAGTTTTAAGAGGACATTAAGAGTTGAGACTACGTTGACTGCATCGTGCTCATATTGCTAAAGAATTTCAAATCAATTCGAAAGAAATGACATATTATAATCTTGTGGACCATTTAAATCTTTTAAGAAATACATTTTTTAAATTAAATTAAATTTACCGCAACAGAAAAACTCTCTCTCCGTCTGGCCTCTTCACTTTTTGTTTACTAAATGCGTTGCAGAAATAGATAGCAGTACCTTAATTTGTATTATATAATAAAGAAAAATACATAAAAATAGACAAGATAACCTTATTGGCTGGATGAAAATATATTAACTGTTTCAAAACAAAATTTTGAGAAGATTACTCTATTCTACATCTCTGTGTCCTAGAGGCAAGCAATCCATTTGGTTCACCTTTCGTTAGCAAACTAGTTTTAAAATTGATCACGTACCGGTACGTGCTACTAGTAGCAACTCGCCACTCACGGGTGAATGGATTCGATTCTGGAAAGATTTATTTTACCGATTGTATTAGCTATTAGAGAAATGGATTAATTTGTAATTGAATTTCGTCAATTTAATTTGTGAATGTGCAATGTTAATTACTACAAGTTTTGTTTTATTATAATTTCTTTTTACGAAAAAATATTTAAATAAAGATTATTCTGTGTATTTATATATAGGTTTCTATAATAGAATCACCATGACCTTAATAATATATTGTTAAATGGAAATATCTAAATACATACTGTCATTACTAAACGCAACTATACTGCCGTTTATTTTATTTATAAAAGTTTAATTTATTTATAAACAAATAAGGATGGATTACCAATCTCATATTATAAACGTAAAAGTATGTCTGTCTGTCTCGTATATTACGCTTCCAATCCAATTCTAAACGATGATTACCACATATTGCAGTAAAGCAGGAGGAAAGATTAAAAAAGTATCAGAAATTAGTGATGGCAAAGACATATATTTGTACATTTGACGCATGCAATGCCGAATTTACTAATATGACCTTTTTGAACTCGAAACTTGTCTCATCTATTTCCATAATGACAAAAGTGATAAAACTAAAAAAAAGTTTTTTTGAACACCAGTTCAACTTTATGTATTATTCCGCAATAACAATTTAAAAGTTTAAAACAATATTTTCCACTAGTACAATTTTAGTTTCATGAGGACTTGCATAATAGAACTAGACAAATGATTCAATGAAATAACTTTATAGGTTTAATGCTAGTTTAATAGTAAAACTATGGATAGTTTGTATAACGTAACATTGTCCTAAAAAGTGCACCTAATATGTATTTGCGTCATCATTCAGTAATCCGCAGTCGTAAACTGAGGATCCTAGAGTCATTAAAAATTTACAACCAGCAGCGAGCAACATTGTTGGTTGGTGTAAAAAGCATGTGACAATGTTAAGGGTAGGTGTGAAAGATAACGGTCTTAATTTTGGATTGGTATAAAAGAATCAAACGTAATAAAAGTGTCAATTGTAAATAGAGGAAAAGACTGAAGTAATACTGAACAAGAATCATTAAAATCTAGGTTCTGTGTTTTTTTTATTTGTATGCTATGGGTGGAGACACATTAGTTATTTAATCATCATAAAATTTGAAATATTTGTTCAAATATAGTATAGAGCGGAGAATGATTTAAGCTATTTTTTATTTATCAATAATATCAAGTTGGCAGAAGTTACTAAAATATATTTTAAAGAGAGACTCCTCGTTTTTTACCTAAAATTTGAAAAAAATATTTTTCATAGTTGTTTCCAATTTATGTTTATGAATTTAATAACCATCAGCATTGTATTATACATAGACTGCAATCATCGGATCATTAACATCAAAATTGAATTAAACGCGTCAGTTACAGCCGTCTACATCCAGCGACAGACACGCGAACAGATTTGGGTAAGAAGTAAATATAATAACATAATCTGTGATAGGCGCTTTGCTCAGTTTTAGTACTGCTGCGAATGCTTAATTTATTTATTTACACTTTAACAATTTTAAGCCAATTAAAACTTTAATGTAAGTGCTGTAGTTATAAGAAAATTTCGAGTTTTTCCATTTTCTATAACGTTTTAGAATTAGGGATTGATTAGGGATTGAAAAACGTATATACGGATCTTTGTTTTCTTTCGATCTCAGACGGGCAATAATGGGGGATATACCTACTTATAAATTTATTGACAAAATATGTAATATTTAACTGAAAAAAAGCACCTTATTATTTTTAGATTGTGTGTCAGGTCATATATCATATATCTATATCCATATCTGTATATATATATATATATATATATATATATGTCCGTAGTAATTTCATTACAAAGGAATATTAAAACATATACGATATTTTTTCGTTAAATTCCACGCAAAGGGATGGTGATCCTATGGGATTGAAAGAATAGAGATCAAAAAATTAAAAAAGTCCCGTAACATAATATTCAAATTTCATGCGGACGAAATTTGCAATTAATTCATGAATATTAACAAACACACACGTTAGATGAAAATAATTCAATAAATATTGACATCATTGTGATTTTTAGGGTTTTAGCTAAACGTCTAAAACACCTCATAGGTGGTTTTGTTATGTTCATGTAAAATACACAATTTACTTTCGTATGTATTATCGTGATTTTATCAAGTACAATATATTTTTTATAGATTTTGGAATTTTTCTTTCATGGCTTATTTTATTAAATAAATTACTACTGCCATAATACTGCTTAAATTTATGATTAAAATTATATTGATGTTTCATTATTAAATTACAATTAAAGCTTCATAGCAGAGTTTTTTTATATTATTACATATTTTTGTTGGAGAGAAATAAGTAAACGCACATATTAATATTAATATATGAAAATACTATTTAAAAGTATACAAATAAAGAAGTATCGATAAGATTTTTAATTTTATAAAGCGGATATTAACATGCTACTCGACGGCCTCAGTAATGCAGTAGCACACTACTTTGATGGTCGCGGGTTAGATTCCTCGCACGGTAATAACAATTGTATATATTGTCATGAGTATGATTGTTTGTATCGATCTAGGTGTTTTTATGTATACTACGGTATGTATTTACAATAAAAGAAGTATCTAAGTATTTATATCAGTTATCTAGTGACCATAACACCGCTTAGCTTGGGACTAATGGGACTTGTGTGAATTGTCTAGGGACATTATTATTATTATGGTATGTATGTCACTTAATTTCAGCCATGACTCTTATAACCATTTGCGAGATTACATCTAATCCCTTACATGAAAATATCTTCAATTTTTCCCATCATGCTATTTAACAGTTGATTCTTTTCTTCTAATCTGCGTCTTAGTTCATGTGTACTTTTCTTTTTATTATCTAAATGGTTTCTCAACGTCTGCAACTTCTCTACTCTTCTAGCTTCTTTCATTTCATTCCAATCACGACGGTCAACTATCATGATGAATTATCATGGTAAAATTAGATATTGTGTATGCACCGTTACCATGCGTGCAACCTCAATAGTAAGCAATTAGTAGTCGTCCTATGATCACGAACGCACATACTATATATCGCAAATATGGTCTCCCTTATGTATGGGTTATTATTATGGATTTCAGTTATTGAGGATAAGGGTCTAATCTCCCTGTACCTAATGATTTCACTTTTATTTTATTTCGGTAGGTCGTGCCCCTTACCCGCATTCCACTTGAGTGTATTAAAGAAAAAATATACACTCTTTTCTTGTACTAGGACCCTGTAATTTGAATATGGGGGAGCTAGGATTTTTTTTTATTTTTTATCAAACAAACCTTGTTTGATTACTATAAATATAACAAAAAAAAAACTATAAATGAAAATATATAATAATTATAAATGACATAGCCAAATAGATGATGTGGTTCTGAAGTGTTTCAATTCATATTCTACTTCGGCAGTCGATATTTACTTATACACAAATAGATAAAATGAATTGAGAATTAAATTTGATCTTTTACTTTGGTTTTCCTCTCAGCCATGCATTCAGATTGAGAATAACACAATCAGGTACATTATCTATGATTGAGGCTCACACCCACTATCGCTCGTTACACTTGTAAATAGGGTACAAGTGGTATGAGTAACCACGGGTGTTTTATTTGTGAACATCAATGTGAAGTGGTTCACGTATGTGAATGATGTCTATTAATATGTACAACCATAGTACTATTACTGACCTACTAGTTGCCGCACACGATTCAGTTCCCGATTGAGGACTTCATTCTCCGCGCAATACTCTGTCAGCAGTAAATATTTAGAGAAGTTGTAATGTTCCTCATCTTGGAATTTTTTTATTATTACGTTACAATTGACTTCATTTGTATAGTCCTGTAAAATAAGTATTCCATTGAATATCATATTTGAATAAAATCCATATTCACACATTTACTTATCGGTATCCATACCAAATTATAAATATGAAAGTCTGATTGTTTTCCTACGACTAAACGAATTTTAATGAAACTTGATGAAAGGATACATTATATCAAGAGATCATACATATACTATCTTTTATATCAATAGTAGATATTTGAGGTGATATTGGGGATGAAGGTTTATGAAGATGAAGTTTATGGTAACAGCTATTATGTGATGGTATTTGTCAATTTACTATAAAATTAATTATTGTATATAAAAATAGTATAAAAGAATCTCTTAAATAAGAGTAATCTTTATTTTTTACGATAAAATTGGTCTGGAAGAGAGTACATTGAATGTTTTTGAAAATACTTTTTCAGCCGGCCAAGAGAGGAATTGGACAGGTTCCATACATTTGTAATGGGCGCGCAAGCCAATTTCGATAGTAGTAACTCTGAATAGTAAAGTTTACTTTCTTAGATAAATGCATTTCTGCTTCATCTTGCTGTACAGGGATAAATACGACAATGAATATGTACTACGATTATTTTACTTTTATGTAATAAACAAAATTTACATTAATATCCGTGACAATTTTGTAATGTTTATTATACTCTCTCACTATCCTTTCTTTTTCTTCTATCTTCAGTTCTTCTTCTCTCTGTTCTTGTTTCTTATTAACTCTTATGACACCCTTTTTTGCCAAGAAGCTGTATAATTTCATTTCATGGTCGAAGTACTTCTGTAGTTCCCGCATTTCCTATAAAATAAGTAATAAAAATACCTAAATATCAATAATTCGAACCTTACTGAAATTGTCATATATATATGAATTCGTTAATCCTCATATTTATTTTACAATAATAATAATGTTTCTTCGTGAAAGCGTCCTACACAGGATTGAATACAAAAGTTTATTATTATTTTTTATTTAAATCGTTAAAGCATATTTTGAGATATTAATCAGTGTATACGTTTACAAATACATTATATTTTGAATAATTTCATACAGAACATAAGCTCATAAATGGATAAAAGTGTGTGTATGCGTGTAGATAGTATGCTTACTTGTACTTGTAGCAATTGGTCCATTTTTCCTTTTTCCTGCACTGAACGTAGTTTAGTGCACCACTCGTCCCTCTGGTCGTAAGCCAATGTAGAGGACTCAAAGAGGTCTGTGAGAAACTTCTTTCCCTTACTTAGTGCATTCATCATTTTATCCCATGCCTGATTGAATATTGCCCTAAAAGAAAGACATAGATATGTACACGTACAGATTATGACGGCCTCGGTGGTCTAGCGGTCTAGCACAACGCTTTACGTCCGATGGTCACGGGTTCGATTCCTCGCACGGCACAAACATTTGTATTCGTGAGTATGATTGTTTGTATCGGTCTGGGTATCTACTATTATAATATGTATGTGTTTACGAAAAAAAAATATGTATATTTTGTATCAGTTGTCTAGAACCTATAACACATGCTTTAGCTGGCTTAACTTGGGTCTAGATGGCGCTGTGTGAATTGTCCTGAGATTATTATTATTATTATTATATGCACTTTAACACCACCACGGCTAATAATTTTATACCTAGTGAATAATTTTATAATATAGATTTTTCTCTATTGCAATTTCAAATTTAATAGAGAGGTGGAGGAAATGGAAACTATTTAGGGTAAATAAAAAAAAAAATACTCTTACATAATGTTTCTTTACTAAATGGTTAATTATGTGCCGTAATTGTATACATTAATTGGAGCCGTGGGTAAAGAATGGGCATTCACTGGTTTTGTTCTCTGGTACAATTATTGAACAATACAAGTATCAAAGAGTAATAGTAGTATTCTAAAATCAATTGTAACTTTATTCTTCTTAGGCAAAATATAGATGTATATAACATATTTATTATTTCGATCAATTCACTACTCCGTACGGTATTTTACCACGCTGAAAAGAGCTTCAATTGTAGCTTTATAGTAGAAAATGGGAGGACTTAGAACTGTGTAGTCTTATCTATGGTCAAAGTAAAACTTCTACCGCATGAATAATGCATCACTCACCTATCTTTCAGCACGTGATTAATTTCTTCTCTAATCTTTTTGTTTTCATATTGTACAGCATTGAATCTCAATTTTGCAGCTTCTAGCCGATTCACCATTGATACTAGTCGGATTTCACTTTGAATCCTTCTTTCCTCTATCTGTATAAGAAGTATTAATTGATTAAAAATCTATATTAATATACCGTAGGTTTTTTTTGTCAGAAGTTGATAATATCTAATTCGTCCAGACATATTTGAATAGATTTTTTGCACTTTGTAGTCAATAGCTATCGGAAGGTTCTAGGTTTTTTATCACATTAATTTTCAAGAGATGAGCACAAAGTAAAAAGGTCTAAAGAAATACTACGACACCGAAGTATAAGCGTGGGTAGAGCGATGTGATGTGACCTAGGGCAGTCTGATTTTTCCATTAAATTAGAGTGCGAGTTTCACTCGCAAACCGGGATGCAGATAGTAACACCTAAGTTTTTGCACATAAAAATTAAGTGCTGGACACCAGGCTACTAACAAGTCCCAATTCAGTGAAATTTTCAATACCCTGTGCTGCAAAGGATGGAAATATTATATTAAATTGTCATATAAAGTAGATATTAGCCATAATTGTTAAATTTTATTATTTATACATTCATCGTTGATGAATGTTGTTTGCAATTGTTGAATCGCAAACAAGTAGCATAGTATTAAGAAAACTTATATATTATATATTTTAAATTATCTCCATACTTATACATATTCTATGACTAAATATTTAGGTATCACTATCCTTCATTTTTATCTCCGTGTGGCATAGAGAATCGAGAGATGTTACTTTTACTGTCACTAACTTTATTCATCATAATAAGACATATTTCGATAGGTTAGCCTACTCCTCTAGTACCATTTTTCCATTTTCGCATTACATATAAGTTTTATATACCTAATGTTCATTCAACGTTTATTCTACATTCCCAAACAAAAATAGCAAGCCTTTATTTTTACACTTTCATTGAAAGAAAACTCGCTGGAGTACTATTGTATTACTAATGTATTTCAGATTTTGCAAAGTGCTCCTCAATTCAACTGCATTTACCCAACTTTTATTCTCTTTCTACATTTTCTACTGTTTACCAAACAGCGTTGTTTAAAACCTTTTTGCTATTAAAACAAACCTTGCCAAATTAAGAATTACTTCTTCAGACTGTGAAGGTTATGTCGCAGTGGGACTATAACGGGTTATTTTATAAATTCGGGATGGTCTTGACTCTGAATTTTTAAGGCTACAGTAACTTTCTCGCTAAAACTTCACAAAGTGTCTCAATTGAAGTGTTCAAAAATGTAAATTATAATATCATGGTTAGAACTTTCTCGTAAAAACTATCTTCGACGGAAGAAGTCTGACTGAAGATATTTAATGAATGTTAGAAAAAAAAATTCTTTACCATTGTTTTTACACGGATAGAATAATTTGAAATTATTAGGAGCCTATATAACAATACAGTAACATATAAATAAACCGGTATTATACTGTCTACTCTTTCAATATTTTATGCCTGTTGTTACTCGTGACTGCAACAACTTAATTGATTGGAACGAAAATTGGTCTAAGTCTTTTTTATTGTTAAATTACTTACATCTGAATGCTTTTTATAATGATTGGTCTAACTATTAATGCGTTTTTCGGACTATTCTAAGGCTGTTGGCCGTAGCAGGCCTTTACAGCACGGCCTTTACGGCCTTTCACCGGACGTTAGGGTGTGAGTGCAGATAGCACATCAAATCAGCGGAAAGACTTAGGGAGCGGCAGTACAGTTGTAGTAAGTAGTAAGAGGATATGTCCTTTATTTTTCGGGTATACATGAATTAAACTTGGCTAGTGGCGATCCTACCGTTGTTTGTTGGATTAATTTTATCGAAGTTTCTATCACTAGACTGGACATATAGCGGCATAATTGCATGGTATATCTACCTGTCCTTTGCTGGTATTAGCGCGTTTTCTCAGTAACAACATTTCCTTGCTGTTTGTTTGCAGCAAGCCATCGAGCTGATGCATCATGGTTAATCCAGCTAAAACAATTATTGATGTAATTGGAATGATAATAAAGCTGACAGTTCACCTGATGGTACTTAAAGACATATACCATGTAATCGTGATACGCAGTACCATGTGGTACTGCTCGTGCATTCTCAGTTCAAAAACTGAACTGTTTTGTGTCTATACCCTGTAATTTTACTGCCGTAAATTTATACTTACTGCCGTGCCCTTCAACCAAAACACATCTTACACAGCAACAGCCTGGCGCCTAAGACACACGAAACAGAGATTCCTACCCAGGTATTTTTATACAAAATCTCTCCTGGAATAATAGAAGAACATAGTAATATCAATTTAATAATTGTAAATGAAATTATCAATTTTAATGTGTTTTTTATTTTTCTCAAATGCGACTTCAAAATTATTATAGGTAGAAAAGGATAGATAAAATTATATAATTTCAATAACTTTCTAGTTCAATCGACTGCTAAACGGAGTTCGTTAATGAAGTTTATTTTTGTGTTTAATAAATAAAAAAATAAATTTAAAAATAACATCGAATTAAGTAGTTTTTATATGTTATCATACTAAAACTACTTAATTCGATGTTATTTTACTATAGACAGTATAAGTGTATTATTCCACTATTAATTTAACACGATTGTTACCTGGGTCGTTCTTCTTTTTAACCTACAAAAAGGTGTCTTCATCAGTTAAAAAAAAATATAATCGAAAATTATCCGTATTATTTTATTATTAATGTTTCAATATGTACTGTACTAAAAATGTAACGGCTATACACGTTCACAATAAATAAACATTTATATTTTTATAATAAAAAATACGTTACAGAGTCGTCAATCCGCGTGACAGAGGTGTATTTCATACAAATCATAGCTGTCTCCCGCTACCTGAGCCTGTGTTTAATTCATAATGGTACGAAAAAATATAAAGACAGTAGCAAATATAAAAGTATTTTTTAATTCTACAAGATATAGTACATTTTGTTGTACTGACTAAAAATTTTTGACATTTCTAATAAAAAAATAGAAAAATCTTAAAGTCTTGTCTTTCACTACAGACTGTTTTAATGGGTATATTCGGTCACATGTTTTTTAATTCGAGCGACGCGTATACGCGGGTCGCTTTTGTTGCCGTCGATTGGATATTTAGTCCTTCCTATACCTTGCTGAGATAAGCTCTCTAGGACTTAGAGATTGCGCGTAAGTCGCCCGGAATCTGTGTATGGAGGTGCGTGTGTTTATTCGGCGACAACTTCGTCACGTAAGTATTGGACAATAATATATCAATTACAGTTAATTCTTGTTATTTAACTTTTGCGTAATAAGAAACACTTTCATGCCAACCTGTTACGTTTGTATTTTGTGGTAACGTTTACATTTTAATAATTTTGTAAGTAAGATTTACCCCTCCGTCACGCTACTACTTCGTCACAATAAAATTGTGACGGAGTGGTAAAGTACGTGACGGATGGGTAAAAAATACTTGCAAAGAATATAATATTTATTTTATCTCATAAAATATAAGAATCTGTTGAAACAGGGCCAGTATTTATTATGGCAACTATTTCTATATAAAGTTTATCTAGTGTTTTTCTAATATTTATGGATTTATTTACATATTTTCTTTCTCAAGATATTATTATGACGAAAAAGAAGTCATTAACAGCAGAAAAACAGCGGCGTTGCCGTAAGATACGAAAAAGTTATACAGAAAAGGTAGCTGAAGTAAAACGTAAACATCTCGAGAGATATCATACTCGTAAGAAGCTTGTGGCTGACATGACTGTGAGAGAACATCGTATGATGAAGAGAAAATAGCGACAAGAAAAGAAAAACAAACAAACGCTTGAAAACATACTGTTGAACACGCAGGCTCCATCCCCATCCAGAAATACGTCCTCATTCTGCAACACCAACTAATTCCTAATTAATAAGTGTCTAACTCAAGAGTGTGGAAGACAGTGAAAAGAGATAGAACACAGAGAAGTTATACAGAGAGAATATTAGCCTCTGCCTGAAACAGAATCCAATGTTGACAATATTTTGGACTAGTTGTTTCCTAACGAAAAAGAAGATGTTGCAATTCATGAAGTGGAGGATTTGTCGCTCACGATATTACGAACAAAATTGGGATGCCTCGAAAAAGATTTTATGATATTATGTATGAATCATCTGAGGAAGATCAGCCATTGCACACATATATGCAAGCAAAGATTCCTCTAATCCAACGACCTTTTCTAATACTTCTTAAGAAACACTTCACCTCAAGGCCTTTCATCATAGGAATATAGAAGACGGTGTACATGTACTCGTTAAAGTAAAAAGTGAATTAAATGATCAATATACATACGTCACATAGGCAATGTTCTGGTGATGTTCTTGAAAACAGTCGATGATTGTGGAAGATTATTTATTACTGGAGAATGACTTATCAGATGTTCCGTATGAGGATTTGATTAAAATTCTATCAAATCCAAAAGTAGTTAAAAAAGGAAAGAGACGGTTTTTTGAATTTGATGAGCTTTTGCCAGTGTTCGAAAAGTAAGACTGATTAGGACAAGTATGACTGAAGAAAGTAATTTGTTGATGATGATTATTATTTTATTTTAATTTTTCAGTCAAGTTAGACATTTTTTTTATTTGAGACAAGTTAGAAGTCTTATAATTTAATTATACTAATACGGATCTCCTTTCAAAGGTTCTGCAATGTGATTTTATTAGTATGAGAGTATTTCAGTTGTAAGAATGTAAGACTGTCAAATATTTAATTATTCTAAAGAAGTAATAAATGATTCTAAATAAAATATTCATTTAAAACTAGTTTTATTCCAAAATAGAACCGGATATTATATAGAATAACAACTCTATCACATACTCTACCACTCTGTCACGATATGTCTCCTGGTTTTAAAATTTATATAGCCATTTTAATATTTTCTTATGAATAGTACAATTTCGGAAAAATTATATTAAAAATAGTTAACTATAATATAGTCTACGACATTAATATTTCTGTGCTAGAAGTGGTTAAAATTGAATTATAGCAAAAATATACTTCTAAAAAACTGCAATTGTGACAGAATGGTATAAGATTAAAAATATATATTTATTGTTATATACAGAAGTCTTGCCTTGTAAGTTTTCTAAAAGGACCATTTGATTATTATTGTAAAAAGTAATTTGCAAGCTATCTGAGTTAAACTATTTGATACAAAAAAATAAAAGATATTGTGACGGAGGTGTACAATTATTCGCCCAATCCTGCTTTAAGGCCTCGAAAATCGTACAAAAATTTGTAAACTTCGTGGCCAACAACTTTTTCAGATAGAATAGACATTCAGCTATCACAAAACATACAAGATTTGACTAGAAAGCGCTATATTTTCTTTTGGAAATTTGAGTAAAAATTTTAAGATCATGTAGGTTAAAAAAAATAATGACCCACCTACAGTCATTGTTTTGTAGTACAAAATAAATTTGTAATAGAAATATAAAACTAAAAACAGACGGAAGCTTTGGAGTTTCGCCTGCGCGGAAACTGTTATCTCTATGGATTCAATCACGGTGCCCTTTTAGACCGATTTCAAAGAGACGCCGGTTCTAAATTTATCGATATATTTTCGTTATATGTTTAGATTTAGGCCAATACATAACTGATTTATAGTATTATTATTTATATAACTATTAATTTATCAGAATTGAAGTCAGTCTGGTATTTATAGAAACAAAATTTGAAATTATAAATTGTATACACGTAGAGATCTAACCTTCGCATCGGAATTTGGTTTTCATCCTGATCAGTAGTGCCCTCGCGAGCTCACTTCTCATTCGCTTGTCCTTTTTCTTATGCGCCCCAGACCTCGCTATCTGCAGCAAATTGGTACAATCAACACACGACATACTAACACGACTTTGGTAGTCCTTGCACAAAATTTATAGTCAACTTTCAAATGAAACATAGATATTTCACTATTTTAATCTTCCTTTTCTGACACAACAATTAGTTTGCTTTTCTCTACCTAAGACGTACGATAATAAATAAAGACATTGGTTCAATAATAAAATGTACCAGAGCATTATATGGGGATAGCAATTGATTGGTATTGATAAAAATAGGACAGTACATCCAATAAACAATTAGAGCTAGACCACTTAGACTAAAACCAATTTAGAAAAGTGAGTTGGTTTAACCGAGAATAGAATCCTGTAAGACCTCATTTAAACAATGACGTGTGGTTGATACAAATAGACTGTATTAGTCTAATTTGTAGTTTAATTTCAATAAACCTGATGGTTGTACGATTTGTACTATATTGGATTTAATTTAAATATTGTAGCTAATTTGGTAATTTCGACTTTTTCAATGACTTCTGCTTCTGCTCTTATAGGGGCAGAAGTAAAACTCGTTACTAGTAAGACTAGTAACGAATGGTCCGCAGGTGTCTCTGCCTACCCTAAAGGATATGGCATTTCTAAAAACTTAGTGGGGTATTTTAGTGACAGAAAATACCTTTTTACGATTTTTTTTTATATTGATACATATATCACGACGTAATACACAACAGTTACTTAAATATAATAGTATAGAAATTATAAATAATATATTTTTGTTTATTGGTATTAGAAGCTAATGAGTTTATAAAACGTGAATATAATGGCTTAGGTTTTCAATATGTAGCGGCAGGTTGAGTGGTAGATGGCTATTTGAAAACGTTTTTACTTATGACGGATAAATAAATGTATTAATTAATTACATTAAATGCCTTTAGTTGTGGTGGTTTCACTATTTGTTTTTGTTTCAAGTTGAAGTTACCAAGTTTAATAGTCGTGGCTGTCACGTACAAAATATTTTGCCTTATATTTACAACAAGAATATGTTTGTATGCAATATTTTGCAACACAGACGGTGGGTCGATTGGTGTTTGTAAATATATCGGTTATTTTCACTATTGGAAAATACTCTGCAACGTCGGTAAAAATGTTTTAGTCATGGTATAGAGGAACTCTACGAGAGTTTAAGTACCTGGTCAATACAGACAGACTGTAATCTCTTTTATTTTAGAGTCGGTCCGCCATATTGGTGAAGTTACAATAAAATACTTTAATTTTTTTTCAAATATAATGTTAAAGTAGCGAGGGTTATATATTATTGTTGATTATAGATGATAATCTTGTGTAATAATATTAGAAAATGTATAGTATAATATATATAAATATATACTATAAATTTACACTTTGATATATAATAACTTTCAAATATTAGCCTGTTCTACCTAAATTTTAATTAATGCTGTTTTTATTATCCTTATTTCCTATTATTGTAACTGTAGGATTTAATTCGTTTGTGCTCATTATCTGAGTGGCGTAATAAAAAGTTATTGTTTCTCTTTCGGGGGAACGAGAAAGGAAGCAGCTTGCTGTGTCTATGTGTACTGAAACAAATATTAAAATTTACCTACATTTTTTATTTTCTTAACATAATATTATTAAAAATACTGATAATCTTTCTTATTATATTATATCTACCTAATTTTATTTGTCTATAATTTGTTACAATCAATTTAGAATTTTCAGAATAATATAGAGATCAAATTAGAGATGAAAATTATAAGCGACTATAAGAATAATTTGACTTTAAAATAGCAAGATTATCAAATATATTGAAGTTTACATTTTATTTTGTATGATTTACTTAATAATAATAGAACAAAATGTGATCATATTTCGTCAATGTTTCTCATACTTGTTCATCATAGTCTTCTTTAAGATTTTTAACACAAACCAATACTTAAAGGTTTTTGCCTAGTAAGTCCTAGTAATTATATTACTTAATAATATATTAGCAAAGAAGAGTGCCTATGTGAGAAAAAACCTATTTGGTAAACTGTTAAATATATAAATGAAAACTTTGTGTAATCTATCGACAGCCTTGGTGGTCTAGCGGTTTAGCACACCTTATTTCTGATGGTCGCGGGTTTGATTCCTCGCACGGCACAAACGAATATGATTGTTTGTATCGGTCTGGGAGTTTTCTATGTATAATATGTATGTATTTACGACAAAAATATATCTATGTATTTGTATCAGTTATCTAGTATCATAGCACAAGCTTTAGCTAGCTTATTATTTAGACAGGTCTATATAGCGTTGTGTGAATTGTCCTAAGATTATTGTTATATAACACCCCAGCCAACGTTTACAGACTTGTCCCTGTGAAAAACTCTTTTTGTTTCATCCTTAGTTACTGTCTAGATTATTTACTTATATAACTAATCTAATTCAGAGACGCGTATGACTGTACAAATCTTAACAATTATACTAAAATAACTAATTTATTTTTATCTTACTTTATAGTTAGTAAATACAGTTAGTGATATTACAATGTTCAACAACCAACCTTCAAGTCTTTGATCAGATCGGTGTACTCCTTCTTTAGAGTCCTCAGCAACTGGTCCTGGCGTCTGAACTGGGGATGGACCCCCATAGCACGGTGGAGCCGGTCTGTTTGTATTATTCGTACCTTACATAAAAAAAAATGTTATTTATTATATAGACATTCTGTAATATTCGCATAAATTCACGTGCAAATGTATGTGCGATAATGATGTAATAATTAAAACTCATTCATTTTTGTTGGCAAGTACAAATTGTGTGTAACGTTATATTTATATATTTTTTTAAAAGTATTCTGGATTTATATATACGTATTAAATACCTAATTTGAAAAATTCAACCTTCCGACTTGTTGCTCTGATATAATTCACTACCTGCTGCACGGAAGGAGTGCAACTGTGACCGGACTTGGTTGAAATTGGAGAATGATTACGTAAGCTAACAAATTTCACTGGGACGCACACAATATGTATATACCAATAAAATTGGAAGCTACGTTAACACTGACGAGTTTCAAACATTATTTTTGTAATTGATATGACTTACACTTATGTTGATCACATGCTAATTCTAATATAATTTTTTGTCGTATAAAAAATATATTATCACTGACGTGGAAGTTAAGATGTAAAGATTTACTTACGTTAACAGTGTAGTAGGTCGTGTACTTTCCATCTTGACTACAAAAATATTTTAATATAGGTACCTGTCTTTGAAGTCTTAAGTGGTCGTCTTCCATTTTCTTCATTAGATCCATGCTATTGGATTGGGAGTCCGAAGATTGAAAAAAATCCATGTTTTGTGAGTTGTGTAAATATTTTCTTTATTAAAATTAGATTTAATAGACCAACTTGATTTAAGAAGCTGTCAGAGCTTGTAACAATCAAATCAAGTTCTATTTATAATTATATATATGTAGAAAACTATTTCACTGCTGTACGACAATAAAGAAATAAAAAAAATAGATATGATATATTGGGAAATGATTTATCAATTTAGTGCAGCTGTATTTACTGGAGATATTGCAGTGCCACTTTTAATGAATTTAAGATAATGCCTGCCTAAATTCATTAGAATTCATGTGTATCAAATATAAATTTGATAATTTAAAAAATATTAAAAAAATGGATTTATATTATTGTTTAATTCCGCTACAATTAGAATATGTGAAATAACAAATATTCAGTGCAGAACTTTGACTACCGTTACGACCTTCTCCAATGATGATTAAATTCCGACTGCTATTAAGTCTACACCCATATTGCAACACGTGTTTCGCCTCTGAACGAGGCATCATCAGCCATTGATTAGAGCTAGCAGATATAGCTTGGAACCCTATTGTTGACTGTTCGGCGACCAGACTACAACTCGCAAAATAATACCTAAATAATTCTATAAATATATAAATTCGGTATTTTAAAAATATAATTATAGAATACTATTATCGGTACATTCCGGAAAAATATCTTGTTAAATTACACGACGTACACAAAAAAAAGGAAAATTCTCTTTCTTTTGTAAGTACATTTGCTTTGATAGTAAAACAAAGGAAAGTGTAACTAAAATATAACATTAAAGATGGTCCATAATCCATCCAGACTCGTAAACATCGCATTCAATAAGACGTTTAAAACTACCCATTGTTTAAAACAATTTCTACAGACTTGGAAATAAAAAAGAAATACTCTTTGAATGCACCCAGTGTAGACTGTTTAAAGTAGAAAGACTCGTGCATTGAGTAAAGAGGAAGTTGCCTTGATGTAGCTAACTGATTTAAGGAAACTTATTTATCTTAGTGGTCTCAGGTCGAATGTAGCCGACACCACTTATACAGCAATTTGGAAAGTTCAAACCGATTAAATAGTGAAAAGTGATGTCAAATTATATTTCTTAAAATAAAAGCTTTCGTTAGGATATTTTTTTAAACAGAGTAAAGTTACTAATTAAATAAAAATGCAGAAATAAGTTAGTAAGAGTAGAAATTGTTTTTAAAAACTTTGCAAAGTAAGTGCATTATAATAATAATGCAGAGTTTCAGTTCCAACTGTAGTTAAGAAGCTTTTACATTAATAGTTTTGAAAAATTATTCAAGAGATGGATTTATTTAATAGACAAAGAAATATTAAATGAAGCATATATAGGTACATATGTTTCATAAGTTATTATTATACAACACAAAACAACAGTTTTGTATAACTAATTACCTAATCTTAATTAACTGTTGTATTAAAGGATCTATCTCATAGAAAATAGTCAAAGAATAATATATATCGTGAATATAATATTTATTAGCCTTTCAAAAAATAAAAGTTTGGTCAGCAGTGCATTATTATTTCCCTACCAAAAAACTGCATGCATTTCTATGAATACCAAATTACAGTTTGGATTACTCGTTAATACTTTAGGAGATAAAATATAGAGACTCACTTTCCATTTTATACCTAACATTAGTCAAGATTAGGACGGATGTGCGAATATGTAGTTACAGCTCATTACAAATATTTTGGTTATATATGATCTCTTTATAGTTTTGTTGCCAGTTATAACAGTGCAATATTTTTTAGGTAAATATAGATAAAAGTTCGCAATTTGTTCCGAATAAATATACGAATATTTATTTTCTTGTTCACATTTAATACGGTGATACAGAAATTATTTCAAACAATATTTCCTAGTGTTTCAAGGAATCCCTACTACCGTTACGTAATGCTCGTATTCGGATAATACGATAACGCTCATTTTGCGAACCTATGCTATGAATTTCTTCTTATTATTAGGTTTTATCTGCGGAGATAAGCATTAATTGATATTAGCCTGGCCTATTTCATAAAACGTTTGTTATTTCATAAGAAAAGATATAGAACTTAATAATAAATGATTAGGTTAGTAATTATATATTAATAGGTGTAAAATAATTTTAATTCTACTGTTTTTTTTATTACAACTTAACTTTACTGTATTTATAGTATTCATTTGAAAGTTAGAAAAGGATGGTTTTAAAATAGAAAAAGGTTTTCTTTGTTCTGTCGACTGCATCGCATGGAAGTTAGTTCTTGTTTATTTATTATCTACTTTTGTTTTTCAGTTCATTCACAAAATACACAGGTATTTGCTTTGTTCTCTTTATATACTAACTACTACTACTACACACGGATATATAGTCACAAGCGTACTAAAACTATTGCCTAGAGACATTTTTTATTTTTTTTCATTATTAGACTACTTTATTCTGTTAGGATTCAGTATAACACTTATGAGGCATATAATTGCACATTTAATAAATGAGGAACTAGTGCCCTAATACCAATACCTAAATAAGAAAGATCTACTACTTTATTCTCTTTTTCTTAATATGTTATAATATTTCTTCATTATTCAATTCTTTGCATACATTATTCGTAACGATGACGTTCTAATATTGTATGATTATATGGTCTAATATTTGTGGTTGCAACAATAATTCTATTTAATTTGACAAATTCCTAATTTTTAGGAAGTAGGTACTTTAGAATCATATATATTATCTATATTTAGCTCATTATGGACACATTGATTTAGTTACAATTTCTGATTGCATACAATGTCATTATATAATCAGCTCCGTAGGACACTGCGAAGAATTGCAACTCAATTTGTATTCAACACAGCAAGGCTGCTTTACTGATTCTTATGTTCTAAGCCATAAAGTTAAATGTGGAGTGTCTTCAAGCGTCACTGTGTAGCAAACTATCAAGGCCATGTTATAAAGGAATACTACAGTTTTAAAACCAGTATTGCCTTCATTGAAGGTTTTCGATAGCTTCCTCGGTTTCATAAGGTGGCGGGAAATAAGTGGTAAAAGTGGGAAATAAGTTTTCTTGAAATAGTTTACTTCATACTCAACCAACTTCAAAAAAATACTCAAGTCAATTGTATTTTAATGTTTTCGTCAATATTAAACAGATAGTAAGTGGAATTATGAAACACAATTTTATTTTAATACACATACATAAATCATTCATTAGAAAATATGTTCCACTAGATGTGCCAGCCGTTTTACCCGCATTAAATTTTAATAAAATTATATAGTCTATATGTTGTTCTGATGCATAAACTATATTACTGCAAAGTTTCATCAAAATCCGTTCCGTAGTTTTTGTGTGAAAGAGTAACAAACATCCATATTCACAAACTATCGTGTTTAATATTAATAAGAAAATTGAAACAACAAACTAATTCATATTGATGTCCTGAAATTATTTACATCCTTTAGGATTGAAGTAGAAAATTATTAACTTTTCGGCTATTGTAAACACACATGCAAAATTAGGCTTGCCCCAACACACTTGATGATTTGATTCTAACATGCCAGTGTCAGAAAGTTATGTGTCCATCCACTTGCCCACCCCATTTATGATTGTGGTCATGAGATTTAATTCTTTTTATAATATCACAAAATATGCTAATAGTAATTTAGTATTCACCTAAAATTCGGAACTGCTTATTAAAATTTCAATTTATTTGAAAGTAACAGCTGAGTTTTTTGTCTTCGAACTTCGGCTGAAATTGAATCAACTAATTGACATTCCGTAAGTGTCTAAAGTCTATATTAATAAAAGGATTCAATTAGTCATTCCCTTCATTTGATTAGATATAATTTGGAGTGTTATTTAAATTATCGGGTAAATAATGTTAATACTACTTTTTGTACATGTATATGTTATAAAATTGTATTTTTTTGTCAGTGGAAGGCCATCTAATGTTACGGTTCATCTTATGGTTAGTGGTAGCTGACATATGTATATGTACCTACATGAAGAGTACCACATCACGTTAGTATGTGATGTTGGTGATGAAGAAACAGATGTCAGACATGACAGAGGGTAGGCAGAGTATTATAAATTTAACCTCGTTAAAATAAAATAAAATTAAAATTAATGTTATTTCACTAGAAATATTTAGTCTCGATTGGCGGAATATTCTCATGCCATTTAAGAACTGCTCATGGCATGAGCTGTTGTAATTCATTGAATTGAACGAAAAAATTTAATTCTAACTCGACCTGCCTTAGTTATCTGAGCTGAATGCAATTCCAATTAGACTATTCTGAATTCCAACTTCTACTCAAATGCACTTTTTTATGTTGTGGGTATCGATTATTGATTCTGTTTGTGTTAGTAGGTTGCTCTGTCGTGAGAAGTATAACATCATCGTTTTATTATTCTATATAACGACTATTTTGTCAAGAAACTATTGAATATGAAGAAGAACAGTTTACATTGAAGGAAGATGAGAGTAGTAGTGGTGAATTTACCTCGATGGTTCTCAGGAAAACAGCGTGTAAATCGAATAATATAACCTGAAATGGTAACACGACAGTTCTCGTTCAGATTATAATTCCATCTATCCATACAAAAGAGGTTGAAATGTGAAAATGTTTTTGAAAAAGATTATAATATAGATAACTAACTATCTAACACGTAATGCGACGTAGTACCTACAAGAGGATTTACACTATTATTACAAGCGACATTGGGAAAACACAAATCATCGTATCTGTTCGTAGCCTTCGTCGACTTAACTCATTATGATGTGATAATTACGACAATTATCATTAATTACGAATGGTTTTATGTGTGATTAACTTTGTCTACTGTGCATATTAATACTTTTGTATTGATATTTTATGGGATTACGATTTAAAGTGTATTTTTGTTTGGCGGTTGGACCATGGAAGGGCTTGCTCCTTATTAGTATGGACATCCATGATCCTAATATAACATTATGGTAGGTAGGTAACATGACCTGATTATAGAA